CCGCCTCTCGGAGAGCTGGTCCTTGCATGTGGAGAGCACCGCCTATTTCGGGATCGACGAGAACGACGCCATATACGATGTGCGGCGCGATAGTTTCATCGGGTGAACCTGGACTACAACTTCTGAACGGACCACTGCGTGAAGGCTCGGAGAACGGCCGCCATGTGGACTTTGCCGCGCGGGAATGGCCGTCGCCGGGCGGGGCTTTCATGCGCCGGGCAGGAATCGTGCTACCATGTGCGCAGAGGTTCGGGCGAGGGCGAGGGAGATGACATGGCCCTGCCGCCGCCGGACCCCCGCCGTCGATTTCCCGATTTGCCCGCTCTGCTGATGGCCGCCGACAGGAGGAAACGGTGATGCGCGTCGCTCTCCCCCACCCAATGCTTGCCTTGTCCGGGATCGTTCTTGCCATTGCGGCCTGGGCGGTCGAACCCTCGGTCGGTCGCGCGGCCGACAGTGCCGAGGAAGCCGGGCTCAAGATCGCAACCGAAGCCCGCGAACGCAAAAGTCTTCGGCAATTTCACGCAACCTGACATGATACTGCGCAACAACGGGGGCAGGAAAAGCCAGCGCGAACTCCGCCTAAAGTGATCGAGGTCGAGGGAGACGGCGATCGCACCTTGTTCGTGTTCGAACCGCCCGCGCGATCAGGGGAACCGCGTTTCTCGTCCACGCCACAAGACGACCGGACGAGCAGTGGCTCTATCTCCGCCCTGAACGGTCAAGCGCATCAGTTCCTCGAAGCATCCGGCTCCTTCATGGGCAGCGAATTCTCATACGAGACTTAAGCGCCGGCCTCGAGATCGAGAATATACTCACCGCATCTGCGCGACGAGTCCTGCGGCTAGCTCGAATGCAACCGTTTTGGAGCGCTCCCGCTCGGCAGGATTCTGGCTATTCCCGTCAACTGGTCTGGCTCGACCAGAGGACTTCGTACCCATGCAGGTCAATTTCTTCGACCGCAGGACGAGCATCTCAGACGATGGCCGTCGAGGACTACGAGAAATATCTCGATCGCTATTGGCGGGGCGGCAAGATAACGATGACGAACCATCTCACGGGAAAGAGCACCGTGCTGCATTGGACGGACTACGAGTTCGGGACCGACCTCGACGTCGGCGACTTCACCCGGACGGCGCTAAAGCGGGTCCGGTAGAGCAGGCGAGGCTCGGCAGCTCTCGCCCTCCGGCTTCGTCCACAGGCGATCGACCGGAGCGGGCCATGGCGCTCATTCGAGGCCGTCGAGCTCGCTACTCTGGAATGGGTCGATTGGTTCAACAACCGGCGGCTCCTGGAGCCCATCGGAAACATCCCGCCGGCCGAAGCCGAGGAACGCCACTACGCCATGCTGGAGCAGTCAGACATGGCGGCGTGACTCAAACAAAATGGCCTCCGCCCAACCCGGCGCGGTTCAGACCGAACGCATCTCGCAAAGGCCTCCCACCCGACGCAGAGCATAGACCACGGAGCTTGCGGTCTGAGCGAGAGGCTTCGGATTCGGATGCGGCATCACGACTTCGAGGGGGTTGCCCAGGTCGATGACCTTGCAACTGAAGGTGATGCCGCGCACGCAGGGCAGCACACCCGCCTCCTCTCGCCCTGTCCGCACGAACACTATCCCGACTTGCGCAACTCGTCACGTCATTCGGCCAATTCGGCGGCTCTTCGGCCATGAAAGTGGCGGATTGTTGTGTATTGCCCCTTTGCAACCGCCTGTAGTGCCGACCTGCCCCCTTGATTGGGAGTGACGCCGCGGCGGATCGCTACGCCCACGTTCTTTGTGTCGGCGAGATCAACGACGGTCAGCGCGCGGCGTGGTGCCTATCGATCGAGGTTGTGGAGGGCACGTCGGGGTCTCGGCGGATGGCGCTGTTTTCCGAGGATCGCGAGCTGCCGGCGCTGAACTGCGAGGCGGTCACGTTCGATGTCGCGAACGTGGCCCTGCTCGACCCCTAGTGAGGAATTTCTGTAACCAGGCGTGCCAGGAGGTCGCTGGGGCAGAGGAGAGCTTGATTTACACGGCCCGACTTGAGAACAACACTGGAATGGTTAAGCATGCCTCGTCTGCTCTGATCGATGGGAGGTAATCGAATGGCTCGTCTCGCGAAGATTGCAGCTGCCGGCCTGGCGGCGACAGCCCTCGGTCTCGCTGTATGCGGCGTGCCAGCCGCAAATGATGGCTCCGCGGGCTCTGGACGCTGCTGCTCCGGCCAATGCGATGACCGTCGCCGAGGTCCAGGAGCTGGTCGTGGGAAAAACTATTCTCATCAGAGACGAGAATAGGAGAGTGAGTGGGGCGGAATATTTTTCTCCGGATGGAACAGTGAAATTGAAGGCGAAGCCGGACAGCATCAGTATGACATTTAGTTATAAAGGAACATATTATTTCAACGATCAGGGAAAATTGTGCACGAATTACCCCACTTTGCCGATCAACCCAAAGGAATTTTGTGAGTATATCGTCCCCTTAAGCGATGGGCGGCATGAGCTAACCGATGGAGGCGTCTATGAGCGGATCCTGGACGGTGAGCAGCTCGGCGAGCTGAAATAGTTTTTTCCGGCCAGGCACTGTCGCCGATTGCAGGCGGAGCCGGGCCGTTTCACCGCGTTGGCCGCCACCCTGCGCTATTCCGCCGGGTCCTCCAGCGGCGCCTCGACGCGCGCACGGATCTCGCTCAACAGGCCGTCGATGCCTTTGCGATTGATGACCGAGCTGAACTCGGCCCGGTGAGTGAGCAGCATGCTGATACCTTCGACATAGAGGTCGACGACCCTGTGGTTCCCGTCCTTCGAGCGTACGCGGAAATCGAGCTCGACGGGATCGGCACCGGAAGGCCGGGCGACCTTTGCCTGCACGATTGTGTCGCCGCTCTCGTCGGCGATGACGGAGCGCACCGTGAACTGCTCGCCACCGTAGGAATAGGAATCGAACCGGCTCGCGTACACGCGTGCGATGAAGTCGAGGAAAATCGCTGAGAATTCCGCGCGCTGCTCATTGGTCGCCGATTTCCAATGGCGCCCGAGCACGAAGCGGGTGACTGTCGGAATGTCGAAGCCCCTGCCCATCATGTCACGGAAGGCGGCCTCGCGCTCCGCAAGAGTGCTGTTGGCCTTGTCCCCAAGGATGGCGATGACGTCGTTGCCGACACCCTGGACGAACGCGACCGCCGGGTCGTCGGACGCGGCCGCCCGCTGTCCCCCGACCGCGCCGATGAGGGCAGCGATCAAGGCGACGGCCAAAAACGTGCGTCGAGAGAGACGATTGAATCTCTTCAGGTTCGACTTTCTCGACATTACGACCGTCCTATTCTGACTAGTTGGCGAAGTGTGCCGGAGCTTGTCACATTTAACAATGGTGATCCCTCAATCGGTGCGTATTTCGGTCGGTGCGTGGGTTTAATTGCACCAATTAGAAGAGATAAATGCGAACCCCCGCATCCGAATAATCCCCTCTATTTCGATGTAGTCGGGGAGGTGTCATGTCACGGCCTGTGGTCCGAATCGCGTCGGGTACCGTGTAGGCACCATACCATTTTCGAACTCCAGCGCACTCTCAAGTGCATCTGGCATGAGCGATGGAACGGATGCCCGCGTTGCCCGCAACTATTCGACCGGATCGCGGTAGGCGCGATGGCTCGCGTGGCGGATCAGGGGCAGGGTGACGATCAAGCCGACAGAGACGACCACGAGGCCTGCGACCGGCAACGCGACGATCAGGCCCGCCCACAGGACAAGCGGGCGCGCTGGAGGGCGCCCTCGCCCTGGTGCTTATTCCGGAAGGAGCGGAGCGCCTGTCAGACGAGCTGCGTCGTCGGTGCCTGGTATGCGCGTATGAATTCTCGCTTGACCACCGCCCGCGCCTCCGACTGCAAACCCGGCCTTTCGAGCAACTGGATGCAAGCCTTGCCCAGAGGCGGCAAGAGAGAAGATGCAGACATCACGCTCAATGTCTTGGGCACGGTTCCTTCGGCCATGACGGTAACGGCGGTTCCTGCTTCGACTGCGGCCTGAATGACTCGCGAATCGTCGCTGCACAGCACCTCGCGATAGGCGATGCCTAGGCTCTTGAGCGCAGCGGCTCCCGCGGCCTGGAAGAAGCATTTGTTCCGATGCCAAGCGACGGGTACCGGCATCGAGGGATCGAGTGCCAGCTCCGGGGCGGCCACCCAATGAAGCTGCGGCCGCCGGAGTACTACGGCTGACTGCGATTCCTCCGGCAACGTCACGACGGCGAGATCCAGCGTGCGCGCCTCGATGAGTTGTTGCAGACGCCAGCTCGGCCGGCACGTAATGTCGAGTTCCGCGGCGGCGTAGTTCTGCTGCATGTATTTCAGGAGGCCCGGCAGAAGCGACGCCTCGTAACTCTCGGCAATGCCGATCCTGATTTGGCCGATAACCCGCCTTGTCTGCGTGCGCTCGTACATTCGGTCTTGCATGTCGACGAGGGCCCGAATGTCCGGTAGCAGATCGCGCCCCTCGGCCGTCAGCTTCACCTCGTGAGGACCCCGGTCGAACAGCCGACCCCGAACGTTTCCTCCAGCTTCTGAATCCGAACCGACATTGTGGCTTGGGAGCACCCGAGCTGACGGGCCGCCTCAGAGAAACTTCGCTCCACTGCAAGACAAAGGAATGAACGGAGTTGCTTGGTATCCAGATCGATCATGAGAATCGAATAAGCCAATACTGCGTATTCCTCAATATGATATATTCCTTATAACCATAACTATTTCGTCAGGTCATGTCGCTCTCAGCGACTCCGCCATCGACGATCGGTAAGTTCACGAGGACGTCATGACGACTCTTGGACATGTATTGGAGGAAAGGGTCGTTCGTTGCCCGACGTTGACCCCGGTCGTGGACGTGGTCCCTATGAGGCCCTCTCCAGAAGCCGACCCAATACACCCGCGAGCGGCAACCTTCCTGCTCGCTTGACAGGTACCGGGCCGCATGGTCAGTAGCCGCGCGCACGAACGGCTCGCGGATGGGCGAAAGCCTCCTGCATGACGACGGCCATCATCTTTCCCGGTCAGGGCTCCCAGACGGTCGGCATGGGCCGCGACCTTCACGATGCGTTTCCGGCCGCCCGCGCGGTGTTTCAGGAGGTCGACGAGGCCCTCGGCGAGAGCCTTTCCCGCCTCATGTTCGAGGGTGAGGAGAGCGAGCTCACGCTCACCCGGAACGCGCAGCCCGCGCTCATGGCGGTGTCGGTCGCGGTGATGCGCGCACTCGAGGCCGAGGGCGCCTGGCGGCTCAGGGAGCGCGCCGCCTTCGTGGCCGGCCATTCGCTTGGCGAATACACCGCGCTTGCCGCTGCGGGGTGCCTGGCGCTGGCGGACGCCGCGCGCCTGCTCCGCCTGCGGGGCGAGGTCATGCAACAGGCGGTCCCGGTGGGCGCCGGCACCATGGCTGCGCTGATCGGCGCCGATCTCGCGCAAGCCGCCGCGATCGCCGAGGAGGCCGCCTGCGGCGAGGTCTGCGTGGTCGGCAACGACAATGCGCCGGGGCAGGTCGTCATCAGCGGCGCCACGTCTGCGGTGGAGCGCGCGGTGGCGCTTGCGCCGGATCACGGCATCAAGCGCGCCGTGATGCTGCCGGTGAGCGCACCCTTCCACTCGCCGCTGCTGGCACCGGCGGCGGAGACCATGGCGGCGGCGTTCGAGGAGGTCCCGTTCATGCCGCTTGCCGTCCCCGTCGTTTCCAACGTGACCGCCCGGCCGGTCCACGAGGCGTCCGACGTGCCGGCGCTGCTCGTGCGTCAGGTGACGGCCATGGTCCGCTGGCGCGAGAGCGTGCTTTACATGGCGGGCGAGGGCGTGGACACGCTGATCGAGAGTCGGCGCCGGCCGGGTGCTCACCGGGCTTGCGCGGCGTATCGACCGGGCGCTCGGCGCAAGCGCGGTCGGCACCGTCGCCGACGTCGATGCCCTGCTGGGGCAGACGGCTTAGGCGCGGCAGGCAGCGGCAGCAGGGAGCGGCAAGGGATGTTCGATCTGTCGGGAAAGGTGGCGCTGGTCACGGGCGCATCGGGCGGTATCGGCGGAGCCATCGCCGAGGCCCTTCACCGCCAGGGGGCGGCAGTGGCGCTCTCCGGCCGGCGCGCGGATGCGCTGGAGGCGCTGGCTGCGCGGTTGGGCGAGGGCGCCCATGCGGTGCCCTGCGATCTCGCCGATCGCGCCGCCCTCGCGGCCCTGCCCGAGCGGGCGGCGGAGGCGGCGGCTGCGCCCGCCATCCTCGTCCATTGCGGCGGCATCACCCGCGACGGTCTCGCGCTCCGCATGAAGGACGAGGACTGGCAGGAGGTCCTGGACGTCAATCTCAGCGCCGGCTTCGTGCTCGCCCGCGCCTGCCTGCGCGGCATGCTCCGCCAGCGTTGGGGGCGGCTCATCTTCATCACCTCGGTGGTGGGCACGACCGGCAATGCCGGGCAGGCCAACTATGCCGCCTCCAAGGCTGGCCTCGCGGGGATGGTGAAGGCGCTCGCCGCCGAGGCAGCGGCGCGCGGCGTCACCGCCAACTGCGTCGCCCCCGGATTCATCGAGACGGCGATGACCGACGCGCTGGCGGACGCGCAGAAGGAGGCCCTGCTCGCCACGATCCCCGCCGGGCGCTTCGGCGAGGGGAGCGACGTGCCGCCGCCTGCGTCTACCTCGCGAGCGAGGAGGCCCGCTACGTCACCGGGCAGACGCTCACGTCAACGGCGGCATGGCCATGATCTGAACCCGGCGCGCCGCCGCTTGGCCATTTCTTATTCTACGGCACCTGTTTGCGTCCGGGCCTGCCGGCACGTATCGCGATCACGCCGGCTGCGACGATCAGCACCGCGCCGCCTGCCATGAGCCAGTCCACGCCCTCGTCCCAGAACAACCAGCCGAACACGGCGGCAAACACCACCGCCGTGTAAATGAATGTGCCGACCCGGTCAGTCGGCGCGATGAGGCTGCCTTTCGCGAACAGAACGTGCGCCGCGGTCGAGAACACGCCCAGCATGATCAGTCCCGGCCAGGCCTCCGCCGGGGGCAACGTCGGTTCATCAGCACCGGCGTGAGCGTCACGAGTATGCCGATCAGGGCGAAATAGACGGCGATGCGGATCGGGTTCTCGTCGGTCGGCATGCGCCAGATCGCGACGGCGGAGAGCCCGCCGAGCACGCCCGAGGCCGCTCCGATCAAGGCTGCGGGCTGAAAGAACTCCGTTCCGGGCTTGAGGATCAGGGCAACGCCCGCAAAGCCGATCAACACCGCTGCCAGCACCCTGCCGTCGAGCGCGAATCGAAACAGAAGAAAGCCAAGCACGGGCACGAAGATGGGCGCGCTGAAGTTGAGCAGCACCGCTTCGGCAAGCGGGAGCACGCTGACCGCGTGGTAGTAGCAGAGCAGCGCGGCCACCAGTGCCACCCCGCGCATCGCCATGAGGCCGCGATGGGCCGGGCGCATTGACCGGGGCCAGTACCAGAGGACCCACGGCGTGAGGATCGCGAGGCTGAGCACGTTGCGCCAGAAGAGCACCTCGAAGCTGGAGAGGCTCTCCTCCGCCATCTTGATGCCCATGCCGGCGAGGGCGAACATGAGGCCCGCCGCAGCGACGAGCGCGGCGCCCAATATCACCCGCCGGCGCCCGGGCGCGGCGCCTGCGCTGGCTCCCCGCCCGGTCATGGGCGCGTGAGTGGCGGCGGCCTCGATGTCTTCGTCATGGCTCTCTGGCTAGCCGCAGGCTCGATTCGACACTTGCATGGGCGCAGTCGTTCGAGTGTATGGAGTATCGCCGGAAAATGTGTTACCTAGCGCCCCGTCCGTCCGCGCGCGGCACGGCCCGAATGGGGTGCGCGAGCCGCACGGGGCCGCTGTCCGCTGGTTCAGACCGGCGAAGCCGTTCACGCAGTCCGACGAGGGAAGGTTACATGAGCGATAACGATATCGCCGCGCGCGTCAAGAAGATCGTCGTCGATCACCTTGGCATCGAAGAGGAAAAGGTGACCGAGAATGCGAGCTTCATAGACGATCTCGGTGCGGACAGCCTCGATACGGTCGAGCTCGTGATGGCCTTCGAGGAGGAGTTCGGCTGCGAGATTCCCGATGACGCCGCCGAGAAGATCCTCACGGTGAAGGACGCAATCGACCACATCGAGCAGATCACCTGACGGGGCGGCCAGAGAGGCCGATGGCGCGGACACGGCCTGCGCGAGACCTCGATAGCCGGAGAGCAGTGGATGCGCACCGCTGACCGGGCGCGCAGAGTGGTGGTCACTGGCGTCGGCATGGTGTCGCCGCTGGCAAACGGCGTCCGCCTGAGCTGGGAGCGGCTCATCGCAGGCCGCTCGGGCATCGCGCAAATCCAGGGATTCGATCCCAGCGACCTGCCGGTCAAGATCGCGGGCGAGATCCCGTCCGGCGACGATGCGGGCGCGTTCCGCCCGGCCGACATCGTGCCGACCAAGGACCTGCGCAAGATGGACGACTTCATCGTCTATGCGCTTTGTGCTGCGGTGGAAGCGGTCGAGGATTCCGGGTGGACGCCCGAGGACGAAGAGAGCCTGGAGCGGACCGGCGTGATGATCGGCTCCGGGATCGGCGGCCTCAAGACCATCGAGGCGGCGACCATCCTCGTCTCCCAGAAGGGCTACAGGCGGCTCAGCCCGTTCTTCATCCCGTCGAGCCTGATCAATCTGGCGTCGGGGCACGTGTCGATCCGTTACGGATTTCGCGGGCCCAATCATTCGGTGGTGACCGCGTGCTCGACCGGGGCGCATGCGATCGGCGATGCAACGCACTTCATTCTGCGCGGCGATGCGGATGTCATGGTCGCCGGCGGCGCGGAGGCAGGGGTCTGCCATCTCGGAGTCGCCGGCTTTCGCCGCGGCCCGCGCGCTCTCCACCAATTTCAACGATACGCCGGAGCGCGCATCCCGCCCGTGGGACGAGGCGCGCGACGGGTTCGTGATGGGCGAGGGCGCCGGCGTCGTGGTGCTGGAAGAGTACGAGCACGCGAAGGCGCGGGACGCCACGATCTATGCCGAGATCATCGGCTACGGCATGAGCGGCGATGCCCACCACGTGACCGCGCCGGCGCCGGACGGCTCGGGCGGCTACCGCTCCATGGCGCACGCGCTCAGGACCGCAGAGCTCAACACCGACGAAATCGACTACATCAACGCGCACGGGACCTCGACGCCGCTCGGCGACGAAATCGAGCTGGGCGCCGTCAAGCGCCTCTTCGGCGAAGACGCCGGTCAGCTCTCGATGTCGTCGACCAAGTCGTCCACCGGGCATCTGCTCGGCGCGGCGGGCAGCGTGGAGCTGATCTTCTCCATCCTCGCCCATCAACCACGGCGTGGTCCCGCCGACGCTCAATCTCGATAATCCCTCGCCGGGCTGCGATCTCAATCTCGTCCCGCACGAGGCTCAGGAGCGCAAGGTCGAGCGCGCGCTGTCCAACTCCTTCGGATTCGGCGGCACCAACGCCTCGGTCATCGTGTAGGCCCTCCTAGCGGGGCTGGCGATGAGGCGCGCCGTCCTATGGCCGCTGACGGGGTTGGCGGTCCTGGTCGGCCTCGCCGTCGTCCTGGCGATCGCAGGTTGGCTCTATGTCCACGGCCAATTCGACACGCCAGGGCCTGCACGCGACGAGCGCACCGTGGTCCTGCCCCCAGGGGCTGGGTGCCTTCGACATCGCCGATCGGTGGAGGAGGCGGGCGTCATCGACGATCCGGTGCTCTTCGTCGCCGGGCTCTGGCTCGAGGACAATCAGCATTCGCTCAAGGCCGGTGAGTACGTGTTCGAGGCGCTGGTCACGCCGCGCGGCGTGATGGAGAAGCTGGTCGCCGGCGACACCGTCACGCACCGGTTCACCGTGACGGAGGGCATGACAAGCGCCGAGGTCGTGGCTGCGCTCAGCGCCGCGCCGGTGCTCATGGGGGAAATCGCAGCGGTGCCGGCGGAAGGCTCGCTCCTGCCCGAGACCTATCCACTATGCGCTCGGCGACAGCCGGGCCGAGCTGATCGGGCGCATGAAGAATGACATGAAGCGCGTCGTCGTCGAACTGTGGCAGGGGCGTGATCCGGCGGTCGGCCTCGACGATGCCGATCAGGCGGTGGTGCTCGCCTCCATCGTCGAGAAGGAGACCGGCGTCGCCGAGGAACGCCCCCTGATCGCCGGTGTCTTCCTCAACCGGTTGCGCCAGGGCATGCGGCTTCAGGCCGACGCCACCGTGATCTACGCGGTAACCGGCGGCAAGCGCCCCCTGGGGCGGCCGCTTTCCCGCGCAGACCTCAGGGTCGAGAGCCCGTACAACACTTATCGCAATGGCGGCCTGCCGCCGGGACCCATCGCCAATCCCGGGCGGGCCTCGCTCGCCGCAGTCCTGAATCCGGCCGAGACGGACGCGCTCTATTTCGTCGCCGACGGCTCCGGCGGGCACGCCTTCGCGGAGACCCTGGACGAGCACAACCGCAACGTCGCGCGCTGGCGCGCCAAGCGGGCTGCGGCAAAGAAGAAATAGCAGCGGCGAGGCGCCCGGATGAAAAACACGATCGGCATTTCCAGCATGACCGGCTTCGCTCGTGCGAGCGGCAGCAACGGCGTTGCCGGCTGGAGCTGGGAGGTCAAGAGCGTGAACGGGCGGGCGCTCGACATCCGCTGCCGCCTGCCGCAAGGGTTGGAACGGCTCGACCCGGCGGTGCGCAATGCGGTGTCTCTGCGGCTCAGGCGCGGCAATGTCACGGTAGGGCTCAGGCTCTCCCAGGCGCCGGACGTTGCCGCCATGCGCGTCAACAGGGCGTGGCTCGACGAGCTGATCGCGCTCGCCGCCGACTATCGCGCGCGTGAAGGCATCGCGCCGCCGCGCCTCGACGGCATGCTGGCGTTGCGCGGCGTGATCGAGTCCGCCGAGCGGCCCGAAGACGACGCGAACGCTGCCCTGGACGACGGCGCTCTGCTGGAGACGCTCGAGGCCGCGCTCGCGGAGCTGGTGCGCGAGCGGCAGGCCGAGGGGGCTCAGCTCGCGGCCGCGCTCACGGAGCGGATCGAGGAGATCGCAGCGCTCACACTTCGTGCCGAGGCGCTGGTGCCGTCGCGCCAGGAGGCCCTCGGCGCGCGGCTGCGTGAGCAGGTGGCGGCATTGATCGGCGCCGGTGCGCCGGTTCCCGAAGATCGACTGGCTGCGGAGCTCGCGATGCTGGCCGTCAAGATCGACGTGACCGAGGAGATCGACCGGCTGAAATCCCATTGCGCGGCGGCGGAGCGCCACCTGCAGGAAGAGGGTGCCGTCGGACGCAAGCTCGATTTTCTCGCTCAGGAGTTCAACCGCGAGGCCAATACACTCTGTTCCAAGGCCTCCCATGCCGTGCTCACGGAGGTCGGCCTCGCGCTCAAGGCCGCAATCGACCAGTTTCGAGAGCAGGCGCAGAACGTCGAATAGACAATGAGCGCGTCGGCCAACAATCCCGTCCTAGGGCGCCGCGGCCTCCTGCTGGTGCTATCCTCGCCCTCCGGGGCCGGCAAGACGACGATCACCCGCCGTCTGGTCGAGCTCGAAGGCGATGACGTCGCGATCTCGGTCTCCCACACCACACGGCCGAAACGGCCGGATGAGATCGACGGCCGGGACTATCACTTTGTCGACAAGGCCGGGTTCGCGCGTCTGCGGGAGCGCGGGGAATTCCTCGAGAGCGCGGAAGTGTTCGGCCACCGGTACGGCTCTGCACGCGACCCGGTTGAGAGCGCGCTCGATGCCGGCCGCGACGTCGTCTTCGATATCGACTGGCAGGGGAGCCAGCAGCTGGCCGAGGCGGTGCGGGACGATCTGGTCAGCGTCTTCATCCTGCCGCCGTCCCTGGAAGCGCTCGAGCAGCGGCTGAATCGCCGCGCCCAGGACAGCCCCGCCGTGGTCGCGCAGCGCATGAGCCGCGCCGGCGACGAGATGCGCCACTACGACGAATACGACTATGTGGTGGTCAACACCGCACTCGAGCGGGCCGTCGAAGAGGTGCGCTCGATCCTCCGGGCCGAGCGGTTGCGCCGGGATCGCCTGAGGGGGCTCGACGATTTCGTGCGGCGGCTCACGGCCGGCACGGAGCCGGCTGAGGACTGAGGGGCGCGACCGCGCCCTCGGCGCCGCCGAGGGCGCCGGGGACGAGTTCAAGCGCGAGCAGCCGGCGCGGCTCGTCGAGGCCGGGCAGGGTGATTCCGTAGCGCGCCGCGCTCATGAAGCCGAAGCGGCCGAGAAAGCTCGGCGTGCCGACCGCGACGACGGCGGTGTGGCCCTCCGCCGCAACCCTCTCAAGCGCGGCCCGCACCAGGAGGCTGCCCAACCCACGCCGTTCGTGAGCCGGATCCACGGCGATGGGCCCAAGCAGGAGCGCCGATCGCGCCTCGCCGACCCGTACAGGCCAGTGGCGGATCGTGCCGAGGATGCGCCCCTCGGTGAGGGCGACGAGGCAGAGGTTGCGCACTGGCGGGGCGCCTTCACGCAAGCGGTAGGAAGGGCGGGCCAGGCGATCGGCGCCGAACGCGCGGTCCAGCAGGGCCTCGATCTGCGGGCCGTCCTGCGGCCCCTCGGTACGAATGGAAGGCATGTCAGCTCAGCTCTCGACGACGGACGGACGCGATGGTGATGCCGCCGTGCCGATGGCGCGGCGGTGTCAGCCGTCTCGTCGTCGCTCGCGAGCAAAGCGTCTCATGACGGTCCGCTGACTAAGCCGTGCCGGGCGCGTTGGCAAGCGGAATTACCGTCTAACCGCCCGCTGCTGCGCCGACCACGCGCGAGCCAGTGCGCAGAATTCGGCGACCGAGAGCGTCTCGGCCCGTGCCTCGGGTGGAATGCCGGCGCTCTGAAGCAGGGTTTGAGGGTCCTTGGTGAGGCCGCGAAGGGCGCGGCGCAGCATCTTCCTGCGCTGGCCGAACGCCGCACGGGTCACGGCGTCGAGCGCGTCGGGGTCCGCCGGCGCGAGCGGCGCGGCCCTCGGCACCAGACGCACCACCGTGGAGTCACGGCGGGCGGCGGCACGAAGGCACGCGGGCCTACGTCGAACAGCCGCTCGCAGGTGCAAAGCCACTGCGCGCGCACCGAGAGACCGCCATAGTCCCGTCCCCCTGTCGCGGTGATCCTTTGCGCGACCTCCTTCTGGAACATGAGGGTCATGCTATCGAGACGCTCGACCTGTTCCAGCCAGCGCAGCAGAAGCCGCGTACCGACGTTATAGGGGAGGTTCGCCACGATCCCGATGCGGACACGGCCCAGGGTCGCGATGTCGAAGGCGAGCGCGTCGCCCTCGATGACCTCGAGCCGGTCGGGATACCGCGCCGCGAGCTCGCCGAGTGCGGCCACGCAACGGCGGTCCTTTTCGACCGCGACGACGCGGGCCGCGCCGGCTGCGAGCAGCGCCCGGGTCAGCCCGCCCGGCCCGGGCCCCACCTCCAGTATGACGGCTGACGTGCGCGGCCGGGCGGCGTGCGCGATCTTCCCGCAGAGTCCGGGGTCGAGGAGGAAGTGCTGCCCGAGCGCGCGCCTGGGCCGCAGGTCGTGCCGGGCGATGACGGTAGAGAGCGGCGGCAGCGGGGTGTCATGCCCACCTTCTACTGCATCGGGGGCGCCTGCGCCGGTCAAATGCGTACGTTGATGAATGCCGAGCGGTGCAGGTCGCGTGCGTAACGCCGGGCGAGCATCTCCAGCCTGCGCAGGCCGATCTCCTGTCGAATCGCCTCCCGATCCGGGGCCGGCGGCGGGCGCGTCCGAGAGCACCGTGCGGCGGTCGATCAGCGAGACGATGGTGTAGCCGTCGAATGCCCGCACCGGAGGGGCGACCGACCCCGGTTCCAATTGCACCAGAGCGGCCTCGATCTCGCTCGGGAGCTCCCCTTCGAGAACCCAGCCGATGTCGCCGCCGACGGCGGCCGTGGCGCTTTGCGAAAACTGGCTGGCGATCTGGGCAAAGCTGGCGCCGGCGGCCACCTGCTCGTAGAGACTCGTGGCGGCGGCGCGGACCTCGCCCTCCCGCTCGCTCGATTCAACCGCCAGGAAGATCTCGGCGACACGATATTCGGGACGCCCCCGATTTGCTTCGAGCCGGGCGAGCGCCTCGTCAATTTCGCCCTCGCCGACCGAGACCGCAGCGCCCAGGCGGCCGCGCACGAGCTTGGACCAGAGGATCTCCGCCCGAAGCTGATCCGTGACGGCGGCGACATCCAGCCTCTGGCTCCTTAGAAAATCATCCAAACCGCCGGCGGCGATTCCGTTGCGTTGCTCGACGCTCCGCCGCGCATTCGCCATCTCAGCCTCGCTGACCGTCACGCCAAGACGCTCCGCTTCCTGTACCTTCAGTCGTTCGTCGATCAGTGAGCGGAGCACTTGGGGCGCGAGCTGCCGGCGCAGCTCTTCGCTGACCCGCAGGCGGGATGCCACGACGGCGATATCGATACGCGCCACGAGATCGGGGATCGAAATTGCCTCGTTGTTGACCACGGCGGCGATTCCCACGGTCTCCTGGGCGCCCGCACGGTCCGCAGGCGCGAGCAAAATCGGTAGCAGTGCGAGCAGCAGCAAAGCCGCCCTTGCGATCGATGGAACTTTCACGGCCGCCTCAGCCCGCCTGTTTCAGTATTACGGTCAGGTGCCATACCGTGTCCGGCTCGATGTCCCGGTCGCGGGTGAAGGAACGCGAGATCCCTGTGTTGATAAGAATACACTCATCTTCATAGGAAAGACCGGCTCTCCAATTAATGGAAGTGTTGTGCTCGACATCGCGGCGGATCCCGGATGAGAACGTCCAGTTGTCGAAGGGCTTCGTCGTGAAACTCGCGTGCGCCTCCCTGCCGCCGCCGACGTCTCCCATCATACTCGTTGGCTGTCGGTAAAGGTCGACGAAGCCGATCCTGCCCCGCAACCAACTCGGGCCGGCTGCGAGGTCGATCTCGTTGCGCCTGACGGCGGCGTCGCGATGGTCGAGACGAAACCGCAGAGAGAGATCGATCAAGGGCGATGGCTGCATGAGGATGTGCCCGACAAAGTCGGAGAGCTGATGTTCGAGCCCGCTGCCGGGTTCGAACAGCGGATTCTTCCTGTCCCGGACGCTCTGGCCGAACAGCGCGGTCGCCCGGCCGCCTTCCGGCCCATAGAAGCCGAGGCGCACCCCGTAGTTGATGCGCCTCCCGGTCTCGATGCGGTCGAGGCCGGTGAAGCGGTTGGTGCTGAACAGATTGGTGTGGTCGAACTCGAGGTCGCGGCTGTCCTCATTGGGAATATTGTATGAATTGCCGCCATCCGGGCTGATGACGCCTTGCACGATCGGTTCGATGAGCTGCCGGATCGAACCGAGCCGCGAGATGAGCGGATAGCGCCATTCCACCGCGAGCTGCGGCAAGAACCGTGCGGTCGTATCGCTCTTCATGGCGCCCGACGGATGCTCGCGGTCGACCGGCGTATAGGCGTGATAGAGGTCGCCGCGCAGGCTCGCGTCGATGCGGATGAGGTGCCCCCCGGCCAGAATCATCGGCCGGTGCCAGCCGCCGGCGATGGAAAGCCGCCGGCTGTCAGTTCCATCGAGGCGCTCCAGTATCATGAGATTGGTGTCGAGCGTGGCGTAGCCGCCGGCATAGTCGGGCTCGGTCACCAGGTTCGCGTCGAGCAGGGGGAGAACGATGGGGCTCTGATCGCTCTGTTCTCCAGCCCGAAGGCTCTGGAACAGGTAGCTACGGCCCGACATGAAGCTGCGCCCTCTGTATCGTTCCGCAAATAGGGTCGTGACCAGCTCGTCCTCCGACGAAATGTCGTAGCGGTTCAGATAGGTGTCGTCGAGGGCGCGCTCCAGATTGAAGCCCCACCGCCAGTCCTCGTCGATATTGAAGAGGCCATGGCCGAAGACATGCCCGCGCAGCCTGCGGCCGTCCTCAGCGGCGGTGCTGGCCTGGGTGAGGCTGGCATCGATGGCGAATTGGCCGTCCGGCGTACGCTCGCGGTACTCGCCCGCCAGCACGACCCCCTCTTCGGAGGTGAAACGCGGAGAGAAGGTCGCATCCCGGTGGGGTGAGAACGACCAGTGATAGGGTATCGTCACGTCCGCGCCGAGGGCCCTTGAGCTCCGATAGAGCGGCGACAGGAAGCCGGACTGACGGGTTACGCTCGGATCGGGATGGCGGAAGTAGGGCGTGTAGAAGACGGGCACGCCGAAGAACTCGAGCGAGGCATCGTAGTATGTGAGATCGTGATCGGCTTGATCGTGGACTACCGTCCCGGCCTTGAGCTGCCAGAGCGGCGCCCGGGCGGGTTCGTCGGCGCAGAGCTCGCAAGGCGAAAACACCGCCTTCCGCATCACCGTGCGGTTGCCGTCGAAGCGCCTGGCGCCGCCCGCAACGATCCGCGAATTGTCCGTCAACAGCACGCTCAGGCGGCGAATCACGCCGCTCCTCAAGTCGCCGGTAAGCTCGACGGAATCGGCGAACAACACCTCACCGCCCGGCTCTCGCAGCGCGACGTCGCCGGTTGCGGTCACCACGCCATCGCTTTGCCTGTAGCGGATGCGCGCGGCACGCAGAACGCGCTCGCCCTGGGCGACCTCGACATTGCCGGATGCGATGACCGAATCGGTCGTCTTCGTCATAAGTCAGCTCATCGGCGGTCATCAGGAGATCGCCCGTGAGCAGGTCATCGACGCGCGGCGCGGAGTCAGCCTCCTGTGCGCGCGCCTCCAGCGCGGAGAGGGCCAGGAGACACGCGAGAACGAGTGGCGCGAGGGCCTTAACCCGCATTTCTCACCACGATCATGGACAGCGACGCCCTTCGGGTCGCACCCAGGCGCCCGCCCGCGTCGTTGCGGGCCTCAACCGTATTCCCCGATACGCTCTTCGGCCCGCTCCTGGCGGATCGAGCGCCTGGGCGCGACGCAGGCCGTGACCGTGGTGAGTAATGCGGGTTCATCATGCCGGCGCTATCCGTCCTCGAGGTGGAACAGGCCGGCGACGCCGAGCAACGTGAAGATGCCCGCCGGAGTCCACGCCGCGAGCACCGGCGGCAGCTTGCCCGAGAGGCCGAGGGCGAGCACCAGGTCCGAGACGAAATAGAGGAGAAATCCAGTGAGTAGCCCGCCCAAGACCAACATCCAGGTGCCGCGCCGGGTGAAGCGAAGCGAGAAGGTCGCAGCGATCAAGACCATCGCGCAGAGGAGGAGAGGGGCGGCAAGCAGCGAATGCCAGTGCAGGCGGTGCTTCACCGAGGAGAAGCCGGACTCCTCCAGCACCTTGATGAAACTGGGCAGTGCCCAGAAGGACAGGGTTCCGGCGGCGAGAAGCTGTTCTGGATGCGCTCCAGGGTGAGGTCGGTCGGCACGCGGGCGTTCGCCCGGGGCCGGGCCGGCTCGTCCGGCGCGCTGAAGAGGGCATCCTTCAGGTTCCAGTAACCGTCCTCGAGCCGGGCTTCGGCGGCGTCGATACGGCCGACGAACTGGTCCTTCTTCGCGTAACGGAAAATGATCGTGTCGTACAGCGTCATCGTTTCCTGATCGATGCGCTCGGCGTGAACCACCGACTGGCCTTCAGAATCTCCCTGTCTGAGCCAGATTCCCGACTGCGAAAGGGCCAGCAGGCTCGAATTGCCGCGCAGATAGGTCGCGTCCAACTGCTCATAGCGCGATGTCGTGGCAGAGGCGAGAGGGTTGATGACTGTCATGAAGAGGCCGCCCAGGAGCACTGCGATGGCGAGCACGGGCAACAGGAACTGCCAGACCGAGACGCCCGCCGCCCGCGCGATCACGAGCTCGCGGCTCCGCGTCATCTTCGCGAAGGTCACGATGCCGCCGACGAGAACGATGAAGGGCAGTGCCTTTTGGGCCATGAAGGGAATGTGGAGCGATGCCATCTGGAGAACGATTTCGAGCGTGGCCGTCTTGTCTGGCCCGGACGCGCGGCGCAGCAGCTCGATCGTATCGGCGATGAGAATAGTCATAATGACGAGCAGAAACACAAGCGCGACGCTCTGCAGATATTGCCTGCCCATGTAGAGCGAAAGGGTGGACGAGAGGCGCATCGGCCTTGGCCCCTACCCGTGCGTGCCCGGCTCTGGCGCCGCGGTGCGGCCGCCGAGAAAGCGCGGCAAGCGGCCACGCAGCACGGCGATCGCCGCGGCCGTCGCGAGGACCGGGTTGAGATACATGAGCGGAATGAGGTTGCTGCTCTTGGCCGTCGCGTTGACCAGGAAGAGCGCCAAGGCCTCGAACGCGACCGCGGCTACGATCGCGACGAGGATTCTGCGCCATTGTCCGCGCCGGTCGACGTTGCCCAGGAGCAGCGCCGCCAGGCCGATCGCGGCAAACGTATAGGCGAACAGTGGTGAGACGATGCGATTGTGCGCTTCGGAGAGGAACTTGCTGCGCATCCGCTCCGCACCCTCGCTGTCGGGGTCGAGCAGCTCGTCGACGAAGCGTTCGCGCGGCTCGCGCCAGCGGGCGCCCTCGCGTTGGGCAAATTCGCCCAGATCCATCGTGTAGCGCTCGAAATTAAGTAGCGAGAGCCGCGCCGAGTCGCGATCGATCCGTTGTCGGTGGCCGTTGAAAAGGATGAAGCGTGGGCCCTCATCGGTCTGAACCAGCAGGCCGCGCTCGGCCATCATCGTGACCGGCCTTTCCTTCTCGCGGGCGTCATGCACGAGGATGCCGTTGAGCGAGCCGCCCTCGCGCCCTCGAATGTAGACCGTGACGCCCTCGGTCAACGTGTTGAACGAGCCTTCCTCCAGGAGAAGCGCTGAATGCTCGGTGCGCAGGACGAACTGCCGCTCCTTAAACTCCCGGTGGCTGACGGGCATGACGTACATGCCTATCGCGTACGAGACGACGACGATGATCGTGGCCATCGCCAGCGCCGGCTTCGCCAGCGACCACTGGCTGACGCCCGCCGCGCGCAGGCTGACCAGTTCGCTGTCGATTGTGAGCCTGTTGTAGACGAAAAGCAGCGCGCAGAAGAAGGCGATCGGCAATATCGCGCCCAGGAACGTCGGCAGCACCAGCATGCTCATCAGCAGGAAGACACTGAGCGACAAGCCCTTGTTGACGATCAAATCGATGATGCGCAGCGATTGCGACAGCCAAACGACCGCCGTGAGGCTCAGCGTGACGAGCAAGAACGGACCCACGAGCTGGCGCAGGAGGTAACGTTGGTAGCGGGGCATGCCCCATTATAGCGGTTTGCGCCGCAGAGCGGGTGTCGTGGTACCCGCGGCACAGGTGGCGCCCGCCCGGCTGCCGGTCAGGGCGGCCCTCGCGTCCCGAGCCGGCCGTCTGCGCCGCCTCTTCGCCGCGTCGGGCTAAAGCGACGGACGATGGCGGCTCCAGTTCGTCGCCGTCTCGAAGGCCGCCGCCGCGCGGAACACGCGGGCGTCGTCATAGGTGCGGCCGACGATCTGCAGGCCGGTGGGAACGCCGCTTTTGGCGAAACCGGTCGGCACGCTCGCGACCGGGCACTGATTCATCATGTTGAACGGATAGGTGAGCAGCCAGCCCATGTGAGGCTCGACCGACTTGCCGTTGATGGTGAAGCCGGGGTCCATGTTGGTGTGGTCCGCCTTGACCGCCGGCACTGCGAGGGTCGGGCAGATCATGACGTCGTAGTCTTCAAGGATGGGTGCGAGCTTCTGGTACATCCAGCCACGCGTGCGGCTGACCCGCTCGAATTCGACGGCGCTGACGCGGCTCCCCCTCTCCACCAGATCGACCACTCTCGGATCCATCTCGTAACGCCATTCGGGGAGGAAGTCCTGAAGGCCGCTGGCGAACATGACCTCGAAGAGCCGCAGATATTGATTGAGCACGCCGGAGGTCCAGCCGAGATCGACCTCGTCGACCTCGCAGCCCGAGATCGCGGAAGACCTGCACGGCCTTTCTGGTGTTCTCCTGCACCTCCGGGTCGACCTGGACGTAGCCGAGATCCGGCGAATAGGCGATGCGCCAGCCCTCAATACCCTCGTAAGTGAGCGGCAGCCGGATCCGCGTCCTGAGGGAGGCGATATCCGCCTTGTGGGGGCCGGAGACGATGTTCTGCAGCAGCGCCGACTCCGCCACCGTGCGGGTCAGCACGCCGATCTGGACCAGAAAGGCGTGGGGCCCGTCGATGTCGTTCGGATTGCGTCCGTAGGGCGGCTTGAAGCCGAAGAGGCCATTGACCGAGGCCGGAATGCGGATCGACCCGCCGCCGTCGCCACCGTCCGCGATCGTGGTCATGCCTGCGGCCACCGCGCCGCCGCTGCCGCCTGACGACCCGCCCGGCGTATACTCGGGGTTCCAGGGGTTGCGGCTCACGCCCCAAAGCGGGCTGTGACTCGTCCCTGCATAGCCGAACTCTGGCGTCGTTGTGCGAATGTGGAGGATCGCGCCGGCGCGCATGAGCCGCTCGGTGACCGGGTATGTGTGATCGGGGCGGTTGTGCTCCATGATCTTGGAGCCGATCGTGGTGATCTCGCCCTTGATCGCGTGATAGTCCTTGCTCGCGAACGGCAGCCCCTCGAGCGCTCGCAGCCGGCCGTCGGTCTTGCCGTAGCGCGCCTCGGCCGCCTTCGCCTGTTCCAGCGCGCGGTCGAAATAGCTGTGAGTCACGAGGTTGAGCGCCGGGTTGACCGCCTCGCAGCGGGCGATCACGGCCTTCATCAGCTCGACCGGCGACAGCGTCCGCGCCTTGAACGCGGCGAGCGCCTCGATCGCGCTCATGTAGCAAAGATCGAGGTCGCCTGCGCCCATGACGAAACTCCTATTCGTTGCTGAAGGCCTCGAGGCCGTCGAGATAAGCGAGGACGCGCTCCACCGGCTCGACGTCGCCGAACTTGGCGTCGATGTCGAACAGATTCCATTCGACAACGCCCGGCACCCGGTCGCCGACGCCTTCGCGCACGACGATGGGGCGGAAGCCCTCGGCGATCGCGTCTTCGGCGGAGTGGCGCACGCACCCCGCCATGGTGACGCCCGTGATGATCACTGTGTCGACCCGCTGGGCGCGGAGATAGCCTGCGAGGTACGTGCCGTGAAACGCGCTGGCGCGCTTCTTCACGATCACCTGCTCGCCGCGGGCCGGCATCGGCGCGATGCGCTCGTCGATTCCGCTTCCGGCGAGCCTTCGCGCAGCGTCTCGACCGGGATCTTCATGTGCCAGAGCCCGGTGTCGGAGCGCGGCCCGGTCGGGTCCTGATAGGCCGTCGTCGTGTAGATCACCGGAATATTCTTCTCCCGCGCGGCGGCCAGAAGCTGCTGATTCGCGGGGATGATGACGTCCATGTTGTCGCAGGTGAAGTTGTGGCCCGGCTTGGTCCACGCGTTGGCGAGGTCGATGATCAGCAGCGCCGGCCTGGTCCCGAACCCGATGCGGCGCTGGAATCCCCGCGTCTGGTAAATCTCGGAATCGGCAGCGAAGATCGTCTCCAATGCCCGCCTGACTTCCTCGTCGCGCGAAAGCTCCGCCGTCATCCTGAGTCCTCCTGCCATGAGATCGTTGCCGAGTGTAGCGGGCGTCCCGGCCCACCGCCAGCCGCCTTCCGTGGCTTGAGCAAACGGAATCAAGACGGTTGACCCTGCCGGTTCGCGGCGCCTAATTGAGGCGCGGACGCCGATATGCGCCCAGGGGCCGGGTGGCAGAGTGGCTATGCAGCGGACTGCAAATCCGTGTACGCCGGTTCGATTCCGGCCTCGGCCTCCAGCTTTCTTCCCCGATCCAGAGAGCGCTCGCCGTCCGGCGACGTTCCGCGCGTGAGGGGCGAATCACCACGGCTGACGAGAGCTGAGACGCGACGCGCCTCAGGCAGCCGGTCCCGATTCTGCTGCGATGCGTGTGCGCCTCGTGGTACAACGTGGCTATGCATGTTCAAAGGGGGCAGCCGGCATGAGGCGCTCGCACATCGGTAAGGGGATGCTTGCCTGCGTCCTCCTCTTGGCTCTGGCGGGGGCCGGTTGTGAGAACTCGGGACCGGTGGCTCCTCCGGAGGCAACCAAGGATCCCCGCTGGCGCGGCGCACAGCAGGCGAAAGGCAGCATTTTCGGCTCCGGCGGCGTCACGCTGTTTGGCGGCGAGGAAGAGGGGGCCGCAGCCGTCGGCATCGGCGTCAACGCCTTCCTCTGGCGCGCGACCCTCGACACCATCTCGTTCATGCCGCTGCTCTCGGCCGATCCCTTCGGCGGCGTGATCATTACCGACTGGTACGCGCCGCCCGAGACTCCCGACGAGCGCTTCAAGATGACCGTCTATATCCTGACAAGAACGCTGCGCTCGGACGGCGTGCAGGTCTCCGTATTTCGCCAGGGACGCGGCGATGACGGCCTGTGGGAGGACCGCGCGACCAACCCCGACACCGCCGTCAGCCTGGAAGACAAGATTCTCGACCGCGCCAGGCAGATACGCACCGCGTCGCTCCAGTAATAGAGGGTTCAGCGCCCAGCGCCCGTCCGCGCAGTGCGGCTGCGCTGTCTTGCCTGCCATGCTATAGGGACGCCGCTCTCCGGCGCCGGCCGGAATATGGGAGCGAGCGTGGCCGATGAGTGAGCGTTACGACGCGCAGGCGGTCGAGGCCAAGTGGCAGGCCGCCTGGGAGGATGCGGGGCTGTTCCGGGCGGAGCGCACTGATGGGCGCCCGACTTACTACGTCCTGGAGATGTTCCCGTACCCCTCGGGCCGCATCCACATGGGCCACGTGCGCAACTACACGATGGGCGACGTCGTCGCGCGCTACAAGCGGGCGCGGGGGTTCGACGTGCTCCATCCCATGGGCTGGGATGCCTTCGGTCTTCCGGCGGAGAACGCGGCGTTCGAGCGCGGCGTCCATCCTGCCGAGTGGACCTACGCGAACATCGCGACGATGCGCGGGCAACTGCGGCTGATGGGGCTCTCGATCGATTGGGAGCGCGAGTTCGCCACCTGCCACCCCGGCTATTACGCGCATCAGCAGGCATTGTTCCTCGACTTCTTCGAGGCCGGATTGGTCGAGCGGAAGGAGGCGTGGGTCAACTGGGATCCCGTCGACCACACGGTGCTCGCCAACGAGCAGGTCGTGGATGGGCGCGGCTGGCGCTCGGGCGCGCTGATCGAGAAGCGCAGGCTCGCACAATGGTTCTTCCGCATCACCCGCTTCGCCGACGAGCTGCTGGAAGCGCTGGAGGAATTGCCGCGCTGGCCCGACAAGGTGCGGCTCATGCAACGCAACTGGATCGGGCGCTCCGAGGGCGCGCGTATCCTGTTCCCCTTCGAGGGGCGCGACGAGGCGCTGGAGGTCTTCACCACCCGTCCCGATACGCTGTTCGGTGCATCCTTCTGTGCGCTCTCGCCCAATCATCCGTTGGCGACATCGCTCGCCGAATCCGATTCGCGCTCGCGGCGTTCATCGCCGAGTGCAACCTGGCTGGCGTCGGCGAGCGCGAATCGAGGCGGCAGGCAAGCGCGGCTTCGATACGGGAGTCAGGGTCCGGCATCCGTTTGGCCGCGGCCGCACGCTGCCGCTCTATGTCGCCAATTTCGTGCTCATGGACTATGGCACCGGCGCGATCTTCGGTGTCCCGCCCACGATCAGCGCGATCTCGATTCGCCCGCAGCCAGGGCCTGCCCGTCATTCCCGTGGTGTGCCCGCCGGCATGGATGCGGACGCAGTCGAGATCGGCGATGAGGCCTACGTCGGCGACGGCACGGCGATCAATTCCGACTTCCTGAACGGGCTCTCGGTCGCAGAGGCCAAGGCGCGCGCCATCGCCGCGCTCGCCGAGCGCGATGCCGGCGGAACCGCCGTCAGCTACCGCCTGCGCGACTGGTTGATTTCGCGGCAGCGCTATTGGGGCTGCCCGATCCCGATGGTCCACTGCACATCGTGCGGCGTGGTGCCCGTGCCGCGCGACGCGCTCCCCAGTGCGCCTGCCGGAGGACGTGACCTTCGACTCACCCGGCAACCCCCCTCGACCGCCATCCCGACTGGAAGCACACCACGTGCCCGCGTTGCGGCGCCGCCGCGGTGCGGGACACCGATACGATGGACACGTTCGTCGATTCCTCCTGGTACTTCGCGCGCTTCTGCGCGGCCCGCGCCGATGAGCCGCTGCCGGCAAGGGGAGGTCGCACCGTGGCTGCCGGTCGATCAGTACATCGGCGGCATCGAGCACGCGGTGCTGCACCTGCTCTATTCCCGCTTCTTCACCAAGGCGCTCAAGCTCTGCGGCCACGTCGACATCGATGAGCCCTTCGCCGGTCTCTTCACCCAGGGCATGGTGTGCCACGAAACCTACCGCGACGCCGACGGGCGCTGGTACTACCCGACGAGGTCGAGACCCGTACCGACGGACTGGTGGCTCGCGAGGATGGGCGCCCGATCGCCATCGGCCGGTCGGAGGCGATGAGCAAGTCCAAGCGCAACACCGTCGATCCCGAGGCGATCATCGAGGCCTACGGCGCCGACACGGCGCGGCTCTTCATGCTCTCCGACAGCCCGCCGGAGCGTGACCTGGAATGGACCGATACCGGCGTCAAGGGTGCGTGGCGTTACGTTGCGGCGCTCTGGCGCCTCGTCCTGTCGCCGCCCGTCGCGCTCCCGCCCCGCGACGTTGCGGCGCCGGCCCACGACACGCTGGCCACCCCCCTGCGCGGGGTGCGGAGGACCATCCACAAGACCATCGCCGGCGTGACCGAGGATTTGGAGCGCTTTCGCTTCAACCGCGCGGTGGCGCGGGTGCGAGAGCTGACGAACGCGCTCGCGGCCATGGAGGACGTGCCCGGCGCGGGCCACGTCATGCGGGAGGGCCTGGAGACGGCCATTCGCCTGTTGGGCCCGGTCGTGCCGCATCTGGCCGAGGAGGCATGGCGCCGTCTCGGTCATGACAGCTGGCTGGCCCGCGAGCCGTGGCCGGAGCCGGACCCCGCGCTGCTCGCCGACGACATCGTGGTCATCGCCGTGCAGGTGGACGGCAAGAAGCGCGCAACGATCTCGCTTCCGGCCGGTCACGGCAAGGCGGAAGCAGAGAGCGCAGCGATGGCGGACGGCGGCGTGCGCCGGGCGCTTGCCGGCCGGGACGTGCGCAAGGTGATCGTCGTGCCCGGGCGGATCGTGAATGTCGTCACCTGATCGGCCGCTCTCACGGCTCACTGCCCGCCTCCGGCGCGGGCCGATCCCCGCCCTCGCTCTCGTTCTTGCTCTCGTCATTCTCGGTGCCTGCGCTGTCGAGCCGCTCTATGGCACGCGTAGCGGAAAGGCGCGGGGCGGCGGTGTGGCGGCAATCGAGATCGTGCCGGTCAAGGATCGCATCGGCCATATCGTCCGCAACCGCTTGATCGACAGCCTCACCCCCAAGGGGCAGCCGACGCATCCCGACTACCGCCTGACCCTCTCGGTCAAGCAGAGCAAGACGCCACTCCTGATCCAGCTCGACGACAACGCGACCCGATTCAATCTGACGCTGCGCGCCGAGTTCTCGCTGGCCGACCGGAGCGGGGCGGTGGTCTATAGGGATAATGTGAGAGCGACCGGCGGCTTCAACGTCGTCGACTCAGGCTTCGCCACCGTGGCTGCCGAGCGGGACGCTGCGGAAGAGGCTGCGCGGGTGCTGAGCGAGGACATCCTCACGCTGATTCTCCTCTATCTCCGTCGATGAGACGCCGGCGATCTTGCGATCCGGCGGCTAGAGCGCGTTCGCCTTTGACGGACGCGCGACAGGCCGCGACCGCGGCCCGCCGCGAATGCGGCGCGCCCGCGCAGGCGCCGGCCGCAGGCCGGCTGCCGTGAGCGATAAATGGCTAGAGCGCTTCCGTGTGAAACGGAAGCGCTCTAGTAAGCCGTGAAGATCGCGCCAGCGCGTGCCGACCGGTTCTGCGCTGCGCCGGACACCGGCGTCCGGCTGGTCCTGATCTACGGTTCCAACGAAGGCCTGGTGCGGGCGCGCGCCGAAGCCTGTGTGCGCGCCGTGGCGGAGGATCCGGACGACCCTTTTCGCGTCACCAGCCTGGCCCCGGCGCTGCTCCGCGACGAGCCGGGCAGGCTCGCCGATGAGGCGGCGGCGCTCTCGCTCACCGGCGGCAGGCGCGCGGTCCGCCTGCGTGGGGTGACCGAGGCGGCGGTTCCGGCGGTCCGTTCTTGCCTCGCACTGCCCACCGTGGAGAGTTTGGTGGTCGCGGAAGCCGGCCCGCTCACCCCGCGTTCGGGGCTCAGGCGCCTATGCGAGCAGGAACAGAGCCTCGCCGCCATCCCCTGCTACGATGAGAGCACCGAGGGCGCCCGGGCGTTGATCGAGGCTTTCTGCAGGCAGCGAAATTTATCGGCCGCGCCGGAGACCATCGCCTGGCTTGCCGAGCGCCTGGGCAGCGACCGCCGCCAGATCGAGAGCGAGGTCGAGAAGCTCGCGGTCTATCTCGGCGATTCGGGGCCCGAGGGCGGCGTGCTCACGATGGAGGTCGCGGAGGCGTGCGTCGGCGATGCGGCCGAGGCGTCCGCCGACGCGGTCGCGCGGCTGGCCGTATCCGGCGACCTTGAAAGGCTCGACCGGGCGCTGGCGCGCGCGCTCTATGGTGGCGTTCAACCGATCGCCATGCTTCGCGCTGCTGCCCGGCGCCTCGCCCGCCTCCACCTCGCGACCGGTGCGGTGGAAGGAGGCGCCAGCCGGGGGGATGCGATGGGCGCCCTCAAGCCGCCCGTCTACCCGAGAGAACGAGCCGCGTTCGCCCAGGAGATGACACGCTGGCCGAGCGCCCGTGCGGCCCGCGCACTGGGGCTGCTTACCGGCGCGGAGCGCGACTGCAAGGTCTCCGGCGGCGCGCCTGCGGCGATCTGCTCGCAGGCGCTGCTTCGCGTCGCGCGGGCGGCCCGCAGGGAGCGCGTCTGAGGGCGGCCTCTGAGCAGCTCAGGCCGCGATGCCGGCCAGCGTGCAGATGCGCCGCCACTCGGCCTCGGACACCGGACTCACCGAGAGGCGCGACTGACGCAGAAGCTGCATGTCGCTCAGCGCCGGGTCTTCCTTGATCTGTTTCAGCGTGACCGGCTGCCCCACCGGGACCACGGCCTTGACGTCGACCATGCCGAAGCGCCCGGACGGAGTCGGTCGGGTCCGGGTAATGCTCCTTTACCACCTCGACGACGCCGACGATCTCCTTCGCATTGACCGAGTGGTAGAAGAAGCAGCGGTCGCCCTCCTTCATGGCCTTCATGTTGTTGTTCGCCTGATGATTGCGCACGCCGTCCCACTCGGTGACGCTGTCGCGCACCTGATCGTCCCACGACCAGGATCCGGGTTCCGACTTCAAGAGCCAATAGGCCATTCCGTCCCCTCCAAAGACCGCTTCTCTGTGCGTCCAGTCTAGCCAACCATGTCTCAAGCGCCAGCCGCCCCGTGCCAGGATGCTCGCACACCGAGGTCCAGCCAGCAGTGGGCCGGCCAGTGCCTTGATATCGGCGAACGATGCGCCCACACTATGTCCATTGCCGGGTAACGTGACTGGCCGGGGGCGTCCACATGCGCGCCGTCGGCGGCGGGTGGGCGCGGGGCAATGTCCTTCTTCGAGATGGGCGGCTATGCCGCTTATGTGTGGCCGGCCTTCGGCGCCGCGGCTGCAATCATGGTCGCGCTCCTCGTGCTGAGCATCCGCACCATGCGCGTACGCGAGGCGGCGCTCAAGACCCTTGAGGCGAGCGCCCGGCGCCGGCGTGCCGCCGAAGGAGACGGTGACCGTGACGGGGAGCAGAACGCCCCGGCATGAAGCGCAAGCACTGGCGGTTGGTCTTTCTGGGCGGGGGGCTCGGCGCGCTCGGCCTCGCTGCGGGCCTGGTGCTGACCGCGCTCGACGACACGCTCGTCTTCTTCCATGACCCGAGCACGCTCAAGGAACGGCAATTCTCCCCCGAGCAGCGGCTGCGCGTGGGCGGCCTGGTGGAGGAGAGCAGCGTGGTAAGGGCGGACGACGGCTTGACGGTGCGCTTCACCATCACCGACCTTGCCCATACCGTGCCCGTGACCTATCGCGGGATCCTGCCCGACCTGTTTCGCGAGGGGCAGGGGGTGGTGGCCGAGGGCTATCTGAAGGGCGGCACCTTCGAGGCCGACGAGGTGCTCGCCAAGCACGACGAGAACTACATGCCGCGCGAGGTGGCGGACGCGCTCAGGAAGTCCGGCAACTGGAAGGGCGAAGGCACCGAATGATCCCGGAGATCGGCCATTACGCCCTGATCCTCGCGCTGGCCATGGCGCTCGTGCAGGCCACAGCGGCGCCGCTCGGCGCAAGGTTCCGCGACGGCGCCCTGATGGCGCTGGCCCGGCCGGCTGCGGTGGCGCAGTTCGCCTTCATCTCGGCCGCGCTGGCCTGCCTGATGCAGGCCTTCGTCGTCTCCGACTTCTCGGTCGTGACGGTCGCCGACAACTCCCACTCGGCCAAGCCGCTGCTCTACAAGTTCACCGGCACATGGGGCAATCACGAAGGCTCGATGCTGCTCTGGGTCTGGATTCTCGCGGTCTACGGCGCCGCCGTGGCGGCCTTCGGGCGCAACCTGCCGCCGGTGTTCCGGGCCTGGGTGCTGGCCGTGCAGGCCCTGATCGGTCTCGGCTTTCTGGTCTTCATTGTCGCCACCTCCAACCCCTTCCTCAGGCTCGACCCCGCGCCGTTCGACGGGCGCGACCTCAACCCGCTGCTGCAGGATCCCGGCCTCGCATTCCACCCGCCGCTGCTCTATCTCGGCTATGTCGGGCTCTCGACGGCGTTCTCCTTCGCCGTGGCGGCGTTGATCGAGGGGCGCGTGAACGCGGCCTGGGCGCGCTGGGTCAGGCCGTGGACGCTGCTCTCCTGGTGCGCGCTGACGGCGGGTATCGCGTTGGGTCCTGGTGGGCCTATTACGAGCTCGGCTGGGGCGGGTACTGGTTCTGGGATCCGGTCGAGAACGCCTCCTTCATGCCTTGGCTGATGGCGACCGCGCTGCTGCACTCGTCCATCGTGGCGGAGAAGCGGGACAGCCTGAAGAGCTGGACCGTGCTGCTCGCGATTCTCGGATTCTCGCTCAGCCTGCTGGGCACCTTCCTGGTGCGCTCCGGCGTGTTGACCTCGGTGCACAGCTTCGCCTCCGACCCGGCGCGCGGGGTCTACATCCTGATGTTCCTGGTGATCGTCGTCGGCGGCTCGCTCACGCTCTACGCCTGGCGCGCGCCGGGGATGCGGGCCGGCGGCACGTTCCGCCCGTTCTCGCGCGAAGGCTCGCTGCTGGCCAACAATCTGCTGCTGGCCGTCGGCTGCGCCACGGTCTTCATCGGCACGCTCTATCCGCTGATCCTCGACGCCGTCGCCGGCCAGAAGGTCTCGGTCGGCCCGCCCTTCTTCGAATCGACCTTCGTGCCGCTGATGATCCCGCTCCTCCTGATGATGGCGGTAGGGCCGTTGATGGCCTGGAAGCGCGCCGGACCCGGCGCCGTGCTCCCGCGCCTTGCGATCTCGCTCATCGCCGCCATCGCCGTGGCGGCGGCGGTCGCGGCGAGCGGCGGCGGGCCGTGGGGCGCGGTGCTCGGCATGGCGCTCGCCGGCTGGGTGGTCGCGGGCGTGCTGACGGAGCTGGCCGCGCGCGTGCGGCTCTTCCGGGTTCCGCTCGGCGAAAGTGCGCGCCGCGCCGTCGGCCTGCCGCGCGCGGCCTGGGCGATGAGCATCGCCCATCTCGGTGTAGCCGTGCTGGTGGCGGGCACGGTGGGGGCCGGCAACTGGCAGACTGAGCGGGAACAGGTGATGCGGCCGGGGGATTCGGTCGCGCTCGCCGGCTATGACTTCAAGCTGCTCGGCGTCGGCGACGTGCCCGGCCCCAACTATATGGCCCCGGCGGGGCGAGGTCCGGGTCTTGCGGGACGGGGAGGAGGTCGCGCTCCTCCTGCCCGAGCGCCGCCACTATCCGGTTCAGGACACCTGGACCACCGAGGCCGCGATCCACACGACCTGGCTTTCCGATCTCTATGTCGTCGTCGGCGAGGATGCACCCGGCGGCGGTGGCACGGCAATCCGCATCCATCACAACCCGCTCGTGCCCTGGATCTGGATCGGCGCGTTGACCATGGTGGCGGGCGGCGCCGTCTCGCTCACCGACCGCCGCCACCGTGTCGGCGCACCCACCCGTCGCCGGCGGACGGCAGAGGCCGCCGTCGCTTCTGTCGGTGCAAGCGACTGAGGGACACGTGTTCGACTTAAGGCTACGTTTCGCATTGTCCCTAGGTCGAGGCCGCCGCCGGGGCGGGTCAACGAGAGATACCGAGGACCGCGCTACCCAGGTGCCCACGCAGACGGTCACTCAAGCGCCTCTGGATGAGCATGCGGGGGATAAGCCGGTCTCCCCCGCCCGGCGGCTCCGCTATCTCGTGCCGGTATTTCTCTTCGTCGCGCTGGCCGCCGCGCTCGGCGTCCAGTTGCTCACCGGCGAGCCCGGCAAGGTGCCATCCGCGCTGATCGACAAGCCGGTGCCGGAGTTCTCCCTCCCACCGGTTCAGGGGTTCGAGGAGGCGGGCGGGTTCGCGACCGCCGATCTGGGGAAAGGCAAGATCGCGCTCGTCAACATCTTCGCCTCCTGGTGCGGCCCATGCCGGGTCGAGCATCCGCTGCTCATGGCGCTCGCCGAGGCCGGGACGGTCCCCCTCTACGGCATTAACTATAAGGACACGCCGGACGACGCCGAGCGTTGGTTGGCCGCCTCGGCAATCCCTACACGCTCATGGGCGCCGACCTCGACGGCCGGACGGGAATCGACTGGGGCGTCTACGGCGTGCCCGAGACCTTCGTGATCGACGGCGCCGGCCGAATCCGCCACCGCCATGTCGGGGTGCTCACGCCGCAGGACATCGACGACACGATCCTGCCGCTGATCGCGGACCTGCGCGGATGAGTGGCGTTCGGCGGGTCGTGCTGGGCGGGGTCGTTGCGCTCTGGCTCGCACTCGCGGCGGGCCCTGGTCTGGCTTTCTCGCCCGACGAGCCGCTCGCCGACCCGGCGCTTGAGGTGCGCGCCCGCGCGCTCCATGAGGAGCTTCGCTGCCTGGTGTGCCAGGGCCAGTCCATCGCCAATTCCAATGCGGCGCTTGCTCAGGACATGCGCGCCATCGTCCGCGAGCGCCTCGCTGCCGGCGAGAGCGACGCGGACGTGCGGGGCTTCCTCACCGACCGCTACGGCGATTACGTCCTGCTCGACCCGCCGTGAAGCCCGAGACCTATGCGCTCTGGTTCGGGCCGGCGGCCGTTTTCGTCGCCGGCGCTGCCATCGTTTACGCCTTGTTGCGCCGCGCGAGGGCCGGGGGGCGCGGCGCGGGGGCAACGCCTCTCTCCGCCGAGGAGCGGCGGCGGCTCGACGCGCTCCTCGACGACGATTCATAGCCGAGCAGCCGATGATCTTCGCGCTTGCCGCCGCCCTGCTGACGGCGCTTGCCGTCGCGGCGGTGCTGATCCCGGTGCTGCGCCGGCACCGCCAGGGCCCGTCGCGGGCGGACTACGACCTCACCGTTTACCGCGATCAGCTCCGCGAGCTCGAGAGCGACCGCGCCCGCGGGCTGGTCAGCGAGGACCAGGAGGAGGCGGCGCGCACCGAGATCGAGCGGCGCATGCTGCGTGCGGCACGAGCGCGGGAAGCGGCGCAGACGACGGAAGCGGCGCAGGCAGCCGAGCCACCGGACGACCGCGCTCGCGGACCGGCGGCATGGCGGCGGCGGGCGGCGGCGCTGGGGCTCGGCCTTTGCATCCCGGCCCTTGCCGCCGGCGTCTATGCAAGCCTCGGCACTCCCGGGCTGCCGGGCCGTCCCTTCGCCGAGATCGAGCGGCCGGTCGAAGAGCCGGCGGCAGTTGCGGCCTTTCGCGAGCCGGTCGAGCGCCTCGCGGCGCGGCTGCAGAGCGATCCCGGCAATCTCGAAGGCTGGCTCTTGCTCGGCCGCTCCTACGTGGTTCTGCAGCGCTATCCCGAGGCGGCCGACGCGCTACGGCAGGCGGCCGCTCTTTCCGGCGGCGATCCCGAAGTGCTGGGGATGCTGGGCGAGGCGATCGTTTGGGCCAACGACGGGGTGGTGGTGCCCGAGGCGGTCCGCGTCTTTCGCCAGGCCCTCGAAACGCAGCCGGATGACCCGGTCTCTCGCTTTCACCTGGCGCTTGCCCGCGCGCAGGCCGGGAGGTGCAGGAAGCCTACGAGATCTGGCTCGCACTTGCCGCCGATACACCGGCCGACGCGGCCTGGCGCGGCGATCTGGAGGGGCTGATCGGCAGGCCGCCGAGGTGCTAGGCGTCGAGCCGGGGCTAGCGCCGCGCGCGCCTGCTGTCGCCGAGGCGCCTTCCGGCCCGACGGCGGACGACGTGGCGGCGGCCGCAGAAATGTCCCCGGACGAGCGCATGGAGATGATCCGCGGCATGGTGGAGGGCCTCGCCGCGCGGCTCGAGGAGAATCCGGACGACGCGCAAGGTTGGCGCCGCCTCGCCCGCTCCTACGCCGTGCTCGGCGAGCCCGAGAAGGCGCTCGACACGCTGCGCCGGGCGGTGGAGTTCGCTCCCGACGATCTCGCGACACTTCATGCCTACGCGCGTGCTCTCACCGGCGACATCGGCGCGAATCCGCATCGCCGCCGGCGGCTGTCGCAGTCTATGAACGAATCCTCGCGCTCGATCCCGCCGATGGGGCGGCACTCTGGTTCGTCGGGCTCGCGGCGGCGGAGCGCGGCGACGCCGACGCCGCGCGCATCCATTGGGAGCGCCTCCTGCCTCTGCTCGCACCGGGCACGGAAGAACACGAGGCGGTCCGGACCGCGCTCGACACTCTCTAAGACACTCTCCAGGTAGAGGGACGCGCCCGGACACCAGCCCGGACGCCAGCGCTGCGCACATTCTGCGTCGCGGTTGCGAACGCGATTCTGCGATCTTCCTCGTTGCCTCTCGCGCAGAGGGCATCTTCGGAGTCTACGACGCCGGTATCGTGGGAACCTCGACCAATGACATCACCATCACCGGCGTCGGTGCCCGCATCAAGTTCTGATCGCGGGGCAAAGACCGGCTCTTGGCAAGAGGCGGCATAGGAGGACAAGGGGGCGGCCGCACCGTGCGGCCGCCCCCGACACATTTATAAGGCCAGCGTCTAAACGCCCATGAAGCTGATCCAGCCGGTGACGATGTACTTCTCTTCGCGCGGCGCCACCTCGCCCCGGTGGGTGTGAGTGAAGCCCGCCGGCCAGATCACCGTCTTGCCCTTGGCCGGCGTGACGAGGTGTTCCTGAATGGTGAAGTACGTGCCGCCGCCCTGGGCAATGTCGTTGAGGAAGGTCTGGAAGGCGAGCACCCGGTGGCCGAGGTCGAGGCCGCTGCTCTCATAGTGGGCGCCGTGGAAGGCGCCGCCGGGCTTGTAGTACTGCATCTGCGGCGGCTCCAGGAAGCCGAGCTTGTCGGAGGCCTCGCCCAGCACCGGGAATGCCCGCAGGTAGTCGCCGAGGCAGGCCATGACGTGGCCGCGATAGGCGCGCACAGTCTTGGCATAGACCTCGTAGGGGAAGCAGGTGAGGCTCGCGTCCTCGGAGTCCTTCCACGACTTGTCGACGCCCTTGGCGCTCGTCCCCGGCCGGGTGAGGCCGAGCCGGCGCGTTCGCTTGAAGCCCTTGATCAGCTCGTCGCAGAGCGCGGGCTTCTCGATCTTGTATTCCCTGATCCAGCGCATCGCCGGGTGTTGCCTCCCTGCACGGTGATTCGCGCCCGCATCGCTGCCGCTATGCACGCGTGACCGGGCATTCTAATTCCATTTGCATGGCGGGCACGCCATGGTTATTGTGCGCGCCGCAAAGGGAGTGTCTACAAGCACCGCGCCCGCGCGGTGCTTCAACCTTGGACAAACGATGAGAGCCGGGTCCGGCTGTCTCGGCCCCGTGCTGAAGGGAGGGTGCGCATGTCGCATACCGACAGAAGGAAGACTTCAAGAAGGAACTGTATCGGCTCTGGTCGATGCACGCGGACCGCAAGAACTACAACGTCTCGCGCCGCGACCTGATCAAGGGCATGGCCGGCCTCGGGCTCGGTGCAGGCGCGATCAAGATGTTGATGAACCAGGCGCCCTTCAGCGTGAGGGAGGCCTGGGCGGCCGAGGGCGCCACGCCTGAGGAGCGCGCCATCAACGGTGCCAAGGCGCTCTTCGCCGATGCGCCGAAGAAGACCATCAGCGTCATGTATCCGTCGGGGTCCGGCGGTAACCTGTCGCCCTTCACCGAGGAGTGGAAGGGCCTCACCGGCTTCGACGTCGAGCTGATCGAGGTGCCGGTCACCGAGACCCACCAGAAGGCGATGCAGGAAGCGGTGGCCAAGACCGGCCGCTACGACATCATGATCCCGGCGCCGCTGAGCCTTGCGGACCTCGCCGAGTCTGGCGTGGCGCGGCCCCTCGACGACTTCATGGACAAGTACGATCCCGAGGTCTACTCAGGGCCCAACAAACTCCAGTTCCCGGTGTCCGAATTCGGGCAGAAGTATAAGGGCAAGACCTACGGGCTCTATTGCGACGGCGACTGGTGGCACCTGAGCTACCGCAAGGACAAGCTCGCCGAGAAGGGCCTGGCGCCGAAGTCGAAGCGGGAGATGGTCCATACCTGGACCGAGTACGACGCCCTTTGCGCCGAGATGCACGATCCTGACAACAACTTCTACGGCGCCCTCGAGTACCGCTCGCCGTTCTGGAACAAGTTCCACTGGATGACGCGGGTCCAGTCGAAGGGCCACTTCTACTTCGACGAGGACATGAACTCGATGGCCGGCTCGGAGCAGAGCATCGAGACGCTCAAGGAGCTGATCGCGCTGCAGGACATCATGCCGGCCGAGCAGTTCACCTACGGCTTCACTGAGAATTACGCGCAGTACTACGCGCAGGGCCGTGGTTTCTGTGAGTTCGGTTGGCCGTCGCTCTGGCGTTACAGCAACGACGCGGCGGGCTCGCAGTCGATCATCGCCGCCAAGGGCGAGGACGGCGAGCCTTCGCAGACTGCCGTCTCGAAGGTGCCGGGCACCATGCACAACGGCGAGCTCATCCGCTCGTGCATCCATGCCTTCGCCTGGGACTTCGTGGTGAGCAACTACTCGCCGATCCAGGAAGCCGCCTACTGTTACTCGCAGTGGCTCACCGGACCGACCATGTCGATGCGCTCGATCCCGAACGAGGGTGGCTACTTCGACCCGTGGCGTGACAACCACTTCTTCGCTCCGTCGGCGGAGTTCTTCGCGTCGTATCCGGGCGATTTCCTGGCGACCCACGCCGAGGCGATCGTGGACGCGGTGCCGGAGATTCAGTTGCGCGGCGCGGCGGAGTACCTCAACGCACTCGACATCAATCTGACTGCCTCCTACAACGGCAACAAGTCGCCCGAAGAGGCGATGGCAGACACCGCCAAGGAGCAGAACCGCATCACGCGGCGCCTGGGCAAGGCAGAGCAGAAGGAGAGCTGGCACGGCCTGGCCAAGATGTATCCGGAGCCGCTGCAGAAGCTCGTCGGCGTCGAAAAGTGGGTTCTGTAGTCCGACCCTAACAGTACAGGCGGACTGCAGGTACAGTGGTTACGAAGACTGCGAACGGCGGCGTGCCCGTGCGTGCATTGCAGGCGCGGGCACGCCTGTTCGACCCCAACGACAAGCGCTACATCGGCGCGCTCTTCATCACGCCCGTTCAGCTTCTGTTAATTATGATGCTGATTTTCCCCTTCGGCCTGGAGTTCTTCGTCGCGCTGACCGAATGGCAGCCGACTTTTGGAACCTCCATCTGGCAGGCCGTGGGGTCGGTGTTCTCCGGCGATACCGAGCTCGGCCTCAACTACTATTATCTGGTGACGGACGAGCCGCGCTTCCTCGAGGCGCTGGGCCGGACGCTCGTCATATCGGTGTTGAGCCTCTGCCTCGAATTTTTGATCGGGTTAGGGCTCGCCACAATCTTCCTTAAGCAGTTTTGGGGCAAGCGCATCTGGTTCACCGCGCTGCTGACCCCGATGATGATCATGCCGGTCGTCGTCGGCTACACCTGGTTCATGCTGTTCCAGTACAGTGGTCCGGTCAATCAGGTGCTCGGCTGGATCGGCGGCACCTCCGCCGGGGCCGACCTGCAGTGGCTCAACCACGGCGTGCTGGCCTTCTTCGCCGTGGTCATCACCGAGGTTTGGCACTGGTCGCCGCTGTTCTTCCTGATCCTGCTCTCGGGCCTCAACGCGGTGCCGGAGAACCCTGTGCGCGCGGCGACCGTGCTCGGCGCCAGCAACTGGCGGATTTTCTGGACCGTCATCATGCCCAACATGCGGGGCGTCATCATCATCGCCTTCGTGATCCGCGGCATGGAGGTCATCAAGCTCTTCGACGAGATCTATATCCTGACCCGCGGCGGTCCCGGCACGGCGACCGAGACCATGAGCCTCTACCTCTACAAGCTTGGCTTCCAGGACTTCCGCCTCGCCTACGCGGGGTCGGCGGGCTTCATCGTGCTGGTGATCACCGTGGTGATGATCAACATGATGCTGCGGCCGATCCGTTACCAGTTGCTGGAGAAGCGTTAGATGGGCGCGAGGAAATTCGGTCCCGGCAGCGCGATCGGGCTTGCCCTCGGGCTGCTCTTCGCGGTGTTCCCGCTGTTCTGGATGGTGTCCACCTCCTTCAAGCCGTCGAACGAGTGGGTCACGACGCCGCCGGTGTGGGTGTCGGAGAACGGCACCGTCACCAACTATCTCGTGATTCTCTGGCCGTCCGTCCTGCTCGAGCAGCGGGGAGGTCTCGGCCAGTACACGGAGGAAGGCGAGATCAAGGCGCAGCGCGCCACCCAGTCATCGTCGGTGAGCGGCGCGGTCGCCGACTTCCTGACCAAGTCGGCGTGGCAGTCCATCCGGGGCTCGGTCATCATTTCGGTGCTCGCGACCATACTGTCCATTGTGGTCGGCTTCATGGCCGCTGTCGCCATCGCGCGATACCGATTCGGCGGCAACATCACACCCTTCTTCATATTATCGGGGCGAATGTTCCCGCCCATTGCGATCGCCATCCCCTTCGTCGTGATGTTCAGCGCGCCCGGAATCGAGGCGACCGACACCTACTGGGGGCTGATCCTGGCCTACGCAGCGGTCACGGTGCCGTTCTCCACCTGGATGCTGAAGAGCTTCATCGACGAGCTGCCTCAGGAGATCGAGGAGGCGGCGATGATGGACGGCATGTCGCGATGGGAGGCACATATCAGGGTCACGGTGCCGCTCATCAAGGGCGGATTGATCGCGACGGCGCTCTTCATCTTCATCCTCAACTGGAGCGAGTTCCTGTTCGCGCTGGTGCTGACCTACACCAATGTCGAGACCATCCCGGTCAAGCTCTCCAAGTACTTCAGCGCCACCTCGGGCCAGCAGTACGGCATTCAGGCGGCGCTCGCGTGCGTCTCTATCGTTCCGCTGGTGATCGTCGGCTTCTTCATCCAGCGGCATCTGGTGCGCGGCCTCACCCTCGGCGCGATCAAGCGTTAGCGGCACGATGGCAAACATCAAGCTGGAGCTGGTGGAGCTCCGCAAGGAGTTCGGCGACCTCATCGCCGTCGACGACGTGTCCCTCGGCGTCGAGGAAGGCGAGACCATGGCGCTGCTGGGGCCGTCCGGCTGCGGCAAGTCGACGACGCTGAACATGATCGTGGGCCTGGAGCCGCCCACCTCGGGCGATATTCTGATCGACGGCAAGTCGGTGCTGGACGTTCCCCCCGGTCAGCGCAATGTCGGCCTGGTGTTTCAGGACTACGCCGTCTTCACCCACATGAATGTCCGGCACAATCTGGAGTACGGGCTTCGCGTGCGTGGCATGACGCGCCCCGATATGGAACGGGAGGTGGCGAAGGTCGCGGCCTTCCTCAATCTCGGCCATCAGCTCGATAGCAAGCCTCTGGAACTGGGTGCGAGTGAGCTGCAGCGGGTCGCGATCGGGCGCACGCTCGTAACCAACCCCGAGATCCTGCTGCTCGACGAGCCGCTCAGCAACCTCGAAGCCGAGATGCGCAACCAGATGCGCCGCGAGCTCCGGCGCATCCAGACCGAGACCGGACAGACCATCATCTATGTGACCCATGACCAGATCGAGGCGCTCTCGCTGGCGCACCGAATCGCGGTCATGGATTTCGGTGCGCTCAAGCAGTACGACACAGCACACAACGTCTACCACTATCCCGACAACACCTTCGTCGGCAGCTTCCTCGGCAACCCGCCGATGAACTTCGTGCGCGGGCAGTTCGGCCATGACGGCAACCGTCCCGTCGTGGCGCAGAACGGCTCGATCATTCCCGTGCCGCCATCCAGCGCCGCGGGATTGGGCGACGGCGCCGAGGTGATCGTCGGCATGCGGCCAGAGTCGATGTTGGTGGCGGAAGCGGGCGACCCGGAAGCGTTCATCGCCTTGGTCGTCGCGGTCGAGCCGCAAGGGCCGGAGACAGTTCTCACGGTGCGGCTCGGCCAGACCGACCTGAAGCTGATCGTGGGGACCGGTATGCAGGCCCACGAAGGTAGCGAGATCACAATCCGGCCGGACGCCGAGCTGCTGGCCCTGTTCGACGCCGCATCGGGCGTCCGCTTCAGGGCGTGAGCCGGGCCATGGTCGAAACCCTCCTGGAGCTTCGCTCCATCTCGAAAAACTTCGGCGCCGTGCAGGCGCTCAGGGAGCTGAGCCTCGAGGTTCCGCGTGGCTCGCTGATCGTGCTCCTGGGCCCGGCCGGGGCAGGCAAGACCACCACCTTGCGGATCGTCGCAGGGCTCGAGGCGCCGACCTCGGGCGAGGTATGGGTCGAGGGTCAGAATTTCACCAAGCTGCAGCCCAACCGGCGCGACATCGCGATGATCTTCGACAATCTCGCGCTCTACCCCAACAAGACGGGGTATGAGAACGTCGCCTCCCCGCTCAGGCTCGCCAGGATGCCGAAAGCCGACATCAAGAAGCGGGTCGACGAGATCGCGGGGCTGCTCAAGATCGGGCACATTCTCGGCCGCCTGCCCGCGACCTTCAGCGGCGGCGAGCGGCAGCGTGTCGCTCTCGGCCGCGCCATGGTGCGCGAGCCGCGCTTCTATCTGCTCGACGAGCCGCTTTCGAGCCTCGACTTCATGCTCCGCATCGAGCTCAGGACCGAGCTGAAGCGCCTGCAACGCGACCTCGGCCGCACCTTCGTCTTTGCGACGCCCGACTACACCGAGGCGCTGGCGCTTGCGGACACCGTCTGCGTCTTGCTGGAAGGCGAGGTGCGGCAGATTGCCAAGGCGCAGGAGCTCTACGACGAGCCGGCCGACCGCGACGTGGCCCGCTTCGTCGGCAACCCCAAGATCAATATCGTGCCCGGGCGGCTCTCGCGCGAGAACGGTCAGGCCAGCCTCACCATCGGCTCGATGGTGCTGCCTCTACCCGACCGTATGGAGCACGGGCTGCCGGCGAACTTGAGCGAGGTCGAGGTGGGGCTCCGCCCCGAGCACGTCCGAATCGTGGCCTCGGCGACCGAGGAAACGCACCGCACAGGATTTGTCAACGACCTCGAGCCGCTCGGCGTGCACACGACAGTCGGTATCGACCTGGCGGGGATCAACCTGGCGTTGACCGTAGCCGGCGTGCAGGAGTTCAATGACGGCGACCGGGTCGACGTGCAACTCGATACCGAGACCCTGCTATTCTTCGACCCGATCTCAGGGCGTCGGGTCGGAAACTAGCAAACCCGGCAGCACGTCTGCTCCCCTAATCCCTACGAGCGGCCGTCGCCGGTACCGGTGGCCCGCACGGCGTGGGCTAGAGACGAGGGAGTGAATCGCCATGCCGAAGACCGCACGCGCCGATACGCAGACGGCAAGCGCTGAAGACGAAATCACACAGGCGGCGATCCAACGGATCGAAGAGAGCGCCGAGGGGCGGATGCGGGATATCCTGCTCGGCCTCACCCGCCACCTGCACGGCTTCATCCGGGAGGTCGAGCCGACCGAGGAGGAGTGGCTGGCCGCCATCCGCTTCCTGACCGAAACGGGCAAGAAATGCGACGAGCGCCGCCAGGAGTTCATCCTCTTGTCGGACACGCTCGGTGCCACGATGCTGATCGACGCGATCAACAACCGCAAACCGGCCGGCGCGACCGAGAGCAGCGTGCTCGGGCCGTTCTATCAAGAGGGGGCGCCCGATTACGACAACGGCGCAGACCTGGCGGACGGCGTGACCGACGGCGAGCGGGTGCTCGTCTCCGGCAAGGTGGTCGATCTCGACGGCGCGCCGGTTTCAGGTGCGGTGCTCGATATCTGGCAGACCGGGCCCAACGCCATGTACGCGGCCCAGGACCCGAACGGGTCGTTCAGCCTGTGCGGCCGTCTCACCACCGGGGCGGACGGGCGTTACTGGTTCCACACGCGCAAGCCGGTGAGCTACACGATCCCCGGCGACGGCCCGGTCGGTGCCATGCTGGAGGCCGCCGGCCGCCACAACTGGCGCCCCGCCCATATCCATTTCATGCTCTCGGCGGCGGGGTACGAGACGCTGGTCACTCAGCTCTTCACCGACGACGACCCCTATCTCGGGTCCGATGCCGTGTTCGGCGTCAAGGACTCCCTGGTCGTCCACTACGAGTCGAGCGATGAGGGCCTGCGCCTCGACCACGATTTCGTCATGACGGCCGCGCAATAGGGAGGGCGCGCCGTCCAGGCCCTCTCGGACGAGAGGCGTCAGCAGGCGGCAAATCCGCTGTCTAACTGCCTTGAGTCGCCGGTTTTGTGACGGGCCCGCGACTCGAGGGCTTCACGTGCGTGTCAACCTGCCGCTGCAGGGTACCCGCCATCGAGATTCGTCCGGTTCTCTCTATCTCGTTGTAAAGGTTGACCTATTGTTCATTTCCCCAGTTCCGTTGTAGGCGACGCTGGACATGCCGCCGCGGGCTGTCCAAGATGAGCGACCGTGATTAGGGCCGCCTCGCGGTGACAAACAACAACGCGGCGCGCGGCATCACAAGGTATGGGGAGCGCTATGGGTGATCCTGTCGATGCCTTGACAACAATTTTCACCGAATCCTACTACTGGATCACGGTGGTCATGATGTTCCTGATTCACGCCGGGTTCTGCACCTACGAGGTAGGCGCATCCCGGCGCAAGAATGTTCTGCACACCTTGATGAAGAACACGATGCTGATCCCGTTGGTCACCGTCACGTTCTTCTTCTTCGGGTGGTACGTCTATTTCGCATTTCCCAATGTTCCGTTCGCGTCCGGCGGATTCTCCGATGCGTCGTTTGCGGAGCCGTGGGACGAGTTCATGGGCGCCCACATGCAGGACCGCATCCTTGGTGTGTTCTGGGCGGCGTTCCTGCTCTTCTCATGGACCACCGCCTCGATTGTCTCGGGCGCGGTGATCGAGCGTATCAAGACCAGCGCGTTCCTCATCTTCGCGGTCCTGATCGGCTCCTTCACCTGGATCCTCGACGCAGCCTGGGGCTGGCACCCGGGCGGCTGGATGGTCCAGATCCTCGGCTATCACGATGCTTATGCGTCCGGCGTGGTGCATGCCATCGCCGGCGGCTCGGCACTCGCAATTCTGTGCGTGCTGGGTCCGCGCATCGGCAAGTTCGGGCCGAATGGGGAGGTGAACGAGATCAAGCCGCACAACCCCTGGCTGGTTACGGTCGGGCTGTTCCTGATCTTCACCGGCTTCTGGGGCTTCTATGCGGCCTGCAACGTGCCGATCATCGATATCGGCGGCGAGGCGGGGACCTTCTTCTCGGCCACCAACATTTATCTGATGCCGACGACGCTGTCGGCGATCGTCTTCAACTTCCTGATGTCCTTCTCGGGCGGTCTGATGGCGGCTTACATCGTCACCAGGGGCGATCCGTTCTGGACCTATTCAGGCGGCCTCGGCGGCATCATCGCGGCCTCTGCCGGCAACGATCTCTATCACCCGTTGCAGGCACTCTTCATCGCTGCGGTCGGCGTGGTGTTCATGATCTACATGCACCGCTGGGTCGAGCGGCGGTTCAAGATCGACGATGCGGTCGGCGCGGTCGCCGTGCACGGTTACGCTGGGTTCTTCGGCGTCATCGTGTGTGGCTTCGTGCTTTGGGGCTATCCAGCCGGGAGCCCGATGTTTGGCGACTACTCCGCGCGCGAGGCGTCGATCGCGCTGTTCGAAACCCCGGAAGGCCTGCCGCAGATCAATCCGGTGGGTCAGATTCTCGGGGCCATTATCATGTTCTGGGTGCTGGGCTTCCTGCCCTGCTACGTGCTCGCCCGGGTTCTGCAGTACTTCAAGATGCTGCGGGTGCCGCGCGAGGTCGAGCTGGCGGGTCTGGATACGCATCAACTCGGCGATGCGTATCCCTACCATGCACACCAGGAAACGGCGTTCGAGAAGATCGAGCGTACCTACGCCAAGGAATAGGAGGCGAAGATGGCTTCGACCGGCTTGGACTCCTTTACCAATCCCGCCGAAATCGGCGCCTTGTACCTGGCGTGGGCGCCGAAACAGCGATGGTCGGGATCCTCGTGGCCCTCTGGGTGGGCTGGCACTTCTTCCAGATCCACCAGGAGGAGAGCGAGTATCGCGAGGCGGTGAAGCACTATCGCGAGGTCGGCATGGAGCGTGCCATGCACCATGCGGCCGGAACCATCGCGACGGAGGACGAGGTCAAGATCGCGAACTGACCTCTCGCCACCGTCGACAGGGTACGGGGCGGGCCTTCGGGTCCGCCCCTTTCTTTTCGGCTATTGGGCGCCGGTGCCTTCCGTCAGCGCCTGCCGTGCGTCGGCAATGACGGCGCGGAATTGCTCGAGCGGTATTGCGCCGCCAATCAACTGATCGCCAATGACGAAGGCCGGCGTCCCGCCGATGCCGAGGACGTTGGCGAGCACGGCGTTCCGCTCGATCAACGCATCCAGGGCGGGCTCCTCCATGTCGCGCGCGAGGCGCTCGTCATCGAGGCCGACGGAACGGGCGACCGCGAGGATATGGTCGAGGTCGAACGGGCCATCGGCTTCCATCAACGCCCAGTGAAACGCCTCATAGTTACCCTGGTTTCGCGCCGCCAGCGCCGCGTGCGCCGCCGCCGTCGATTCCGGCCCCAGAATCGGGAACTCCTTGTAGACGAGGCGCAGATCGTCGTTCTCCGCCAGCAGGGTCTCCAGGGTCGACTTGACGCGCCGGCAGTAGCCGCAGCGATAGTCGAAGAACTCGACCAGCGTGACCGCACCGTCGGGATTACCCGCAACCGGCGCCTCCGGGTCGAAGAAGATCTCGTCGCGGTAGCGCAGAATGGCCTCTTTCGCCTGTTCGGACTCCCGTGCGGCCCGCTTGGCCTGCAGCGCTTGCTGGGCCTCGATCAGCACCTCAGGGTGCTCGATCAAATACTCGCGGATGATTTTCCGGATGGCGTCTACCGGCAGGTCGGCGGTCGATACCGCGGGTGCCTCGGAGCCATCGGCGACAGTCTGGGCGGCGGTGCCGGGATCGCACGCGCCGTCTTCCGCGCTCTCTGTATCGCAGACAACCTCCGCCTGTCCCGGCTTGGCGGCGGTGAGGGCAAGGGCGAGCGCTAGCCCCGTTGCGGCGAGGGTGCGGGCGAGCATCTTGTGCCTCCTTGGCATGAGGGGGACGGAGAGTACCTGCACGGCGCCCCCAGTCGCCAGCCCGCGCAAGACGCCGCGCGGGCGCTAAAGGCGCACGGTGCGGCGGACGCGGAGCGTTGCCGGAACGAGGCCGATGAGGACAAGCCCCACGCCCGCGAGCCGCTGCGGCCCCAGGCTCTCGTCGAGCAGCAACGCGGTGCTGATGAGACCCGAAATGGGAATGACGAGCGAGAAGGGCGTCACCAGGTAGGCCGGATAGCGGCGCAGCAGGTAGCTCCACAGCATGAAGCCGAAGCAGGTGGCAATCAGCCCGAGGAAGAACAGCTCGCCGATGGTCACCCAGGTGATGGCGGCGAGCGCGGTGAAGGCAGCCGGTCCCCCTTCGAAGACATAGGAGAGCGCGAGCAGCGGCAGCACGCCGATCAGGTGCGCCCACGCGATCAGGCGAAGCAGATCGTCGGTGCCGGCGAGCTTGATGATCATGTTGGAGCAGGCCCAGCTCACCGCGGCGACGATCACGAAGCCGAGGCCCACGAGGGTCGGCCCGCCCGGGAGGGTAAGGCCGATGATCCCAATGCCCGCACCGGAGACGGCAATTCCCACATATTGGGCGCGACCCGGCCTCTCGCCCAGGATTGCGAAGGCGAAGATCGTGGTGAAGAAGACCTGGGATTGGAGCAGCAGGGAACTGAGCCCTGCCGGCATGCCGAACTCCATGCCGAAGAGCAGCAGCGACATCTGGATCGTGCCCTGGGTCAGGCCGAGGCCCAGGGTCCAGTACCAGGCGATCGCCGGCGGGCGGAAGAGGACCAGTACGGGCAGTGCGGCGGTGGCGACGCGGAGCCCGGCCACCATCAGGGGCGGCAGGGCGTCGAGCAGCTCTCGCATGACCACGAAGGTGAAGCCCCACAGTACGGTGACGGCGAGAGCGAGCGCGATGTGGGCGATGGACATGGGGCAACTGCGTCGCGGCAGGGCCGGGAGCGGTGTCGCGTCCGCTCCTAGCGGCGGCTAGCCCGGCGCGGCCTCCGCCGGTTCCGGACGCTCGCGGCGGCGCAGGATGACGAAGAAGACGCCGAGCATGAGGCAGACGAGCGCGAGCCAGACCCAGTGGCTGTGGCTCTCGCCGAAGAACAAGATGCCCCAGCCGATGCCCGCAAGGGCGACGATGAAGTTCACCGTCGAGAAGAAGACCGGCCCCAGGAAGCGGATCAGCTCGACGAAAAGGTAGATGCCGAGGGCCTGGACGAAGAAGGCGGTGATCAGCGCCCAGTCGGCGGGCTCCATCCGGCCCTCGAACCACCACCATCCGTCAGTCGCCGCCACCACGGCGAGGATCGGGAGCGAACCGAAGAAGAAGTAGCCAAACGCGAAGTGGAGCGATTCGGTCGCAGGCGGGCGCATCAGCGCAGTGGCGAGGCTGGTCGTCGCGTAGCCGATCGGCAGCAAGAGCGCCAGCAGAATCCAGGGCACCAGCTCCCGCGAGGGCAGGCTGGTCTCGGGCACGACGAGCAGCGCGACCCCGACGATGCCAACGCCGAAGCCGAGGACCCGTGGCCACCAAATTCTCTCGAGCCTGAACGCGACGGCGCCTGCGTAGGTCAGGATGGGCGCCAGAACCACGAGCATGCTGATGATGCCGGCGGGCACGCCCTCGCCGCTGACGTAGCCTACGGTGAGGTACGGCACTCCATAGCCGGAGACGCCGGCGACCGCGTAGGAGCTCACATGTCTGAGCGTCAGCGGCGGCAGTCGCCCTTGGCTGAGCGAGAGCAGCAGGGCCACTGCGGCCCCGCCCATGCCCATCAACAAGACGAAGCTGGTGAGGGGGATGCCGCCCGCGATTCCGACGCCGGTGAGCGAGTAGCTCAGCCCGTAGAGAACGCCGGTGAGGAAGAGCAGCGCCACCGCGATCCAGAACCCGGCCGGCCGCGCGGCCCAGCGCCGGGCACGGCCCGAGCGAATGGCGGAGAAGTCGTTAGCCCGCATTTCTCACCATGGTCACGGCCTGCGTCGCATCCAGGCGTTCGATCCGCAAGGAGCGGGCCGAAAAGCGTATCGGGGAATACGGTTGAGGCCCGCGACGCCGTGGGCGGGCGCCTGGACGCGACCCGAAGGGCGGCGCTCTCCGGCCGACAGTGTGCGTCAAGCCGCTTGCCCGATGTCCCCGCATCGCGCTGCGCGCCTTTCCTGCCCTGTCGGCCGGAAAGCGCCGCGCAGACCATGACCCTGGTGAGAAATGCGGGCTAGAGGACGAGGGGTCCTGGTGTGCCAAAGGATGCGGGCCGGACGGCCAGCGGCACCGACAAGGGCCTTAGGCCGCGTCGTTGCTCCCGGCGCGAGACTTCTCCCACCACCGCATCGCCGGCCTGATCGCCATCTTGAAGATCCCGCCCACCAAAACGAAGATCGTAGCGTAGATGAAGAGAATCCCAACGATACCGTATCCATCTTCGGCCGGCAGCAGCGGCGCCATGAAGATACTCGTAATGACGCAGAAGAGCAGCGCCGCCACCAGCGACGGCCCTTCGCCGGAGCGCCAGAGCTGGCGCAGTCCGCGCTTTCGCTGGTCGTTCAAGATAGCCACGGCCGTTCCCCGTCAGTTGTCGCCCGGCATGTTAGCCGAAGCCGGCCGCTGGGCAAGCCCTTCCTGCCTCCGGCCTGGTGCCCATGCGCGAATTTCGTGGCGCATGAACCGGTGAACACACTGTCACGCGGGTAGACGCGCAGCCGCTGCCTGTTCCAACAGTCCGCTCCGGGCTGCGAGCTCCATCGCCCGGGGGATCTCCACGGTAATCGGCCCGTCAGGCTCCAGCACCACCGCCACCCGGTCTTCGGGCCCGAAGGCGATTTCACGCTCGCCGTCGAGCGCCACCATGCCGCGTGGAAGCCGAATCGGGTGCGCCACGCCGGCTTCCAGGTCGAACACCCTCTCGATCCCGATATCCGCCATCAGCCCCGGCGCGAGCGGTGCCGAAACCGTCCGCGCCGCCTCCGGTACCGCGCTCAGATCGAGGGCGACGCCGGTCGGCGCATCGCGCGAGACCGGGCGCACGAGGCCGGCAATCGAGGAAAGGCCGATGGCATCGGCCTCGGCGAAGGTCACGAACAGCTGGTCGAGCGCGTCGGCCCGCCAGAGCGCCTTCGCGCCGGTCCACGCCGCGCCGCTGACGCAAACATCGACGAGCGCAATGTCCCGCGGTGCGTCGTTGACCGTCACCCGGAGCACCTTGTTGCGGCGGGACGCCTCGTCACGCGATAGCGCGCCGGTCGCCACCAGCCCGGCCGCGAGGCCCGCGATGGTCGCTTCGCGCATCATGGGGAAGACGTTGTTGGTGCCTGTGGAGAGCGAGGTCAGCGGCACGCCGTCGCAGGCCTGGGCGACCAGCCGGTTGGTGCCGTCGCCGCCGAGCACCATGATTCCGCCGACGCCCAACTCCACCATGCGGGCGGTGGCCTCGAGCGTATCGGCAGGCGATTCCTCGATCGGCATGTCGAGAAACTTCACCTCGGGCCAGACCTGGCCCTCGGGCGGGCCGAGCTCGATTGCCCGCTTCACCCGGGCGGCGATGCCGCTCTCGTCGGGGATCAAGTAGCAGGTGCCGACGCCGACCGCGCCAAGGGCCGAGAAGATGCGCGTGATCATGTTGCGCTTTTCGGCGATCGGGAACACCGATGCCTGGGCGACGAGGCGCCTGATGTCGCGGCCGGCAGCGGGGTTGGCGATGATGCCGATCGACGCGCCGTTTGGGATTTCTCTTGCCATATCTCCTCCGCGAGGGCTTATAGCCCGGCCAGCGGCGTGGCGCCATGCGTCTCTCGCTATTGCCCGATCTTGTGACCGGTGCATCCGCTTCGTGTAGAAACGGCAGGCGGCAAGCCATGCGGGGTTCGCCGCGCAACGCACGGCAAAGGAAGAAGCATCGTGCTCAGCAAGGCCCGGCAAATTTGCGCGTCTACGGCGTGCTGCTGCGCGGCGGCCGGGTGCTGATTGCGGCGGAGCAGGTCGGGGGCCGCGACGTACTCAAGCTCCCCGGCGGCGCGGTCGAGGCCGACGAGACGCCCGAGCAGGCGCTGGCGCGCGAGTTCATGGAGGAGGGGAGCCTGAGTATCGAGCCGACCCGTCTGCTCCATGCGCCGGGAACCCTCTACAGTCACTGGATTCACGGGCTGTACACGCCCATGTTCTACGCGGTTCAGGGTACTGGCGAGCCGATAACGCCACCCGACGAGCCGGTGGAGCTGCTCTTCATGAAGCCTGAGCAAGCGGTTGCAAGCGGGCGCATGGCCCAGCCGGAAATCGTCGCCCTGGACCGCGCGCTGGCACTCGCTCGATGACCATGCGTGTGGCCGGGCGGGGAGAGGGTGCGGCAATGAGCGGGCACCGCCAGAGGCGCGACAGCCTTCGGCGCTGCGTGCACGGGCTCGCCGTCGCTTCCATTGCCGTAACGGCGTTGCTTGGATTGGGCGCACCCGAAGGGGCGGCGCAACAGCCGCCGGCCGTGGTCTCCGTCGACGAAGTGCGCATGGAGGCCATGGCGCAAACCGTGCCGGTGATCGGGCGTCTGGTGTCGCGGCGAGCGGGCGAGGTGGCAGCGCGAACGGCGGGCCCGGTCGCCCAGCTCCATGTCGAGGTCGGCGACCGCGTGGAGACCGGCGACCCGATTGCTGTTCTCGACACGATCCGGCTCCGGGCCGAGCGCGATCGCTTGGCGGCGGTCGTCAACCAGGCTCAGGCGCAGGTGGAGCGCCTGGCGGCTCAGGCGGTCCTTCGCCGCCAAGGGCTGCGCCGGCTTGAAGGTCTTCGGGATTCAGCGGCGTTCGGCCAGGGCCGCTACGAGGACGCCCGGCAGGAGGTGATCATCGCCGAGAGCGCCATCGGCACGGCGGACGCCACACGGGTCAGCGCGGCTGCGAGCCTCTCGCTCGCCGAGATCGATCTCTCCTGGGCCACGATCACGGCGCCCTATCCCGGTGTCATCACCGTCGTTCACACCGAGATCGGCGCCTGGCTCGCCGTCGGCCAGCCGGTGGTGTCCATGATCAATGACCTCGATCTTGAGGTCGAAGCCGAGGTGCCGTCGAGCCGCGTCGGAGCATTGAAGGCTGGCACGGCGGTCGCGCTCATTCTCGACGACGGAAGCGAGCACACGGCGGTCGTGCGCACCGTCGTGCCGGAGGAAAACGCGCTCACCCGCACGCGCCAGGTCCGCTTTACCCCGCGCTTCGCGCCGGTACGCAAGCCGCTCGCGGTCAATCAGTCGGCAACGATGCTGGTGCCTGCCGGGGCGGAGCGTGAGGTGCTCACCGTGCACAAGGACGCCATCGTCCGCAATCAGGGTCAGGCGTTCGTCTATGTCGCCACGGATGGGACAGCGCAGCTCCGCCCGGTGCAGCTGGGTGCGGCCGTAGGTGGCCGCTTCGAAGTGCTGGGCGGCCTCGGTCCCGGCGAGCCGGTCGTGGTGCGCGGCAATGAGCGCCTGCAGCCGGGTCAGGCCATCGCCGTCGGCGGCGCAGGCTAGAAGCATCCCCTAGCGATGAACCTGATAAGGCTGGCCATCGACCGGCCGATCGCGGTCGTCGCCGCGATCCTGATGGTGGTCATGTTCGGTCTCGTCGCGCTGCAGACGATCCCGATTCAGCTCACGCCCGATGTCCGAAAGCCGGTCCTCACCGTCGAAACCTTCTGGCCCGGCGCGGCGCCAGCCGAGGTCGAGCGCGAGATCATCACGCAGCAGGAGGAGGTGTTCAAAGGCCTCGAGGGGCTGAGCCGCATGATCGGATCGGCCGACGACGGTGTTGGCGAGATCGAGCTGGAGTTCGCCGTCGGGACCGATATGGACAAGTCGCTCGTGCTGGTGGCCAACCGATTGGATCGGGTGCCCGACAAGCCGAGCGACGCCGCCGAGCCGATCATCAGCTCGGCCGGCTCGGAGGACCAGCCGATCGCCTGGTTCATCCTCTCCCGCAAACCCGGCAACGAGCGCCCGATCCACACCTACGGCGATTTTGTGGAGGACGTGATCCAGGAGCGCCTCGAGCGGGTGCCGGGGGTGGCGCGGGTGAATATGTTCGGCGGCACCACGCGGGAGCTTCGGATCACGGTCGATCCCGAGCGCATGGCCCGCTACGGCCTCACCGTGAGCGAGATCGCAGACGCGCTCAGGCGGTCGAACGCCTCGACCTCTGCCGGCGATATCGAGGAGGGGAAGCGCCGCTACGTGGTGCGCACCGACGGTGAGCTCAACACGCCCGAGCGGGTCGCCAGCGTCGTTCTGCGCTCCGACAGCGACCCTCTCTCGGGCCGGATCGGCCGGGTCACCATGGGCGATATCGCCACCATCGCTTACCGCCACAAGGAGCCCATCGCCCGCATTCGCCAACTCGGCGAGCCGGCGCTGGCCGTCAACGCGGTGCGCGACGCCGGCGCCAACGTGATCGAGACCATGGCGAGCGTAAAGGAGGCCGTGGCGGAGCTGAACGCCGCGGCAATTCCTCAGGCGGGACTCGTCTTCCAGCAAGTCTATGACGAAACCGACTACATCAATTCCGCCATCGATCTGGTGCAGCAAAACATTTTCGTCGGTGGCGCGCTGGCGGCGCTGATTCTGATGCTGTTCCTGCGCTCATTCTCCGCCACCCTCATCGTCTCGATCGCGATCCCGGTTTCGGTCGTGGGCTCATTCGTTGCGATGGCGCTTCTCGGGCGCTCGATCAACGTGATCTCTCTCGCGGGCCTCGCGTTTGCCGTCGGCATGGTGGTGGACGCGGCGATCGTCGTGCTGGAGAACATTTACCGGCTCAGGCAGAGCGGCTACGGGCGGCTGCAGGCCGCCTACCACGGCGCGCGGCAGGTCTGGGGCGCGGTGTTCGTCTCGGCTGCGACCACGGTGCTCGTTTTCGTGCCGATCCTGGTCATGGAGCTCGAAGCCGGCCAGTTGTTCCGCGATATTGCCGTGGCCATCTCGGTCTCGGTCGTCCTTTCGCTGATTGTGGCGAGCACCGTGATTCCCTCGCTCGCCAGCCGGATCCTCGGGCGCAGACGCAGGGGCGAGCGTGGCGCCTCCGGTGCACAAGCCGTTACGGAGGAAGCGCCTTACCGGCTTCGCCTGCCGATCATCGACGATGCTGCCGCGCTGCTCGTCCGCATCATCCTGGGCTTCACCGGCTGGGTTGTACGCCGCCGTCTGCGCGCCGCAGCAGTGGCGGTGGTGGTTTGCGGCGGTGCGCTCTTCGTCTCGTGGCTGCTGCTGCCCAGGCTCGACTATCTGCCGACCGGCAACCGCAACCTGGTGTTCGGCGTCCTCCTGCCGCCGCCGGGCTACAATCTCGAAACCACCATGGGCATCGCGCGCTCGGTCGAGGACGCTGTGCGTCCTCTCTGGGCATCGGAGACCGGGCCTGATGCGGCACCCGGCGAGCCGCCGAAGATACAGCGCTTCTTCTTCGTGACCTTTCGCGATCAGGCGTTCGTTGGCGCGATTGCGGTCGAGCCTGACCGTGCCGGTGAGCTGATCGACCCGATCCGCCGACCGGTGTTCTTCGAGCCCGGCACCTTCGGCTTCGTGAGCCAGGCGTCGCTGTTCGGCCGCGGGATCGGCGGCGGGCGCAAGATCGACGTCGATATCTCTGGCCCGGACCTTGAGACCGTGCTCGGCATCGCGCTTCAGGCGACCGGCCTCGTCGCGCAGGCCCTGCCCTTCGATCAGGGCAACCAGTTCCGCCCCAAACCCGGCCTTGAACTTGGCGCCCCGGAGGTGCGCCTCCTCCCGGATCCCATCAAGCTCGGCGACAACGGGATCTCCGTGCGCGAATTCGGCGCCACGATCGCGGCATACAACGACGGGCTCAAGGTCGATGAGGTGACCATCGATGCGAAGCGGTTCGACCTGGTGCTGGCGGGGCCGGACGCCAACGTCGACCGCACCCAGGGCATCGAGAACCTGCCGGTGGTTACGAGGGCGGGCGCCACGATACCGGCAAGCTCCCTCGCCGATATCGTGGTCACCGCAGGCCCGACGAAGATCCGCCATGTCGAGCGTGAGCGCACGATCTCGCTGGAGATCCGCCCCGCCGCGGACATTCCCCTCGAGGTCGCGATGGAGAGGCTGGAGACCGGCGTCATTCAGGCGCTGGAGGGTCGCGGGCTGCCCCCGGGAGTGAAAATCAGGCTCTCCGGCACCGCCGACGATCTTGAGGCAACCTGGGATGCGATGGCGATGAATTTGGTGGTCGCCATCGCGATCGTCTACCTCATCATGGCCGTGCTGTTCGAGAGCTTCGTCTATCCCTTCGTCATCATGCTCTCGGTGCCGCTCGCCGCCGCAGGCGGCGTCCTGGGGCTTGCGGCGGTCAACACCTATGCGTTTCAGCCCCTCGATATGCTGACCCTCCTCGGCTTCGTCATCCTGGTCGGCATCGTCGTCAACAACGCCATTCTGCTCGTCCATCAGACCCTGTTTCACATGCGGGAGGAGCAGATGGCGGTTGCAGATGCGATCACGACGGCAACCAGGAACCGGATCCGACCGATCTTCATGTCGACGCTCACCAGCGTGTTCGGGATGTGCCGCTGGTGCTGTTCCCCGGCGCAGGGTCGGAGCTCTACCGCGGGCTCGGGTCCGTCGTAATCGGCGGGCTTGCACTCTCCGCCGTGCTCACGTTGCTGATCGTCCCGCCGCTGTTGGCGGTGGTGGCGACCCGCCAGCAGCGCAAGCACGAACGGCTGAGCACGGCCCTGGACGGTCCCTCGCTCGGCGGCACCAGCGCGGAATGAGGCCGCGCGCAGACGCGCCGCTTCACGAGTGGGATCTGTCGCCGGCGCAGGCGATCGCGTTGCAGAAGGCGCTGGCCGGTGCCGTTCTGCGTGCGGACCGGTTCGGACCCGGAGGTCGGCGGGCAATCAGGCGGGTGGCAGGCGTCGACGCTGCCTTCGCCGACGGCGGACGGGTGATCAGGGCTGCGGCGGTGATGCTGGAATATCCCGGACTGGTCCTGACCGACCAGGTTCTGGTCGAGCGTCCGACGACATTTCCCTACGTGCCGGGGCTCCTCTCCTTCCGCGAAGTGCCGGCCCTGCTGGAGGCCTTGGGACAGCTACCGGCGGCGCCCGACCTGATCCTCTGCGACGGTCACGGCTATGCCCATCCGCGCCGTTTCGGGCTCGCTTGCCATCTGGGCCTCTGGCTGGACACGCCCACCATCGGGGTCGCGAAGTCGAGGCTTACCGGCTCTCACGACGAGCCGGGTCCCGGCGAAGGGCGATGTCGCGTGGCTGCTTGCCGGCAAGGGCGAGAGGCCGCGCGAGCGCCTCGGCGCGGTTCTGCGCACCCGCGAGCGGGTGAAGCCGGTCTTTGTCTCGGCGGGACACCGGATTTCGCTCAGGACTGCGCTGGCGCTGACTCTCGCCTGCGCTACGCGCTATCGGCTGCCCGAGCCCACGCGCCTCGCCGACAAGCTCTCCAAGGCCCACCGGAGCGGGCGGTGATTCAACCAGGCGGAGAGATCGAGGTCCAGGCACGACGGATGCCGCTGTAAACTACACGCGATCGTCCTGGTCCAGTATCCTATGGTTTCCCCATGACCCTGCTCGAGGAGCCCGGCATGCCTACGGTAGACGACCCGGAGTTCCGCGCCCGCATCCACATCGACGCTTCAATCTGTGGCGGTCGGCCGCACATTCGTGGCACCCGCGTCAGGGTGGCCGACATACTGGGGCTGTTGGCTGAAGGTGTGCCGCACGAAGAGATTCTCGCCGACTATCCCTACCTTAGCGAATTAGACCTGAGAGCGGCCTTGGCCTTCGGCGCGGCTGCGAGCGCTCATCGCATCATCCTCGCCGCCTGACAGTGCTGTTCTTGATCGATGCGCAGTTGCCGCCCGGCTTGGCACACTGGCTTTCCGACATCGGCTACCCCTCCCAGCATGTCGACGACCTCGGCTTCCGCGGCGCTTCCGATGACGTGATCGAGGCCAAGGCGCACGAGTTGGGGGCGGTTATCTGGTCCAAGGATGCCGATTTTGCCGACCGGGCTCGTCGCGCACCTGGCCTGCAGGTGGTCTGGCTTCGGTTCGGGAACACGACCAATGCCTCGCTTCGAGCCAAGTTGGCACCGCACCTCCAGACCATCGAGTCCGCCCTCAGGGGCGGCGAGACCCTGGTCGAGATCCGGTAACAGACACGAGAGCCCGACGGCCGAATCATTCAGGATCCGCTAATGGGATGGGCAGTCCCCGCGGTTTGCGCCGTACTCGGTGCGGCTCCCCGATCAGACGTGCTCCCCGTCCTCCGCTGTCGCAGAAGCAGAGTCGTCCGAAGCACCGTCGGGCAGGTCCGCCGCCGTGTCGTCGGCGCCCTCGCCCTCCGCCGGCTGGTCGGGTTTGTCCTGCCGTCTGAGTTCCGCCCGCTCGGCCTTCAGCTTGGCGCGGGCGGCCTTCCTCGCGGCCTTGTTGCGCTCGCGCTCTAGGCGGGCGAAGCGATAGTTGGGCTTGCGTGCCATTCGATTCCTTCTGGTTTGGCGGCGGCGCCCGCAGGGCGCGTCCGTCCGCCGACGTGGCGCGGGCTACTCCGTCGCGTCCACGTGCGGACGACGCCGCATCGCCGGCGGCGCCTGCCACCGGCGATCGATGGGGGAGGTCTGTCGGGACTCAGTCCAGAACGACCAGATTCTCTGCCGACGCTCTACCGTCGCGGCCCGGTGTCAGCTCGTACTCGACCTTCTGGCCTTCGCGCAGGTTGGTAAGTCCCGCCTGCTCGACAGCGGAGATGTGAACGAACGCGTCCTTAGAACCGTCGCTCGGCTGAATGAAGCCGTAACCTTTGACCGAGTTGAACCACTTCACCGTTCCAGTCGCCATGACTACTCCTTTCGCATAGTTATACGCCCGCGCCGCAATGTGCGGCGTCGCGGGAGCTCGGGGCGCACGGTGTCTCTAGAGTAGCTTGGCCAGGCTAGAGCCAGTCAGCGAAGATACATCAAGGTCACGTGCAACCGACCGACCCTTTGTTGGTCCATTGTTGCCCGCTTTGCAAGGGGATTCGCGTCCCGCGGATCGCGCGGTGGGGTCCGTCAGCCACCCTTCGGCAGAAGCTTGAACGCCCATTTTACCGTGATCGCATCCTCGATCGGCCCTGTCAGCGCGACCTGCGAGGTGCGCCTCCGGGTTACACCGTCGCCGGCGTATACACTCTCGTCGATGCTCATCGACGCGCCGGCGGCACGCGCCTGCCATATCGCACCGCTGGAGAGTCGCAGGAGGACCGCACGGCGATCCTCGGTCATCGCGCAGCGCACGTCGGGATGCAGGTGGAAGCGCAGCGCAAACTCGCGTCCCCGTCGCCGCCGCTGCCTGAGGTGCGAGAGCGAATCCTCGCCGCGCACATCGGCGCCCGCGGCGCCCACATAGAGCCTGCGCTTGTGGATCAGGCCGAGCGTGTCCAGGTAGCCGTCGTGGCTGGCGTCGATCCAGGTCGCACCGTCCTGATCGCGCCGCTCGACCTTCACCGTGTTCGGGCCCTCCGCAATCGTGCCATCCGCGCCGAGTGTCGCCGAGTTGGTGTCGTCGACGACGAGCGTGCTGTGGGCCGCCGTCCCGCGCAGAGCCTCCTGCCACCCGTCGTCAGCTCCCCGCCAACCGCCGCAATTGACGATGAGGCGCTCCCGCCCGGCGCTCATCTCCAGGCTCAACGTGCCGGCATGGGCCCAGCGCCCGGTGGTTGACGGTGCGCCCGTGTCGGCAATCAGGGTGGTGTGCTTTCCCTGGATCCGCGTGAATCCGATATCGGGCGCATCGAGCGAGGTGCTGCCGCTGCTTGCCGTCCCTCGGCTGAGAGCGAGATCGATCAGGCCCCGCTCCTCCTCAACGCCGCCGTTGAACAAGGCGAGCCCGCCGTCGCCGTGGCGGAACAGGCGCAGTGCCGACGCGAGTCGGCCGATCCCCTCGGAGAGCGCTTGTGACGCCGGGTGCCCGCCCTCGTCGAGGGTCGCCCGCAGCCCCGCGAGGCACCATAGTGCCGCGAGGTGCGCCGACGGGTTCCGGCCGAGTTGATTACCGTTGCCTGCTTCGTGCCGCGCGAGCGCCGCTTCGAGGAGCTTGAGGCCTTGCGCGATGCGCCGCTCACCCTCCGGGAGGCAGAGTCCGCTTTCGATCAACCCCCTGCACGCGATCAGCTGCGGCAGCCCTTCGTCCGCGTTGCGCGCGGTGCGCGTCAGGTGGCTGGCCTGGAGCTCAAGCGCCTGATGGAAGCGCCGGGCGAACTCGTCGTCTGCGCCTTGCAGCAGAAACGCGCTGTGCGCGAGCCAGGCCGTGAGCCGTCGCCCGAGGGTCTCGGGCCCCCAAGCCGACACCGCAGCGCTTTCGATCGTGCGGTGTTGCCGCAGCCAATCGAGCACCATCGCGCGGCCACGCTCCGCCGCCTGGCCCGTGCCAGCCGCATTCAGATCGCGCAGCCAGGCGAAGCCGTGCAGCTCCGCGAGCCAATATTCGCCGGCGCCCTTGTGGCGCCAGGGTGTGTCGCCGCGCTCGCCGACCTCGGCGGCGCGGACAACTTGGCCGCCGAAGTCGTAGAGGCCCGCGGCCAGTGCTTCGCCGCGCCCGGCAACCCCCGGCACGAGATCGATGGACCGGTGCAGGAGTTGCGGTATCTGGTCGGATGTTCCCCGCCCGGACGCACGACGGCGCAGCCGCCGCAGGGCACCGAGAAAGCCCTCCGAGGCCTGCTCGTCCCTGGCGCCCATGGAATTGGGTGGGACTAGGAGACCGACGCGCCGATCGCGCGCGGCCCTGCGCGGGTGCCTCGCGAGGCCGTGCGCCCCGCCTCCCCCGCTGCTCTCAGTCGCGCGATATTGCCAGGATAATCGGCCCGGCCGCCGGCGAAGCTCGCAGAGCCCGCAACCAGCACGTCGGCGCCGGCGCCCGAGGCGAGGCCCGCCGTCTGCTCGTCGATCCCGCCATCGACCGAGAGGTCGACAGCGCACCGCTCGCGTCGATGAGCGCTCTCAGCGCTTCGATCTTGCCGAGTTGGCTCGGGATAAACCGCTGGCCGCCGAAACCGGGATTGACGCTCATCACGAGCACGAGATCGATATCGGCCAGAACCGGCTCGACGACGTCAATTGGCGTCGCCGGGTTGAGCGCGACGCCTGCGCGCTTGCCCATGCCCTTGATGCGCTGGAGGGTCCTGTGCAGGTGGGCGCCCGCCTCGGCGTGAACGGTGATGCAATCGGCGCCGGCCTCGGCGAACGGCTCGATGAAGGGATCGGGCGGCGTGACCATCAGATGGACATCGAAGGGGCGTGCTGTGGGGTCTGAGCGCCGCCACCACGCCTGCGCCGAGGGTCAGGTTGGGCACGAAGTGCCCGTCCATCACGTCGACGTGCAGCCAGTCGGCGCCGGCGTCCGAGATCGCTCGCACCTCCTCGCCCAGGCGCGAAAAATCTGCCGCTAGAACGGACGCTGCGATCCGAAGCTCCTGCTGCATGGCGAGGTCTGGTACCAGCTTAGCCAAGGTGCCGCAAGCGTGCGGCGTAGAAGCCATCCATCCCGCCGTCTTTCGCCCAATGACAGGGGAGCGTGCGGAGATCGCCGGCTGTCGTGATGGCTTCGCCGACTCCCGCTAGCTCGCCCGGGCACACCGGCAGGCGTGCGAAATCCGGAGCCTCCGCGAGAAATGCGTCCACCCGGCGCTCGCATTCTTCCGGCTGGAGCGAGCAGCTCGCGTAAACCAGGAGTCCCCCTGGCGCCACCATGGCAGCGGCACGTGCCAGCAATCGGCCCTGCAATTCGGCGAGGCGGGCAACGTCGGCGGGGCGGCGGCCGTGCAGAATATCGGGGTGGCGTCTGATGGTCCCGGTCGCCGCGCACGGTGCGTCGAGGAGCACCAAGTGGGCCTGCGCCGCCGGGTGCCAGTCGAGCGCATCGGCCTCGACGATCTCGGCCTCGAGGTGGAGCCTGGCGAGGTTCTCCCTGAGCCGGGCGAGGCGGGGGGCAGAGCGATCGACAGCGGTGACCCGCGCGCCGGCGGCAGCGAGCTGCGCGGTCTTGCCCCCAGGGGCGGCGCCGATCTCCAACACCTGCTTGCCCGCGACCGGGCCAAACAAGCGGGCCGGTAGCGCGGCCGCCGCATCCTGCACCCACCACTCACCCGCCTCGTAACCAGCCAGCCGCGTCACCTCGCCGGCGCCCCGCAGCCGGAGTGTGCCGCCGGGCAGACGCTCGGCGGCGAGTGCGGCGCAAAGCGCTTCGGCCCGGTCCTCCGTATCGGTCACCGGCGAGAGGTCGAGCGGCGGCTCCTTGAGGTGGGCTTCGGCGATGGCCCGGCAGCGCGCGTCGCCGTAAGCCTGGGTCCAGCTCCGCCAGAGCCAGTCAGCGTGTTTGAGGCGGGCGCGTCGAGCTCTGCGATCGCGCCGTGTTCGCGGGAGGCCCGACGCAGCACTGCGTTGACAAGCCCGCGATAGGGCGCAAGCCGAGGCCCTTGTGCGAGCGCGACGGTGCTCGCCACCGCCGCGTGGGCGGGCGTCTCCAGGAAGGCGAGCTGGGCGATACCGAGCCGAGCACGTCCTGCACCGGCCCGCGCCGTGCGGGTAACGGACGGTCCATGAGCCCGGCCAGAAAGGCATCGATCTGGCCGAGGCGGCGGAGCGTCGTCAGCAGCAGCAGTCGTGCGAAGGCAACGTCGCGCGGCGAGAGCGCATCCAGCCCTGGTGCTGCGGTGAGCGCCTGATCGAGGGTACGGCCCCGGCGCAGCAATCGCACCCAGCGCATGGGCCGCGACCGCGCGCGCATCGTTCGGTGGGCTACTGGTCGACGACAAAGCCGTCGCGGTGCGGGCGCATGCTGACCGGGCGCTGGATCGGCGGACGGCTCTCCGCCGCGCCGGGCGCGATCGCCACGCCGAGGCCAGGCACGGTGGGGATGGCGACGAAGCCGTCTTCCATGGGCGGCACGCCCGTCACCACGTCCGAGCCGAGGAGCGCCAGGCTGGTCTCCATCTTCAGCGCCTCGAAGCCGGTCGTGTACTCCTGGATCGCGAAGTTCGGGATCGCGGCGGCAAGGTGGAGGCAGGCGGCGAGGCCCAAGGGCGAGAGAGGATTGTGCGGCGCCACCATGACGTGATGGGCCTCGGCCATCGCCGCCACCTTGCGCGCCCCGGTGATGCCGCCGCAGAGCGCGACATCGACGCGCGCGAAGCCCGCGCCGCTGCGTGCGAAGAGGGCGCGGAAGTCGTGGAGTGAGGCGTAGCGCTCGCCGGTCGCGATCGGCGCATGCACCCGACGCGCCACCTCGGCCATGGCGTCCGGAGTTCTCCGGCCGGATCGGGTCCTCGCACCAGTAGGGCAGATAGCGCTCGATGCGCGGGATGAAGTCGATCGCCTCGGCGGGCGTGAGCCGCCGGTGCAGCTCCAGCAGCATGTCGACCTCGCCGCCCAGCGCCTCGCGCACGCGGCGCACGGTCTCGATAGCGCGGCTCATGTGGCTCACGTGAGAGGCGAAGAAGGGCTCGTCCTCGCGCTCGTCGAGGAAGGGGTTGATATGGCCCACCGCGTTGAAGCCGGCCTCCTTGAGGGCAACGCAGTTCTCCACCAGCTCGTCGGTGGTCTTGCCGTAGGCGTGGCCGTAGACCCTGGCATGGGTCCGGCACGGCCCGCCGAGGAGGGAGTGGACCGGCACCCCCAGCGCCTTGCCCTTGATGTCCCAGAGCGCGATGTCGATCGCCGCGATGGCGCCGTTGATCGCTCCGCCCTGGAAGTGGCTGAAGCGGTGCATGAGGTTCCAGTGGCGCTCGATGGGCCCCGGGTCCTCGCCAACAGATGCCCGGCGAAGGTCTCGATGGCCGCGCGCGAGGCCGCGAGATGCCCCCATGTGCCCGATTCGCCGAGCCCGGTAATGCCGGCGTCGGTCTCGATCTCGACGAAGAGGAACTGGCCGATCGAGACCGGCGTGACCGCGGTGATCTTCATAGGCGCTCCCATGGAGGGGTTAGTCAGCCGGCTCCAGCCTGAGCAAGCATCCCCTCGGGGTGGTCGGTGAGCAGATAGATGAGGCCGTCCGGCCCCTGGCGCACGTCGCGGATGCGCTCCTCCAGGTCTTCGAGCATGCGTTCCTCCACCACCGCCTTGCCGTCGGCGACCTCGAGCCGCACCAGAAGCTCGCCCGAGAGCGCACCGGCGAAGAAGCTCCCTTGCCAGGCGGGGAAGCGGTCAGCGTCGTAGATCATCAGCCCCGACGGCGAGATGGATGGCACCCAGTAGTGCACCGGCTGGGCCATCCCTTCCTTGTGGGTGCCTTCGCCGATCTTGAAGCCCATATAGCTCTTGCCGTAGGGTGATCACGGGCCAGCCGTAGTTCACGCCCGGCTCGATCAGGTTCAGCTCGTCCCCGCCCTTCGGCCCGTGTTCCACGGCGTAGATTCGCCCCGTCGCAGCCTCGCGCGCCATGCCCTGCGGGTTGCGGTGGCCGATGGAGTAGAGCTCGGGCCGGGCGTCCGCCTGCCCACGAACGGATTGTCCTCTGGCACGCGCCCCGTCGTCCAAGAGGCGGATGACGCTGCCCCGCCGGGTCGCCCACGTCCTGGGCGCGGTCGGGCTCGCCCCGCTCGCCCGCGGTGACGAAGAGGTAGCCATCGGCGAACAGGAGGCGCGAGCCGAAGTGGCGGCCGCCGTCGTCGCGCGGCAGGGCGACGTAGATCTCCTCGACATCCTCCAGGCGCGCGCCGACGAGCCGGCCGCGGGCGACCGCGGTGGCCGCATCGTTATCGTCGTCGGGGCTCGCGTAGGAGAGGTAGATCAGGCCGTTCTCCGCGAAGCCGGGGTGCAGCGCCACGTCGAGCAGCCCGCCCTGGCCATCGTCCCACACCTCGGGCACGCCCGCGACCGGCTCGGGCACGAGCCAGCCGTCCGCGACGATGCGGAGCCTGCCGGGGCGCTCCGTCACCAGCATCCGCCCGTCGGGCAGGAAGGCGAGGCTCCAGGGGTGCTCCAGCCCGTCCACCACCTTGACCAGATGGAAACGGTGCTTGGCGCTCTCGAACGTGCCGAGCCGCTCGGCCGCCGCGAGCGGGCAGGCCGCGCCGAGGGAAACCGCCGCCATCGCGAGCAACGCCCAGACGGCGCCTATGGTTCGTACCCCTCTACCGCGAGCCTTCGGCATGCCCTGCGTTCCTCCCCGATGCGTGGAACCTATCACCGCGCGCTAGAGCCGTGCCAGTGGCCGCGCCGGCCCTGGGGTTGCGACTGCCGGTGGCTTGGGCCACCGTGCCTGGCACGGACAGATGCGATAGGATTGCGCGCCATGACACGGCAGCGAAGCCCCGCCCTGCTGCAACGGGACCGCTCGGCCCTCGTCGTCATCGACATGCAGGAGCGGCTCATGCCCGCGATCGCCGATGCGGACGCGGTGACCCGCGCGGCGGGTATCCTGATCGAGGCGTCGCGGCAGCTTGAGGTCCCGGTGGTCGTCACCGAGCAATACCCCAAGGGCCTGGGCCCCACCGTCGATGCCATCGCGAGCCGGCTTCCCAACGGCGCGGCAGTGGTCGAGAAGATGACCTTCAGCGCCGCGCGCAATTTCGATTTCGCGTCTCGGATCGATGAGCTCCGGGCCGCAGGCCGCGATCACATCGTGGTCTGCGGGGTCGAGAGCCACGTCTGCGTGATGCAGACGGCCGCCGACCTTGGCGCAGAGGGCTGCACCGTTCATATCGTCGCCGATGCCTGCAGCTCGCGCGCGCCCGCCAGCAAGGAGGCCGCGCTGGCGCGGTTCGGGGCGTTGGGGATCTCCCGCGTGACCACCGAGATGGTGCTGTTCGAATGGTTGGAGGCCGCCGGCACGCCGGAATTCAAGGCCGTCTCCCGCCTCGTCAAGTAGACCCGCGCCAATGACCGCCCAGCCGCTACGCGAGCCCCGCGGAGGGAGCGGATCATGCTGACGCGCCGGACCGTGCTCGGCGCGGCCGCCGCGGCGGTGCTGCTCGCAGGCGCCGCGCCCCACGCCAAGGCGACGCAGACCGTCCTGATCGGTGGCGGGCCGGCTGACAGCGTCCATACCCTGGCGGCGCGCCAGATCTGCACGCTGGTGGACGAGCGCGCCGGCCATAAGTACGGCTGCATCCCCCGTGCTGTGCCGGGATCGGTCTTCAACATTCGCGCGATCGAAATCGGCCTGATGGAGTTCGGCCTCGCACAATCCGACCGCACGCACGAGGCCGTCGTCGGGTCAGGCGCGTGGGAGGGCAAGCCGGTGGCGAGCCTGCGGAGCGCCTTCCGCCTGCACCCCGAGACGGTGCTGCTCGTGACCGGCGCCGACGTCGCTGACGATCTCGTCTACGATGTGGTGAGAACCGTCTTCGAGAATCTCGACGTGTTGAGGGGCGCACACCCGTCGTTCGGCGCTCTCGAGCCTGCGGCGATGCTGCAGGACCTCGCGGCGCCCCTTCACCCCGGCGCCGCGCGTTACTATCGGGAGCAGGGATGGATCCAGCCGTAGCCGTGACGACGATCGGAGCACAACAGCCATGCGCCTCTTCCTGAGGCAGCGGGAGCCCTCGATCCGGCGCTCCGAGTGGAACCCTGCGCCTGCGCGCGCGCCCGAGGGCGAGCGGGTCTACGCCATCGGCGATATCCATGGCCGGCTCGACCTGCTCAAGATGCTGGTCGCGGCGATCGAGGAGGAGCAGCGCCTTCTGCCGCCCGCCCGCCCGACTGTGGTGTTTGTCGGCGACTATGTGGACCGCGGACCGGACTCCTGCGGTGTCATCGATTGGCTGTGCGAGCGCCCGCTGCCCGACTTCGAGCGCGTGCACCTGCGCGGCAATCACGAGGAGTGGTTCGAGGACTTCCTCACCGACATCAGCGTCGGGCCGAGTTGGCTCTACTGCGGCGGGGTGGCGACGCTCGCAAGCTACGGCATCCGGGCGGCGCTCGGCGAGGACAACCCGGCGCGGCTTATGGGATTGCAGTCGGACCTCGCGGCGGCGTTGCCCGGCTCCCACCGCGCCTTCCTGCGCGCGCTCGATCACTATCACGAGATCGGCGGCTATCTCTTCGTCCATGCCGGCGTCAGGCCCGGTGTGCCGCTCGCCGAGCAATCGCTCGACGATCTGCTGTGGATTCGCGACAGCTTCCTGCACGCGACTGCCGACCACGGCCACGTCGTCGTGCACGGCCATACCATCGTGAACGAGGCGCAAATTTGCCCCAACCGCATCGGCATCGATACCGGCGCGTTCGCCACGAACGTGCTGACCTGCCTCGTGCTGGAGGCGGACCGCTATCGCCTGATTCAGACTGCGTGAAAGTTGGGTGGCGGCGCGTGCGGCCTATTCGGTCGGCAGGTCCGCCGGCGTCGCGCTGAAGGAGCGGAGATAGGCGAGGACGTTGCCGCGATCGCCGTCCTTGGAGACCCCCTTGAAGGCCATCTTGGTGCCCGGCACGGTGCCCTTGGGATCGGCGATGAATATGCTCAGACGCTCGAAATCCCAGACACCCTCTTCGGCCGCCATGGCGTCGGAGAAGTTGAAGCCCTCGTGGCTCGCGATCGGCCGGTTGACGATGTTCCAGAGATTGGGGCCCGATCTTGTTCTTGCCGCCTTCGTCCGCGGTGTGGCAGGCGGCGCATTTCTTGAACACCCGCTGCCCCTTGGCGGGGTCGGCGTCGGCCAGCAGTTCCGCCACAGACATCGCCGGCATCTCGGGCTCGTCGGCCTCCGCCTCGTCGTGCATGGCGTCGTCCTGCTCGAGGCCGGCGACCTCGTAATGGATCACCCGCTCGTGGTGACCATGCTCGAGTTTGCCATAGGCCGCGAGCGAGATGAGCCACGCCGTCATCGCGGTCAAACCCGCAAAGAGAATCGCGCCGAAGACCTTATTCAGCTCGTAGGTATTCATGCCGCCCGTTGGAGTGGGTGGAACCGGATCGTCGGGAGCCGACGGGCCGCGAGATTAGCCGCTTCAACCGGCCATGTCCAACGATCCTCATGGCCCTCGACGATCCTTCTCGACAAGAGCGGCGCGGCGCCTTATCTGGCTCAACGATGACGATGCGTACAGAGAGCGCGGTGCGGGCGAGGGGGCGCAGATGAGCGCTTCTGCCGCAGCCAGACCGCCGCCCCACAACCCGATCGTGCTCATTCCGGCGCGCATGGCCTCGCTGCGATTGCCCGGTAAACCGCTCGCCGATATCGCCGGTCGGCCGATGATCGTGCACGTGCTGGAGCGTGCCGAAGCTGCGGCGATCGGCCCCGTGGTCGTCGCCTGCGCCGAGCCTGCGATCGCCGATGCAGTCGAGAGCGCCGGCGGGCGCGCGGTGCTCACGCGCCCCGATCACGCCTCGGGCTCCGACCGGATTTTTGAGGCCTTGCAGGCGATCGATCCGGCGGGCGAGCACGACGCCGTCGTCAACCTGCAGGGCGACCTGCCCACCCTCGCCCCGGCGTTGCCGGCCCGAGCGCTCGCACTGTTGGCGGACCCCGCCGTTGATGTCGGCACGCTCGCAGCCGAGATCGCCGATCCGGCGGAGCGGTCGGACCCGAACGTGGTCAAGGCCGTTGTCTCGTGCCAACCGGGCAGCACCCAGGGCCGCGCGCTCTATTTCACCCGCGCGACCGCGCCCTCGGGCGAAGGCCCGCTCTGGCACCATATCGGCCTCTACGCCTATAGACGCGAGGCGCTCGCCCGCTTCGTCACGCTTCCGCCCAGCCCGCTGGAGCGGCGCGAGCGGCTGGAGCAGCTTCGCGTGCTTGAAGACGGGATGCGTATAGAGGTCGCCTTCGTCGACACGGTCCCGCTCGGCGTCGATACGCCGGCACAGCTCGCGCGGGCGCGGGCGCTGATCGCGGGCAAATTGGAGTGAAGCAAGGATGATCGAACAGGTTCTCTCATTCTGGTTCGAACGCCACGGCCCCGAGCAGTGGTGGGCCAAGGACCCCGCCTTCGACGAGGCGATCCGCACCGAGTTCGGCGCGCTCCACGCCAGCGCCGCCCTGGGCGAGCTGCACGACTGGCGCGACGGGCCCGAGGGCCGCCTTGCCGAGATCATCGTGCTCGACCAGTTCTCCCGAAACCTCTATCGCGAGGACCCCAGAGCCTTCGCCTGCGACGGCATGGCGCTGGCCTTGGCGCAGGAGGCGGTGCGCGTGCGTGCCGACCGGGCGGTCCTGCTGGAGCGCCGGAAGTTCTTCTACATGCCCTACGAGCACAGCGAATCGCCCCGCATCCACGAGATCGCCGTGACCCTCTTCGAATCGCTGGACGATCCCGAGAGCCTGAAATACGAGATGCAGCACAAGGCGATCGTCGACCGTTTCGGGCGCTATCCGCACCGCAACAAGGCGCTCGGGCGGGAGTCCACGGCGGAGGAAATCGCCTTCCTCAAGACGCCCGACTCGTCGTTCTGAACCGGCGCCCAAGGGCTGTTGACGCTTACCCCGGCGGGGGGCATGGTGCGCGCACTTTTCGGCGCGACGGCGCGGCACAGGACGGGGGCTCATGCCTTCCTCATCGGCTGAAGGGCGCGCACCGCGCGCCGGTCACGCGGATATGGCGAACGCGATCCGCGCTCTCGCGATGGACGCGGTGGAGCAGGCGCGTTCCGGCCATCCCGGCATGCCCATGGGCCTTGCCGATGTCGCGACCGTTCTCTTCGGCCGCTTCCTCAAGTTCGACCCCTCGAGCCCCGACTGGCCCGACCGGGACCGCTTCGTGCTCTCGAACGGGCACGGCTCGATGCTGCTCTATGCGCTGCTTTATCTGACCGGCTATCCGGATATCGATATCGACGAGATCCGCAATTTCCGCCAGCTCGGCAGCCGCACCGCCGGCCATCCGGAGTACGGCGTCGCCGCCGGGATCGAGACCACCACCGGCCCGCTCGGCCAGGGCCTTGCCAACGCGGTCGGCATGGCGCTGGCGGAGCGCAGCATGGCTGCCCGCTTCGGCAGCGAGCTTGTGGACCACCACACCTATGTCGTGTGCGGCGACGGTTGCCTGATGGAGGGCATCAGCCAGGAGGCGATCTCGCTTGCCGGCCATCTCAGGCTGGACCGCCTGATCGTGCTCTACGATTCCAACGATATCTCGATCGATGGCCCCACCAGCCTCGCTTCTCCGACGACGCTCGCGCGCGTTTCGAATCCGCCGGTTGGCATACGCAGCGCGTCGACGGCCACGATCCCGAGGCCGTCGCGGCGGCCATCGCTGCAGCCAAGGCCGAGCCCCGGCCCTCGATGATCGAATGCCGCACGGTGATCGGCTTCGGCGCGCCGACGAAGGCCGGTACTCGCCGCGAGCCACGGCGCCCCCTTGGGTGCGGACGAGATCGCGGGCACCCGCGAGGGGCTGGGCTGGCCCCATGCGCCCTTCACGGTGCCGGACTCGATCCTCGCGGCCTGGCGCACCATCGGCGAGCGGGGACGGGACGCGCGAGCGGCCTGGGAGGCGCGCCGTGCCGCGCTCGGCGAGGGCCGCCGGGGCCGCCTTCGACGCCGCCGTGGCGGGCGATCTGCCAGCCGGACTCTCGGAGGCGCTCGCGGGATGAAGCGAAGCTTCGCCGATGAGGGGCCCACCATCGCGACGCGGGTGGCGAACCAACGGGTGATCGGCGCGATTGCCGATGCCTTGCCGTGCCTCATCGGCGGCTCGGCGGACCTCACGGGCTCCAACGGCACCAAGACCGACGCGCTCGTCCCCATCGCCCCCGGCGACTACGGCGGCCGCTACCTCTATTTCGGCGTGCGCGAGCACGCCATGGGCGCGGTGATGAACGGCATGGCGCTTCACGGCGGCGTCATCCCCTTCGGCGGCACCTTCCTCACCTTTACCGACTACTGCCGGCCGGCGATCCGGCTGTCTGCGCTCATGGAGCTCCGCGTCATCTACGTGATGACCCACGATTCCATCGGCCTCGGCGAGGACGGCCCGACCCATCAGCCGATCGAGCACCTCGCGAGCCTGCGGGCGATGCCCAACCTCTTGCTGTTCCGGCCGGCCGACGCCGTCGAGACGGCGGAATGCTGGGAGCTCGCATTGGCGAACGCCGAGCGCCCCTCGGTGCTGGCGCTCACGCGCCAAGGCGTGCCGTGCCTCAGGGCGGGCGCGGGCGGCAACGGCACCGGGAACGCCTGCGCACGGGGCGGCTACGTGCTGCGCGAGGCGAGCGGCGAGACACCCCGCGTCGTGCTGCTCGCCACCGGCTCGGAATGCGCGATCGCCGACGAGGCCCGGCAGACGCTGGAGGCCGCCGGCGTGCCGACGCGGCTGGTATCGCTCCCCTGCTGGGCGCTGTTCGATGAGCAGGAGCCCGCCTATCGCGATGGCGTGCTGGCGGGGCCGATACGGTGCGGATCGCGGTCGAGGCGGCAAGCCCCTTCGGTTGGGAGCGCTACGTGGGCCCCGCCGGCGCCATCGTCGGGATGCGGGGCTTCGGCGCCTCTGCGCCTGCCAAGGACCTCTACGCCCACTTCGGCATCACGGCCGACGCCGTGGTCGCGGCGGCCAAGGCGCGGTTGTAGAGCGCTCCCAGGCGGGCGCGGGCCGCGCCCGCCGGGACGGCCCTGGGCCGGCACGGCGGTTGACCGCCACAGACCGAGCCGATAGCAAGGCGCGGCATCTCAGCATTGGAGGGAGCATGACGGTTCGCATCGCCATCAACGGGTTCGGGCGGATCGGCCGCAATATCCTGCGCGCAATTCACGAATCCGGCCGCACCGATCTCACCGTCGTCGCCCTCAACGACCTGGGCGACGTGGAGACCAACGCGCACCTGCTGCGCTACGATTCGGTCCACGGGCGCTTCCCCGGCACGATCGAGGTGGCGGAAGGCTCGATCGACATCGGCGCGGGGCCGATCCAGGTGCTCAGCGAGCGCGACCCGGCGCGGCTGCCCTGGGCCGACCTCGGCATCGACGTGGCGCTGGAATGCACCGGGATCTTCACGGCGCGGGAAAAAGCGGCGGCGCATCTGGAGGCCGGTGCCCGCGCAGTGCTGATCTCGGCGCCCGGAACGGATTCCGACCTCACCGTGGTCTATGGCGTCAATCACCAGGCGCTCACGCGCGAGCACCGCATCGTCTCCAACGCGTCGTGCACCACCAACTGCCTGGCCCCGGTCGCCTCCGTGCTGCACGACGCCATCGGGATCGCGAGCGGCTTCATGACCACGGTGCACGCCTACACGCTCGACCAGCCGGTGCTCGACACGCTGCACAAGGACCTGCGGCGCGCACGGGGCGCGGCGGGCTCGATGATCCCCACCTCCACCGGGGCCGCGCGCGCCGTGGGGCTCGTGCTCCCCGCGCTCGCCGGCAAGCTCGACGGCACCGCGGTCCGGGTGCCGACCGCCAACGTCTCGATGGTCGATCTCAACTTCGTCGCCAAGCGGTCGACAACGGTGGATGAGATCAACGAGGCGGTGGCGAGCGCCGCCGCCGGCGCCATGGCCGGCGTGCTGGCCTATAGCGAGGAGCCTCTGGTCTCGGTCGATTTCAACCATCGGCCGGAAAGCTCGATCGTCGATGCCGGCCAGACCGCCGTGGTCGATGGCACGCTCGGCCGCGTGCTCTCCTGGTACGACAACGAATGGGGCTTCTCCAACCGGATGGGCGACGTCGCCGCCCATCTCGGCAACCTGTGACGGAGGTGGCCCCGCCGCAGGCGGCATGACGGCGTTCAGATCGCTCGACGATATCGAGGTCGCCGGTAAGCGCGTCCTCGTTCGGGTGGACCTGAATGTGCCGATGCGCGAAGGCGCGGTGGGCGATGCCACGCGGATCGACCGGGTGGCGCCAACCCTGAGCGAACTCGCAGAGCGCGGCGCGCGGGTCATCGTCGCCTCGCACTTCGGCCGGCCCAAGGGCAAGCCCGTGGCGGCGATGTCGCTGAGCCCCCTCGCCGAACCGCTTTCTCATGCACTCGGCGGCCTCCCGGTGCACTTCGTCTCCGATTGCATCGGCGATGGGACGGAGGCCGCCGTGGCTGCGCTCGCACCCGGCGATGTCGCACTGCTGGAGAACCTGCGCTTCCACCCTGGCGAGGAGGCGAACGATCCCGCCTTCGCCGATGCCCTCGCACGGCTTGCCGATCTCTACGTCAACGATGCGTTCTCGGCCGCGCATCGCGCCCATGCGTCCACGACCGCCGTGGCGGAGCGCCTGCCGAGCGCGGCGGGGCGCCTCATGCAGGCCGAGCTGGAGGCGCTCGGCAAGGCGTTGCGGCGCCCGAGCGGCCGGTCGTCGCCGTCGTCGGCGGCGCCAAGGTCTCGACCAAACTCGCGATCCTCGCCAATCTGATCCGCCGGGTCGACCGCCTCGTCATCGGCGGCGCCATGGCTAACACATTCCTTCATGCGCAAGGGGTCGCCGTCGGCGCGTCGCTCCACGAGCCCGACCTGGCGGCAGATGCGCGCCGCATCATGGCGGAGGCGGAGGGAGCCGGGTGCGCCATCGTGCTGCCCACCGACGTGGCGGTGACGCAGGAGTTCAGGGAAGGCGCCGAGGATACAGTGACGCTTGTTGGCGATGTGCCGACAAATGGAATGATCCTCGACCTCGGGCCCGAGACCTGCGCGCGGATCGAAGCGGTGCTGGCCGAGGCGCGCACGCTAGTGTGGAACGGGCCGCTCGGGGCTTTCGAGATCGCCCCCTTCGACCGGGCGACGACGACATGCGCGCGCGCGGCCGCCCGGCTTACCGGGGCGGGCAGGCTGCTCTCCGTCGCCGGCGGTGGGGACACGGTCGCGGCGCTCCAGGGCGCGGGCGTGCTTGGGGCCTTCAGCTATGTGTCGACTGCTGGCGGTGCCTTCCTGGAATGGCTGGAGGGGCGGACCCTGCCGGGGGTCGCGGCGCTCGAGGCAAGCGTCGCGCCGAAGAGCGGACCATGACCACCGCGCGCCGGCCCGCGATCGTCGTGCACGATCTCGACCAGGCCATCGGCGCGCTCAGGGCGGCGGCGGCGGCCGGGGTCGCGGTGACGCTCTGGTCGGCGCCGGGTGCCGCATCCTACGCAGGGCTCGGGTTCTTGCGTGCGGTCTTCGAGAAGGCAGGCGAGGCGGTTCCGGAAGCCGAACACGACGCGGTCGTCGATGTGCCGGCAGCGGCGTGCTCGCCCACGAGGCGCTGAGCCGCGGCTTCGCCGGAGTCGCTTTCACCAGCCGCGGTGCCATGCGCAAGACGCTCCAGGCCATCGCCGATGCGGAGGGGAGGCGGCTGATCACCAGCGGGCCGGGCCGGGCCGCGCTCGATCTCGCCCATTCCAGCGAACCTGAGCGGGAGAGCGCCGCCTATCTCGCGAAACGACGCGCCAGCCGCCCATAAACGCTGGCAAAGGAGCCGCGCCTCGGTCACGATGCGGCCATGCGAATCACCCGGCGCGTCAGAGATATTCTCTCCTGGTACGAGAGCGACAATCCGGGCACGAAGGCCAACCTCGCCCGCATCCTGATGCATGGCCGCCTCGGCGGCACCGGACGGATGGTCATCCTGCCGGTCGATCAGGGCTTCGAGCACGGGCCGGCCCGCAGCTTCGCGCCAAACCCGCCCTGCCTACGACCCGCACTATCACTGGCGGCTCGCCATCGACGCGGGTTTGAACGCGTTTGCGAGCCCGCTCGGCATGATCGAGGCGGGTGCCGACAGTTTCGCCGGCGCGATCCCGACCATCCTCAAGGTCAACAACGCCAACTCCCTCGGCTCGGCCAAGGATCAGGCGGTGACGGGGTCGGTCCGCGACGCGCTCCGGCTGGGCTGTTCGGCGATCGGTTTCACCATCTATCCCGCCTCCGATCATCAATACGAGATGATCGAGGAGATCCGCGAGCTGGCGGCGGAGGCGAAGGCGCACGGGCTCGCGGTGGTCGTCTGGTCCTATCCGCGCGGCGGTACGCTCTCCAAGGAGGGCGAGACCGCGCTCGACGTGGCGGCTTATGCGGCGCACATGCGGCGCTCGCCGGTGCCCACATCATCAAGGTCAAGCCGCCGACCGCTCACCTGGAGCAGGAGGCCGCCGCCAAGGCCTACCGCGCCGCCGGCGTGGACGGGGAGACGCTGGAGAAACGGATCGCCCACATCATGCAGTCGGCCTTCGCCGGCCGCCGGTTGGTGGTTTTCTCCGGCGGTGCCGCCAAGGGGCTGGAGGGACTCTTCGGCGAGGTCCGCGCCATCTACGCAGGCGGCGGCAGCGGCTCGATCATCGGCCGCAACAGCTTCCAGCGCCCGCGCGCCGACGCGCTCGCCATGCTGGATACGGTCATCGGCATCTACCGCGGCAAGGGGTAGGGTCACGCGCTACGCGCTGCCGGTCCGCGGGCTAGCTCGCTGTACAACCCGCGATACGCCGCAATCATTGTGGCGAGGGCGTAGCGGTTTTCGATGCGGTGCCGTGCCGCCGCGCCGCGCGCGGCTCGGCCGTCATGTCCCTCGTTGCGAAGCCTCTCCCATGCCGCCGCCAAGGCCGCCGCATCGTGAGGTGGGACGATCAGCCCGGTGTCGCCGACGATCGTCGCGCTGTCGCCTACGCTTGTCGCGACGCAGGGCACGCCGCAGGCCATCGCCTCGGCCAGAGCGTTGGGGAATCCCTCGCCGAATGCCGAGCTCAGGGTGGCGATGTCCAGTGCGGCGTGAAGGCGGCAGATGTCCTGGCGCAGGCCCAGGCGCACGAATCGTGCGGCGATGCCTGATGCCGCAATGCACCCGTCCATCGGCGATCCTGGTTCGTCGGTCCCCGCGCCGATCAGAACGAACCGTGCTTCGGGCGCGGTCTCGGCGAACATGGCCGCGGCCTTCACGAAAGTGGCGTGGTCCTTCTTGGGATCGACCCGGGCGCACATTCCAACGACGAAGCTCGCCTCCTCCAATCCCAGGTCGGAACGGACCGCGGCGCGCTCGTCCGGCCGAGACGCAAAGCGCTCCAAGTCGAGGCCGTTCGGGATGACCCGCCATTGTGGCGGACGATAGCCCAGATGCTCGTGCGCGACGCGGCCGGCATTCGAATTGCAGAGGACCAGATCCGTTCTCGAGGAGAGAGACGCCAGCATTTTCAAGATGTAGCGGTTGCTGCGCGCGTAGCGGCGCATGTCCATGTCCGAGCACCTGATCCCCCAGACCAGGCGAGCGGACGCACGCCGGAGAGAGCGAGTGCCAGGGTCGCCAGCAGGTCAGCGTGATAGAGCCGGCTCTGGACGACGTCCGGCTGCGTGGTCTTGATTATCTTGGTGAGGCGCGCGAGACCGCTGAGCGCGCTCAGTTTTCTGCCGATCCCAAGGTCCAGAACGGGGGTTCCTGCGGCTTCCAGGCTTGCGCGCAAGGCGCCGCCCGGCTTCAGGCTGACCACCGTGTGGGAGACCGCCTCCTCCCGATCGCCCGTGACCAGCCGGGTGAGTATGGTCTCGGCTCCGCCGACATCGAGCGACGTGATGACATGCATCACCTCGACGGGCAGGCGGGATGCGCCGGTGTCGGTGGTAAGGCGCTTCATCAATGCTTGAGCGTGCTCGATCCCAGCCGCGCTCTATGCCTGCCCGTCGCCTGCGGTCGATCGCCGTACGGCGGTCGGCTCGTTTGCCTCCAGGCGAGTGGCAGTTCCGTCATCCAGTTGGTAGACGAAATCTGCGGCACTCTGCATGGCCGGCTGGTGTGAGATCGAGAGCACTGTGAGCCTGCCGGTCAGGCGCTTCACCGTGGCCACGATGCCGGCTTCCGTCTCCGGGTCGAGCGCGGTGGTGGCCTCGTCCAGGATCAGCAGTGCGGGATCGCGGACCAGCGCCCGCGCAGATGGCGACGCGCTGTCGTCTGGCCGCCGGAAAGCCGCGCGCCGCGCTCGCCCACCACCGTGTCCACGCCGTCCGGCAACGCGCGACGAACTCCCAGGCCTCGGCGCGGCGCAGCGCCGTCTCCACGTCGCGCGTGGGAAATGCCGGGTTCGCCGAGTGTGACATTGGCCATCACAGTGTCGTGGAAGAGGAAGGTTTCCTGCGGCACGTAACCGATCATGCGGCGCCATGCCGTGGCGTCGATGTCGCCGAGCGGCAGGTCGTCGATCCACACCTCGCCGCGCTGGGGCCGCAGCAGCCCGATGATCAGGTCGGCGACGGTCGTCTTGCCGGCGCCCGAGGAGCCCGACGACGGCGATGAAGGCCCCGGCGGGCAGCGTCATCGAGACGTTCTCCAGGATGTTCTCGCGACCGTAAGAAAAGCTCACATTCCGGAGCGAGATGGCGGAGGCGAGCCGGGGCGTTGCGCTCCCCAGGTCCGGCTCCTCCTCCCCCTCGGCGGCGGCGATCGTGGACTGCAGGAAGGCGAACGCCGGCTGGTTGGTTGCGGCGATCTGATAGTGTCGTGCACTTTTTTCACTTTCTGCATGGGTCCGCACGAAGAGCACCGCGAGGACCAGCAATCCGTCCACCGGTTGGCCCCAGACGGCCACGAAGAGATAGAGGCCCTCCCGCCACCGCGAAGGCGCGGATGAGTTCGTACGATTCGGCCAGAGTCTCCCGGCTGATGACGATCGTCCGCTGCGCGTTGTTGAGGCCCCGGACGTCTCCTTCGAACAGGGGCCGCATGCTTTCCTCGCGGCCCATGGCCTTCAGCGGCTTCATGCCGTCCAACCCTTGCAGAAGCAGCGTCATGAAGGATTTCTGGAGCTCGGTCTGATTCTGCCCCGCACGCCGGCTCATGGTGACCAGCCGGTTCAGGGCGATCATGCCGAAGGCGCCGACGGCGAGGGCGAGCAGCGAGACCTCCCAGGATATCGCCATGCAAACCGCCAGGTAGATGAGGATTTGAAGCGCGCCCGACAGAACGTGGCAGGCAGCCACATAGGCGTCGGCTGTGCGTGTCGGCTCCACGCTGACCGCACTTGCCAGATCGCCGGTGCGCCGGTCAACGAAGTGCAGCCAGCGCGCCCGCAGAATCGCGCGGATGAACGCGAGCCGCAGGTCCATCGCGACATGGGCTGCGGAGTACCCGACTTGCGCCATCGCCAGCAGCATCAGCAGCGCCTTGAGCGCCATGGCGACGACGATCAGAACCAACAACCCACCGAGGGACACGTTCTGACCGGCGAAGGCGAAGACCTGCTCGACGTAATGCGTCAGCGCGCCGCCGGCGCCCTCGGCACCGATCACCAGGCCGATCATCGGCAGCAGTGCCGCGATCCCGACGCCCTCCGCCAGGGCGGCCGCCGTGATCGCCAGCAGCATGAGCGTGCTGCGCACGGGATAGGCTGCGAAAAAGTGCCGGAATAGCCGGGCGGAGTCTCTCGCGGTATTTCCGACAATCATGGTCGCGCCTAACCCTTTACATCACGCGCGGTTGGCAAAGGTTATGAGTCGACCGCCCCACGTAGGTGGGCAGCCGCAAGTGACGGTCGCTATGTGCCGTCCTCGAACCGTGAGGAAGAGTGGCGCACAAACTACGAACAACAATTTACACGTCCTGATCCGGCGACGTGTCAAGAATGCGTTTCATCCTTTCTCCTAAGGAGAAATCGGCCGATTTGGGCGTAAACTTCGAGCCACCGCCTCCGGGAAAGAACGTAATTTCCCCAGCCTTTATGACGTCGTCTGGCAACAAGTACAAGTCCACACGGCAAATCGAAAAGTCACTTGAGAGGGCTGATGCAAGTTCAAGCGCGGTGTCGAGTGTGGCCGGCCTATCGATTGGAACGGGATTTCTCGGAAACGTTAATCTGGCCTCCAGAAGTTCCCAGTCTGTCGAGTACAACTGTTCCGTGTGGTTTGCAAAGCGGTTGATATTCACTTGAATCATAAGAGGTTGCCCCAAGAACATGAAAAATTTGTAGTCCATGGGGATTTCATTTCTCGAATTCAACAACAGTTGTTCGCATATGAGTCTTTTTCGAACGCCCTTGTAGGTTTTCTCCCTGCTTTTCCTGTAATAGTCGGTTCTAAGCCATTTCTTCAATTTCGATATCTCGTCAACGCGCAATTTTCGGGATTCATGGAAGGGGAGCACCCAGCCGCTCAAGTGAGTTGGCTTGAGTATAGTGTTCTCTTCAAAGATGATATTCCGGATCTCTTCCACACTATTGTAGAGACCGACGGTAGGAACGACAAGATCGTCAAATCCCTTTTCCCTTAGCCATTCCTTGAAGAAGTATTTGTCTGTCAGCCGCCGTGCAAGCTCGATATCGCCTCGAAAGTGCCACTTGTTTGACAGGATGTGCTCATTGAAGGAGCGGGGAGAGGAAACGTGCGGTACGTAGCCCAGCCTGGCCCACCCGTGAATATAATTGAGGAGATCATCGGTGAGATCCCCGGTGGGAAGCGTTCGTTTCGCGACGGAAATCGATCTCGCAAGAAGTCTCCGAAGACGTCTCATTCCTTGTTTCGCTATGGGCCATCCAGGCCTGGCGTGCGGCCGCGCCGCTCAAGCGGCGGCGATGACCGCCCGTTTGGGCAGCCGCGCCGGAACCCGCCCGCCCAGCACATCCAGCAGCACCTCGACCCGTTCGCGCGGCGCAAGCCGCAGGACAACCGCCGCGCACTCCACGAAGGGGCCGGTGGCGATGGTGACGGCATCGCCCGGCTGCAAATCGGGGGGCGCAGGTGTGCTCACGCCGTCGGTCCCGGTCGCCTCCCGCAGCGCGGTGACGAAGTCTTCGGGCACGGCCTGCGGGCGCGGGCCGTCGGCGAGAAGCCGCCTCACCCCGAAGGTGCCGTTGATCGCGCGCCACGGCTCGCGCCCAACATCGAGTTCGACGAACAGATATTGGGGAAAAAGCGGCGCCCGCCCGGTCTCGATGCGTTTCGCCCGCCGGCGGGAGCGCTCCATCACCGGCAGCCAGACCCGATACCCCTGGCGCGCCAGGTTGATCTCGGCTCGCTGCTCCTGATGGGGCCGCGTATGGACCACGTACCATCGGTTCATCGGCACTCCCCGTTCGGCTCGACTAGCGGCGCGGGTGTGAGGGCCACAGGCTCGCGCACGATGCACAACAAGGGCGGCGCCAGCACCTGCCGGTCCGGCACCGCCCCGCCCACCATATCCGCGATGGCCGTCCGATGAAACAAAAGGAGGACGTGAGCGGTCTTCCGCCGAGACGACGAGGATAGCCGCCCGGCGTCCGCTCCACTAACATCCCTGCCGCGAGTTGGTGAACCTGCCGGAGAGACGATGAGCACGATCAAGGAGACCGAGTGGATCTGGCGCAACGGGCAATTCGTACGCTGGCAGGACGCCACGGTCCATATCCTGGCCACCGCCGTTCAATTCGGCTCCTCGGTCTTCGAGGGTATCCGCTGCTACGACACCGAGCGCGGCCCCGCCATCTTCCGCTTGGCCGAGCACTTGAAGCGGCTCCGCAATTCCGCGCGGATCTACCGTATGGAGACCGTCTACAGCGACGAGGAGCTGACGGAGGCCTGCTTCGCCCTGATACGGCGCAACGGGTTCCGCCACTGCTACATCAGGCCGGTGATCATGCGCGGCTACGGCGCGATCGGGATGGACGGCGTCGGCAGCCCGATCGAGACCTACATTCCGGCTTGGGAGTGGGGTGCCTATCTCGGCGCCGACGCGCTGGAAAAGGGCGTCGACGTCTGTGTCTCCTCATGGAGCCGCGCCGCCCCCAACACCTTCCCCGGCATGGCCAAGGCGACCGGGCACTACAACAACGCGCAGCTCATCAAGCTGGAGGCGATGGCCAACGGCTTCGTCGAGGCGATCGCGCTCACCCACGACGGGCTGATCAGCGAGGGCAGCGGCCAGAACCTCTTCGCGGTGATGGACGGCGCCGTGCTGACGCCGCCGATCGACGGCAGCAACCTCTCCGGCGTCACGCGCAACGCGGTACTGACGATCGCGGCCGACCTCGACGTGCCCGTCCGCGAGTGCACGATGCCCCGCGAGTTGCTCTATTGCGCCGACGAGCTGTTCTTCTCGGGCACCGCGGCGGAGATCACGCCGATCCGCTCCGTCGACCACATCGCCATCGGCCCTGGAGGGATCGGCCCGGTCACACGGCGGATACAGCGGCGCTTCGCCGACATCGTGAACGGCCGCTCCAACGACGATCACGGTTGGCTGACCCTGGTCCCGCCCTCCTGAGCGGGATCGCGGCGCCCGGCACGCCCGTCGCCTGAGGGAGGATGTGCATGACCGAAAGTCATGACCCGGCGGCTGCGCTCGCCGAGCGGCTCTTCGCCGAACACGCCGAGGGCCGGCCCTTCCGCCGCCTGCAGGGTACCGACCGGCCCGCGTCGCTTGACGAGGGATACCGCGTCCAGCACCTGCTCAACCGGCGATTCGCAGAGGCCGGGCGGGGTGCGCCTGCGGGCTACAAGGTGGGCCTCACCTCCGAGGCCATCCAGACGATGTACGGGAGCGACCAGCCGATCAGCGGCGTGGTCTTCGAGACCGCGGTGCACCGCTCGCCCGCCCAGGATCGCGCTCGCCGATTACACCCATCTCGGGATCGAGTTCGAGCTTGCCGTGGAGATCGGCACGGCCTTCCGCCACGTGGACGGGCCCTTCGCCCTCGACGATGCGGCAGCCCGAATTGCGGCCTGCATGCCGGCCTTCGAGCTGATCGAGGACCGCCATGCCGACCACGACGACGTCGACGCTCTCTCCATCCTCGCGGACAACGCATGGTGCGCCGGAATCGTTCTGGGGCCGCGCTGCACCGAATGGCGCACGCTCGATCTCGCCAACACGCCGGTTTCCCTGCGGATCAACGACGCCCCGCCGGCTGCGGCGGTCACCGGCGCCGCCATGGGGAATCCGCTGAACTCGCTGGTCTGGCTCGCCAACCAGCTCGCTTCGAGGGGGACGACGCTCGAGGCCGGCATGGTCGTGATGACCGGGAGCACGCTGGCGACGCAGTTCCCCGAGGCGGGCGATCGCTTCGTCTACGAGATCGAGGGGCTGGGCACGGTGGAGGCCACGATCGTCTGAGCCGTTACGCCAAAGGCGCGCGCAATGGAAACCGCAGCCGTCTCCGCCTACGACGCGCCGCCGCCGGGGCGGCGCGTGATGACGACGTCGCGGTGGACGCCCGACGCAGAGCAGCAGCCCGAGACCCAGCATCAGGCTCAACATGGAGCTCCCGCCATAGGAGATCAGCGGGAGCGGCAGGCCGACGATGGGGATGAGCCCGATCACCATCGCGATATTGAAGAAGACGTGGAAGAAGAACGTGACCGTGATCCCCATGCCGAGCATGCGGCCAAAATGGTTGTTGCTCCGGGTGGAGATCACCACGCCGTAGGTGGCGATCCCCAAGTACAGCAGGAGCACGCCGGCCACGCCGAAGAATCCCAGCTCCTCCGCCATCATCGTGAAGATGAAATCGGTCTGCTTCTCCGGCAGGAAGTTGAGGTGGCTTTGGGTCCCCTGCAGATATCCCTTGCCGAACATGCCGCCGGAACCCAGCGCGATCTTCGACTGCAGGATGTGGTACCCCGCGCCCAGCGGATCCGCTTCGGGATCGAAGAAGGTCAGAATGCGCGTCTTCTGATAGTCGTGCAGGAATTGCCAGGCGATCGGGCCGGAGCCGAGTACGAGCACGATGCCTACACCGATCTTCCATGCCTTGATTCCCGCCAGGAACAGCATGATCCCGCCGCCGAGCGCGAGCAGCAGCGCAGTCCCCAGGTCGGGCTGGCGCAGGATCAGCGCGGCGGGTGCGAGGATCATGAGCAGCGGCGGGAGGTAGGTTCGGATGCGGCCGAGTGCGTCGAGGGCGACGCCGTGGAAATAGCGCGCGAGTGCCAGCACCAGCGCGATCTTCATGAGTTCCGATGGCTGTAGCTGGATCACGCCGAGGTCGATCCAGCGCTGCGCGCCCATGACCGCCGCGCCGAGCAGATCGACGCCGACCAGCAGGGCGAAGGCGAGGCCGTAAATCGTGTAGGCCGCGCGCAGCCAGAAGCCGATGTCGATGATCGCCACCGCGAGCATCACCAGGAGGCCCGCAGCCGAACCAGACCATCTGGCGCGACGCCCACGGCTCGGTGGAACCGCCCGAGGCGGAAATCAGCATCCCGATGCCGACCGCGCCGATGGTGCAGACGAGGACGACCAGGAACCAGTCGAGCCTGAGGAGCCGCTCGGCAATCCGAAAGCCCTGATGGCTGCCAATGTCCAGCTGTGCCATCAGGCGGTCTCGTTGGGTCGTGGCACGGGCGTGAGAGAGCGTGCGCGCGCCGACGGGGTCGCGGCGCTGAACCTCGCGCAGGATGTCGCGTGCGATCGGCGCGGCCACGGAACCGCCGTTGCCGCCGTGCTCGACGACGACGGCGACGCCGTACCGCGGCCGCTCGAGCGGCGCGTAGGCGACGAAGAGCGCGTGGTCGCGCTCCTTCCACGGGCGGTCCTCGTTCTTCATCACGCCCGAGCGGTGCTCGCGCTCGGAAATCCGCCGCACCTGCACGCTCCCGGTCTTGCCGGCCATGGCGAGCGTCGGTTCCTCGATGCGCGCGCGGTAGGCGGTGCCCTTGGGGTCGTTCACGACCTTGAGCATGCCCTCGCGGACGATATTGAAAGTGCGCCGGCGAGATTCCCATCGTGGGGAAGGTCTCGCGCTCCCGCGCAATCGGTTGCCCCTCGCGGATGACCTCAGCCAGGACGCGCGGCTCGACCGCAATGCCGCCGTTCGCGATGCGCGCCACCATCACCGCGAGCTGGAGCGGTGTTGTGAGCAGGTAGCCCTGGCCGATGCCGACCACGAGCGTCTCGCCCCCCTGCCAGGGCTCGCCGATCATGGCGAGCTTCCACTCGCGTGTCGGCACCAGGCCGGGTTTCTCCCCCGGCAGCTCGATGTCGAGCTTGCGGCCGAAACCGAACCGCGCTCCGCCATCGCGGCGATCCGGTCGATCCCGACACGCTTGGCGACCTCGTAGAAGTAGACGTCGCACGATTCCGTGAGGCCTTGCACCATGGCGACGTGCCCGTGGCCGTAGCGCCGCCAGCACGGAACCGGCGTTTCCCGAGCTTGAGGATCCGGGTGCAATAGAAGCTGTGATGCGGGCTGACCTCGCCGCTTTCGAGCGCAGCCAGCGCCACGATCATCTTGAACGTCGATCCCGGCGAATACTGGCCGGCGATCGACTTGTTGCTGAGCGGGAAGCGCGGATGGCCGATCAGCTCGCGCCATTGCCGCTGGCTGATGCCGGAGGTGAACAGGTTGGGGTCGTAGCTCGGCATCGACGCCAGCGCCAGAATCTCGCCGGAATGGACATCGAGGACCACGGCCGATCCGCTCTCCTCGCCGAAGCGTGCCGAGACGTACTGCTGAAGCCCGAGGTCGATGGTCAGCATGTGGTCGTCGCCCGGCCGGCCGGTCCGGCGGCTGAGCTCGCGAATCACGCGGCCATAGGCGTTGACCTCGACCTGCCGGGAGCCGGCTTCGCCGCGGAGCGAGGTCTCCAGCACCTTCTCGGCGCCGTTCTTGCCGATGCGGAAGTCCGGGAGCGTGAGCAGCGGATCGTCCGTCAGCTCCGATTCATTGACGGCGCCGACGTAGCCGACGATGTGGACCGTGTCGGGCCCGAAGGAGTAGAGGCGGCGCCGGCCGACGTCGATCATCACGCCGGGCAGATCGGGCGCGTTGACCTCGATCTGCGAGACTTCCTCCCACGTCAGGTTCTCGCGGACCGTGATCGGGACGAACTTCTGCTTGCGCCTGGCCTCGCGCAGGACCCGCTCGCGATCGTGGTCTTCGATCGGCACCAGCCGAGCGATTTCGTCCAGCGCCCGGTTGAGATCCAGCGCCGCCTCAGGCACCAGGATCAGCCGATAGTTGAGCCGGTTCTCGGCGAGAATCTGGCCGAACCGGTCGAAGATGCGGCCCCGCGCCGGCGGCAGAAGCTGCATGTTGATGCGGTTCTCGTCGGCGAGAACCTGATAGCGCTCGGAGTCGACGACCTGAAGCTGATAGAGCCGCCCGGCGAGCCCGGCCGTCAGCAGCGCCTGCGCGCCGCCCACGATGATGGCGCGGCGCGTGAAGAGGTTGGCGCGCCCTGTCTCGCCCCGCATCTCACTCGGGCCGTGCGGCGGCGAGCGCGCCGAGGGGACGGAAGAACAACACGAATACCGGGAAGAGCAGAATCGTCAGGACGACCTGCACGACGATCGGCAGCGGTGGAATGACCATACCGAAACAGGCGGAGCCAATGATCCAGCTGAGCAGCCCGATTGCCGGCATGACCATGGAGAAGCCCCACCAGACGACGAGAAAGGGCTTGCCGCGGAAGAACGTGCGCTGCGAGGCGACGACTCCCTTGCACGATGAGAAGCACCAGCGCCGTCATGCCGAGCGGGGTTCCAGCCAGCAGGTCCTGCAGCAGGCCGATGGCGAAGGTCGCCGCATAGGGGAGCCGCTCCGGCCGGTAGATGGTCCAGTAGAAGATCGCCATCGCCGCGAGGGCCGGCGTGACCTCGACGACGCCGGGCAGCCGCCAGGGGAGCGAGCCGGCGAAGACAAACACCACCGTGACGGTCACCGGAATCAGGCCGCGCAATGAGCGATCGGCCGATTGCAGCCATTCGCCCATCACTCAAGGCTCCCGGTACGCGCGGCGCGGCGCGTCTCGGGGAAGACGCCCGGCACCACGTAATCGAGGACGGTGACGAAATCGAGCCGCTCCCAGACCACGAAGGGTTGCACCGTTGCCTGGTCCTTGTCGACCGCAGAAACGATTCCGACTTCGAGCGCCGGCGGGAACATCCCGCCTTCGCCCGACGTCACGATCCGGTCGCCGGGCTTCACCCTGGCGTCGGTCGCGAGGAAGGCGAGGTAAGGATTCGGGCTGTTGTCGCCGCGAAGGATCGTCCGGTCCCGGCTCTCCTCCAGGACCACGGGAATGCGCGAGTTCAGATCCGTGAGCAGGAGGATTCGCGCCGTATGGTCGCCCACCTCCAGCACGCGGCCGACCAGCCCGTCGTGGTTGACCACCGCCTGGCCCTTGCGCACGCCGTGGGATTTTGCCCGCGTTGACCATGACCATATGGATGAAGGGTCCGCCCGAATCCGCAATCACGCGGGCGGTGATGAACTGCGCCCTCTGATCGGGCACGACCTTGAGCATCCGGCGGAACATCTCGTTCTCGTAGCCCAGCTGCTCCGCCACCGCCTGCCACTTGCGGAGCTGGGCGTTGTCGTACTCGAGGCGTTCGTTGCGCTCGTGGACGGCCAGGATACCGTTAAGCTCGTCGAACCCGTCGGCGATGGTCGCCGCCGGGCGCGAGAAGAAGCTGAATAACGGGGCCACCGTGTCCGCGACGCCGACACGCAGCGTCTCGACCAGGCGGGGCTCCGCCTGGCTCAAGATCATCAGGGTTATCGCCGCACCGGCCAGAATCGCGTAGCCGAAGCGGTGGGCGAAGACCCTGCCCGGCACGGCCAGGACGAGATTGCGCCCCCGGCCAACCCTCACTCAGACCTCCATGCAGTACGCGGTGATTCCGAATCGAGGCCCGCGTAGCGGGATGTCTAATATGTCTCGTGAAGGGCGTGCTTCAAGGTTTTCATCTCTTCGAGGCATCGGCCGGTGCCGAGAGCGACGCAGCGCAGGCCTGATCCGCGATCGACACGGGCAGCCCCGTCGCGTGGCGCAGCACGTAGTCGAGGTTGCCGAGGAGCGCGCCGCCGCCCGTCAGCACGATGCCCTTGTCGACGATGTCGGCGGCAAGCTCCGGCGCGGTGTTCTCCAGCCCCACCTTGACCGCGTCGATGATGGCGCCGACCGGCTCGGCAAGGCTCTCGGAAATCTGCCTCTTGGAGATGACGATTTCCTTGGGCACGCCATTCATCAGGTCGCGTCCCTTGATATTCAGCGTTTCGCCGTCGCCGTCTTCAGGCGGGCAGGCCGAGCCCAGCTCCTTCTTGATCCGCTCCGCGCTCGCCTCGCCGAGCAGCAGGTTATGGGTGCGGCGCACGTAGGCAATGATGCTTTCGTCCATCTTGTCGCCGCCGACGCGCACCGAGCGCGAGTAGACGATGCCGCCGAGCGAGAGCACCGCGACCTCGGTGGTGCCCCCGCCCACATCGACGACCATCGAGCCGGTCGGCTCGGTCACCGGCAGGTTGGCGCCGATGGCGGCGGCCATCGGCTCCTCGATCAGGAACACGCGGCGCGCGCCCGCGCTCTCGGCCGATTCCTGGATGGCGCGGCGCTCGACGGCGGTCGAGCTCGACGGCACGCAGATGATGACCTGGGGGCTCGCGAAGCTGCGCCGGTTGTGCACCTTGCGGATGAAGTGCTTGATCATGTCCTCGGCCACTTCGAAATCGGCAATGACGCCGTCTCGAAGCGGGCGGATCGCCTCGATGTTCCCGGGCGTGCGGCCAAGCATCAGCTTCGCCTCGTTGCCGACCGCGAGAACCTGCTTCTTGCCCTTCCAGGTGGTGAGCGCCACCACCGAAGGCTCGTCGAGGACGATCCCCTGGGACTTCACATAGACAAGCGTGTTCGCGGTTCCCAGGTCGATCGCCATATCGGCGGAAAGGAACCCCAGCAACTTCGAGAACATGCGCTGCTTCTCCTCCTAAACGGCAGCGGGGCAGGCCAGGCGGCAGCCGCAGCCCGCCTCGTCGTTCACGCTGACAACGCCTCCGGGGCCGTCTTCTGCCGCTTGACCAGAAGCTTGTTGAGCGCGTGCACATAGGCCAACACCGAGGCCACGATGGTATCGATATGTGCACTGTGCCCGTTCACGGTTCTCCCGTTCTCCTCCAGCCGCACGCTTACCTCGGCCTGCGCATCGGTCCCTTCAGTCACCGCGTGGACCTGATAAAGCTGTAGCCTGGCCTCGTGTGGATAAATCGCCTTGATGGCGTTGAAGGCCGCATCCACGGGGCCGTTGCCCGTGGCACGCGCCTCGCTCTTCTCGCCGTCGACGCTGAGCGAGAGCGACGCCTCCTGCGGTCCTGACGATCCGCAGGATACCGAGAGGGATCCGAACCGGATCCGGTCGTTCGCGCCCGCGACCTCGGTGTCCACGAGCGCGATGATGTCCTCGTCGAAGAGTTCTTTCTTCTTGTCGGCGAGGTCCTTGAAACGCACGAACGCTTCCTGAAGCGCGTTGTCGCCGAGCTCGGTATAGCCGAGGTTCCGCAGCTTCTCGCGAAAGGCGTGCCGGCCCGAATGCTTGCCCATGACGAGCGTGGACTGCACGAGACCGACGGATTCGGGCGTCATGATCTCGTAGGTCTGCGCGTCCTTGAGGACGCCGTCCTGGTGAATCCCCGCTTCGTGGGCGAAGGCATTGGCGCCGACGATCGCCTTGTTCGGCTGCACGACGAAGCCGGTCACCGCAGAGACCAGGCGGGACGCCTGCATGATGTTCTCGGTCTTCACCCCGGTCTCGTAGCTGAGCAGGTCGTTGCGGGTGCGGATCGCCATGACGATCTCTTCCATCGCGGCGTTGCCCGCGCGCTCGCCGAGCCCGTTGATGGTGCACTCCACTTGCCGCGCGCCGGCCTGCACGGCGCTCAGCGAATTCGCGACCGCGAGGCCAAGATCGTTGTGGCAATGGACGGAGAGCACCGCCTTGTCGATGTTGGGTACCCGATCGAAAAGCATTTCGATCAGCGCCGCGAACTCCTCCGGCACCGCGTAGCCGACCGTGTCGGGGATGTTGATGGTGCCCGCACCCGCCTTGATCGCCGATTCGACGCAGCGGCACAGGAAGTCATGCTCGGTGCGCGAGCCGTCCTCGCAGGACCACTCGACATCGTCGGTGAACTTGCGGGCGTAGCTCACGCTGTCGATCACCGCCGCATGGACGTCCTCGGGCTCCATCTGCAGCTTGACGCGCATGTGGAGCGGGCTGGTCGAGATGAAGGTGTGGATGCGCCCGGACCTTGCCGGCGCGAGCGCCTCGGCGCCCGGTCGATGTCCCGCCGGCCTGCGCGGGCGAGGCCGCAGACGGTGCTCTCGGTCACCACCTTTGGCAACCTCGCGCACCGCTTCGAAATCGCCGTTCGACGCGATGGGGAAGCCCGCCTCGATCACGTCGACCCTCATCTCCTCGAGGGTCTCGGCGATCCGGAGCTTCTCTTCCAGATTCATCGACGCGCCCGGCGACTGTTCGCCGTCGCGCATCGTCGTATCGAATATTCGGACTCGGTTCCCTGTATCGGTCATAACGGGCATCCTTTCACCCCGGCGGCTACGACGGTCATCGCACTCCCCTGGACAGCGGCCGCGTGCGCGGCGCACCGCTCAGGGGCGACTAAGTCGCAGCCCGCGTGGGATGGGACATGCCGTGGCCGCCGCAGCGCACGAATCGGGCCCGCCTGCCGGCTTACTCTCCGTAGGCACCGTCATCGGACCCATCGCCCTCGACCCCATTCACAAGACATAAGCAGCCGGTCAGCCCGGCACAAGGCCGATTCGCCGCGCCGAACTAGCAAACTTGTACGCCCAACCCCTTGGGCGAAGCAATGAATTAGTCGCCTACCGGTCGGTTCCGTGCTTGTGCAGAGCCTCGTCAGTTCTTGCTGCGGTCCACCAGCCGGGCTTCGGTGATCCACGGCATCATCGCCCGCAGCCGCTCGCCCACCTCCTCCAGCGGGTGTTCGGCCGCACGCGCGCGCATCGCCTTGAACGACGCTTGCCCGGCCACGTTCTCGGTCATCCACTCCGTGGTGAAGCGGCCGTTCTGGATATCGGCGAGAATCGTCTTCATGCGCTCCCGCGTCCCCTCGTCGATCACGCGGGGTCCCCGCGTGTAGTCGCCGTACTCTGCGGTGTTGGAGATCGAGTAGCGCATGTTGGCGATGCCGCCCTCGTACATCAGGTCGACGATCAGCTTGACCTCGTGGAGGCACTCGAAATAGGCCATCTCGGGTGCGTAGCCCGCGTCCACCAGGTCTCCCATGCGGCAGTGATCAAGGACGTGAGCCCGCCGCAGAGCACCACCTGCTCGCCAAAAAGATCGGTCTCGACCTCTTCGCGGAAGCTGGTCTCGATAATCCCGGCACGGCCGCCGCCGATCCCCGACGCGTAGGAGAGGCCGATCTCCTTGGCGTTGCCCGAAGGGTCGCTCGCGAGCGCGAGCAGGCAGGGAACGCCGCCGCCCCGCTGATATTCCGAGCGCACCGTGTGCCCCGGGCCCTTGGGTGCCACCATGAAGACGTCGAGATCGGGCCGCGGCTCGATCAGGCGGAAGTGGATGTTCAACCCGTGGGCGAAAGCCAAAGCCGCGCCTTCCTTCATGGAGCCGTGCAGGACGTCGGCGTAGAGCTGGCGCTGAAGCTCGTCCGGGGTGAGCATCATCACCACATCGCCGAAGCGCGCGGCTTCCTCGATATCCATGACCGTGAGTCCGGCGGCTTCGACCTTGGCCGTGCTCGTGGAGCCCGGCCTAAGCCCCACGACAACCTCCTCGACCCCGCTCTCCTTCAGGTTGTTCGCGTGGGCAAAGCCCTGGCTGCCGTACCCGATGATCGAGACCTTCTTCGACTTGATCAGGTTCAGATCGGCATCGCGATCGTAGTAGACCCGCATCCTGCTCTCCCAAGTTGGCGTTGCGCGCGGCCGGCTGCCGCGTCAGATCGACTCCTTGCCGCGCGAGATCGCGACCACGCCCGTGCGCGATATCTCGGTCAGCCCGAGCGGCGTCATCAGCCGGATGAAGGCGTCGATCTTGCCGCCCTTACCGGTCAATTCGAATATGAACGAATCGATCTCGCTGTCGACCACATGGGCGCGGAAAGATATCCGCGATTCGCAGCGATTCGACCCGCTTCTCGCCGGTGGCGACGACTTTGATGAGCGCGAGCTCGCGCTCGATGTAGGGGCCTTCGCTACCCAGGTCGGAGACCTTGTGGATCGGCACCAGGCGATCGAGCTGCGCCTTGATCTGCTCGATGACCATGGGCGAGCCCAAGGTCACCAGATTGATGCGGGAGAGTCGCTTGCCGCGCTCGACCTCGGCGACGGTCAGGCTCTCGATATTGTAGCCGCGCCCGGAGAAGAGGCCGATGACCCGCGCCAGAACCCCCGGCTCGTTCTCGACCAGCACGGAAAGCGTGCGGCGCTCGTGCGGAGTCGTCCACGGCCGTTCCTCCCGGCCGCCTACAGGCGGGCGTCCCGCTGCGGCCGGCGCCCCGCGCGGCGAGCGGCATTGGCGACTTGTGTCATGGTTTTGGCGCCGCGGGGTCCTAGACGAGCACCATCCCGTCTTCGGAGCGCTCCTCAAGCTCGCCGTGCTCGGGGCCGAGCTTCATCTCGTAGTGCGCGGCGCCGGCCGGGATCATCGGATAGACGTTCTCCTCCTTGTCGACTTGGATGTCGGCGAATCACGGGGCCGGGCGTCTCGATCATGGCCTGGATCACGTCGTCCACGTCCTCGGGCCGCTTCGGCCCGCAGGCCCGTGGCCCCGAAGGATTCCGCCAGCTTCACGAAGTCGGGGAGCGATCCATGTAGCTCTCGGCATAGCGCCCGCCGTGGAAGAACTTCCTGCCACTGGCGCACCATGCCCCATGTATTCGTTGTTGAGCAGGAAGGTTTTTACCGGGCAGCCGGTGCTGCACCATCGTCGAGAGCTCCTGATCACCATCAGAGGAGCGCACCTCGCCCGCAACATCGATGACCAGCGAGTCGGGATGGCGACCTGCACGCCCATCGCTGCCGAAAGCCCGTAGCCCATGTGCCGAGGCCGCCCGCGGTCATCCACCGGTTGGGCTCCTCGATCTTGAGGACTGAGCCGCCCACATCTGGTGCTGGCCCACTCGGTGGTGAAGTAGACGTCCCGCCCCTTGGTCGCCTCATAGAGCCCGCTGGAGGGCATATTGCGGTTTTGATGGCGTGCCGAGTTCTTGTAGCGCGGCAGTCGCGCCCGCGCCACGCTCGAGCTGCCGCCACCATGCCGCTGCGCCCTCGCGTTGGCTCGCGCGGGCGCAGTCGCCTCCCACTCGGCCTGATGGCGTCGAGCGCGAGCCCGCATCGCCGATGATGGCGACGTCGACCGGCACATTCTTGTTGATGGAGGAGGGATCGATGTCGATCTGGACCTTGGTCGAGCCGCGGAGAAATCGGCGAGCCGGCCGGTGACGCGATCGTCGAAGCGGCGCCGACCGCGATCATCAGATCGCACTCGTCCATCGCCATGTTGGCCTCGTAGGTGCCGTGCATCCCAGCATGCCGAGGAAGAGCGGTCTGTCCCCGGATAGCACGCCGAGCCATCAGCGTGTTGTGATCGAGTACCCGTGCGCCGCACCAGTGCGGCCGAGGCTCTGCGGCCGCGCGCGGGCCGCGTTGATAGCACTCCGCCGCCGGCGTAGAAGAAGCGGCTTGGCGCGCGCGCAAACAATCAGCTCGACCGTGCAGACAATTAGATCGCGTGCACAAAGGCGATCGGGTATGGGAGGGAAACCGCCGTGGTCGGTAATGAGCGCTGATTCCTGCCGTTGCCCACTGCCCGCTCCGCTTCGACGTAGGCGCTCTTGGTCATGACCACGTCCTTCGGCAGTCCGACCACCACGGGGCCGTGCCGGCCGGCGCCCGCGATGTAGTAGGCCTCGCGGATCAGCGCGCAGACATCGTTAGCGTCCTTCACCAATAGTTGTGCTTGTGCAGGGCCGGTGATCCCACCGTGTCCGGCTTCCTGAAACGCGTCGTTGCCGATCATGTGGGTCGGCACCTGCCCGGTCAGGCGACGAACGGGATGCTGTCCCATGAGCGCATCGTGAGCCCGTGACGCTGTTGGTGGCGCCGGGCCGAGTGACCAGCACCGCGCGATCCCTGCCGTTTGGAGCGCGCGTAGCCCTCGCGCATGCAGGCGCCCCGGCTCGTGCGGGGCCGCAGCCAGATGTGGGCGCAGCTCGTTCTGGCTTGAAGATGGCGGGGTCGTAGATCGGCAGGAAGGACTCGCGCCGCGGATAGCCCGAACACGCACGTCTACGCCGAGATCGACACAGAGTGCGGACAACCTAGTTCGCGGCGGTCAGCTCAGCGGGGCGTGATCCTCGGCATAATCCGTTGTCACGGCGATCTCCCTTTCCGCACAAGCGTAAACGGCCCACCTTGAAGCAGGGTCGGCCGGCCCGCGTCGGTGCGCTTGGCCGCGCACCCGTGTCTGAGGGCGGACAGTAGTCCATCACCCCCGCCGGTCATAGCATGCGTTCCCACGAGGCGAGAGATTCCCCGTTTCGATTCCGCGCCGGGTAACGGTCCGCATGCGGGCGGTGCCCGCATCTGGGTGCGGACCCGTTGGCTTGGCGCTTGGCGTAGCGGCGCGTTTCCTTCCGGCCGAGCGCGTCGCCCGCTCGAGGGAGGTGACCGCCTCCAGGTGATCGTGCAGGTCACCCACCGACCGCCTTCTCACCGGAAGCCGGGGTCGAGGCCGCGAGCCTTGAGGCGCTGCCGCGGTCGATTTGCCCCGCCGCCATCATGCCCGTCAGGCAGCGCGTGTTGCAGGCGTCGTAAAGCTCTGCCCGGGGCGGCTCGAGACGACGTTGCGGCCCGGCCGCCGAAGCTCTCGTGCTTCTCCGCCTGCCACGAGAGGAGCGAGCGCCCGTTCAGCCTCGATCACCTCCGTAGGCCCGCATCACCCGCTGGCTGTCGCCGGGTGTTCGAGCCGGCGGGCCGCCTCGGGTCGCGCGCCGGCGAGCCGCGCGTGAGGCCGGCACTGCCCTCGCAGCTCATAGAGCGACGCACTGCCGCTCCGCACGGGCTCCTCATGCGTCGTCGTCGCACCGGCAGCAAGCGCCCGCGCGAGCGCCCGCCAGGTAGAGCGTCCCCGCGCCGACCAGAGGCAGCGCTCGCGTCGCCACGGATGCGCTCGATCTCATCCATCGCAGAGCACAACGCAGCGCCGCGGAGCAAACCGCTCGGCGCCGTCGAGAACGCCGATAGGAGTAGAGGGGAGCGCGAGGAGGAGAGAAGCCGGTGCGCTCGCGCGCGAGCTCGTCGTGTCCGGCCCGACGTGAGGAAGACAATCGGCAGGAGGTCGCGGTAGAGCTGCATGCGGTCGGCATTGACGACGACACCGCCGAACGCGCTGCGGCATCGCCGCGAGCGCCGCCTGCCCTCGCCGTCGGGACCGTCCGAATCACACACCAGATCGAAGCCTTCGGCCACACGCGTGTTCGCCTGCCAGTCAGGAGAAGAGACCAGCGAGACCAGGTCGTCGCCGAGCTTGGGCTCGAACCAGGTGGTTTTCGGGCGGCAGGATCGCGCTCTGCATCGGCGACCCCGCATGAGGTCCTCCACGCGGTCGTGGATAGAGATCGAGAAGGCGACGATCGCGTCGCCGTCAATCGACCGCCGGGGTGCCGCGAGCGCCTCCACCACGCCGCGCCCAGCCGCCCACGAGTCGATGCTCGCGCATCGAGCCTGGATCGCCGACGCGCGAGGATACGGCGCAGAGAACCGCGCGCGCGAGGAGCGAAACGTCGAGCCGAGTCGACCGCGCACGCTGGCCGGGCGCCGGTCCTTCGGCGGCGAGGCGTACCAGAGCGGCCCACCCACATACCTGCCGAAGTGCGCCGGCCGTCTGCGCGGGGCTCACCGTCGCCCCTCCGCCGGCTCGCAGCCTGAGCGGCCTGGCCGATCCGGCGCAGGAATGCCGCCGGGTGAGGCCTTCCAGCCCCGCACGATCCGTGATAGCCGAGGATGCGCCCTCGTCGGCGGGTGGAGCTCACCGTCAGCAGGCGGCGCGGCCTCTCCCGTCCCTTTGACTTGTTTCTTGCCCCATCGCCGTGGGCTGCCGTCCTGTCTGCGCCGCGGCGGCGCGGTGTGCCGTCGGCGATATAGAGCGTACCGATCCGGTCTGAACCGCTACGTTCCGTCAGCGCGCCGATGTCGTCGGCGCCGTCGACTGCTGGCCAGAGCGTGTGCGTCACTGGCTCGTCGCCCTGCACAGAGGGAGCGGCATAGCGGCGGCCCCGCGCAGCCGCGCGATCACAGGCGGCGACCTCTTCGTCCGGCGTGAATCAGAGCAGGGGCCTGTCTGCGCGCCGAGCGCTTCAATGTGCGGCGCGGTCCGCCACCTTGGGCGGCCGGGTCGATAGTCGTAGCCGCTGTGAATCGCGCCTCGCTCGTAGGCCGCGAGGAGGGCCGTGCCGCCAGCGAGCCCGCCTGCGTGCGCGCGCTTGCCGCCTCCGTGCGCATGCCAGCGTAGAAGCGACGCCGTACTCGCGGATCAGGACTCCGCTCTCTGACCATCCGCGCGAGACGCCGCCGCCGCCCTTCGTAGAGCGCAGCGCGCGCCGGGTGTGGCGTCTGCGGCGGCACGGTCGATCTCGCCGGGGGACGTGGAGGAAGCTCCACGGACTCCCCTGCGCGCGGCCCGCTGCCTCCTCGTGGAGAGCACGTCATAGGAGAGGTCGGGCGCCAACACGGCATCCGCATGGTGTCGGGCGACGCGGAGCCTCAGCAGATAGGGCGCGAGCAGTCGCTCGCGCACGTGGTGTGCCCTTCCTCGTCACGACCGCCCACCGCGTCGACACTGCTAGTAATGACAAACCAGCCAGGAACACACGCGATAGCAGGCCGACGCAGCTGCGCTCATGCCGATGGTTCGTATCCGGGGCGCGGACGGCTGGGCGAGCACGCGCGCATGCTGCCGCCGCATCGCCGGTCCGGGAACAGCGCATAGAGCCCACCTCGATGACGAGAATAATGAGCCCGATAGCGGTCCGGAATGCGGAATAGACCGTCGCTAATATCCAAACAAATAGAATCGGAAACTCGTGGAATAGGAGACAAGAGCTGATAGAGGAGCGGCACCAAATTGGCAAGGGAGAACCATGGGGCCAAAGACTGACGGCCGGGGTGCGCGTCACGTCAGGGTAAATAAAAGAGAACGTCGCGCTGGGTCGGTCAGGTCCTGTGTTTGCGCCTGATATCTCACCGAAGTAACGTGAAGACCTGTCGCTGTCCGGCGACAGCACATGCGAGGTGCGTCGGAGTCGCCGAGGGCTCGCGATAGGCCTGCATGGCCGGTAGAAGCGTACGAAAGTTCGGTCCCGGCATAGCCTCGCGCGAGATCCTGGTGCGCTTCGTCGCCGACGTCCCGCCGTCTGGCCGCGCAGGATCTGGACTCGCGCTCCGCGCTTCCGCAGAGGCGACCACACGTCTCGCGGTCGCGCGCGAAGCGGATGCGCTGCGACTGCTTCCCTCACCCTGGACGCCGTGAACTCCTTCGCCATCGCGCTCGCGCTGGGCGGTCTGCAGTGCGCGGATAGACCGTCCTGGCTGTGTCTCGCGCTCGTCAGGTCGGCGCGGCGGATGGCGCAGGCATCAACATCAGAGTCGACGCCGAAGCCGGTGGACTGACGTGTTCACGGCTGGTGCCCCTGATCTGGGTCATCAGCTGGGCGCGCTCGCCGAGAGCACGGTGCCAGCTCGAGCCGTGCCCAGCACCTGCCGCGTGCTGGCGTTGAGGTGGCGCCGGAGCCTGCGCGGCCACACCGCCGGGTCGTGCGACGGACTGAAGAAGCGCAGGGATGGGCGATGAATCCGATAGCGGTATGAGAGGCGGCGACCAGGACCAGCCGCTCTGATCTGGTCGCGAGATCATCTCACTCCGCCTGCGCGTTGAAGTACGAGCCCGCTTCTCGGAAACTACTCGACGTTCCTGGACGGAAGGGCGTTTAAGCGCAACCTGGCGCCAGGCTCGGTGGTTCCCGTCCCACTGGGTCAACCACCTTGATGGGCTCGGCCGAGCTGCAGGAGGATCGCCTGCTGATCTCAGCACCGGGGTGGAGATGCATGGAATCAGCGACGATGCCACGGGGAGGATGACCGCGGCTGCCATGACGAATTTTAGGTTTTTTTTGATGAGGGTCGGGTCTCCGTGGTGGCCTAGGCTACTACTACTGTGCGTGCCGCCCTGGCGGGCGTTGGAAGATCGGTCCGGGGCAGGTAGGGCACACGCTGTAAGAAGCCCCCCGCCGCGAAATCGATGATGATCTTGACCCAGGGGCCCGCCGTATCACCTCTTCCAACTTCTCCATATACATGCTGCGGGCGGGACGACGTCGGCGGGTTGGCTCTTCTGGCGCGTACTTCGGCGTGTACCGCAACGAAGCGCGACGCCTCGCCCGGCTGCTCGGGCGACGAGTCTGGCTCCTGTGTAGGCCGTCCCTCCGCACGAAGGCGTTCCGCCGCGCCGCGTGCCAGCGCGGATGATTTCGTTGGGCGGTAGGGACGAAGGTCGCCTCGTTCTTCGCCCGCAGTCCCTGGGTCCCGCCCGGCGCGCGGCTGCACGTCGCGGAGCTGTACAGCATCACCAAGCGTCCGGCGGCGCAGTTTCCTGGCAAGTGGGCCTGCTGCTCGATCTTGGTGACTTCGAATCCGGGTGCACAGTAAGTAGTGTCCAGAAGATCGAAAGGGGGCTCGCTGGTCAGTTCGTGAGGGTCTGCTGGGGCCAGGAGGAAAACCGCTCCGTCGGCATGGCGGATTGCAGTCGTGGTACTTGCCGATTACCCAAAAAAAGGGAAGAAAGACCGGGGAAGGGGTCGCGGGCATCGCGCTCTCGGGCCGCGTCCGTCACCGTGCGATCCGGCGAGATGGATGTGGGGTGAACAGATACTGGGCCGGGCATCGCGATGCGGCCAGAAGGCGGTTGAACGTTCCCGTCGATAAGTTTCGATCGATCGCCGGTCTAGGGGGCATCAGGCTCTCGTCCGGCACAGGCGGGGGGCCGCGGTGAACGCCCCCCGTTGCGATCGG